TCCATCGCGACGCCAATGCGGCTCATGCTGGGAACAATCTCGTCAGCAGTCGTGGGCTTCTCGCTTGGTGCGACGCAGGGCGGACAGATGGCGCAGCTGCGGTTTCGGGCGGAGCATGCGCACAAGATGCCCGACACGACGACAGGGTGGTACTTCTACCACAAGAGCAAGAATTACCACGCCATGCAGGGCGGCATACGAGAGGGCTTCCGCATGGGTCTCAAGACTGGCTTCTGGAGCTTCCTGGCCTTGTCGCTTGAGAGCACGGTCGATCGATATCGCGGGGCGAGCGACATGTTTTCTACGACGATAGCTACGCTTACTGTCGCCGGCGCGTTTTCTCTTTGGCGTAAGTGGTCAATTCTTTTCTCTCCTTCTCTTTAGGTCATCTCTTCAGACCTCGGCTTGACTAAGGGAAACGGTATTGCGCAAAACCCCATATGGGGAATGCATGGCGTTTTGGGAGCTTTGATGATGGAAAGCGACGGGTAGATATTGCAAGCATTGCATGATGTGGAGCAGGGGTTTCTTTTACATTACATTACTTTACAGCACAGGCGGCAGAAAGAGATGAGCTAACAAGCGCCGATATTCGGCGTGTGCATCTAGATCGCCTGTCACTCACAACCGCCGCCCGGACCGCGCGATACGGGTTGTTGTTTGGCCTTGCGTACGGTGGGATTCAAGATGTGCTTGGCTTAGCCCGAGGCAGACCGATCGGGTATGTCGAGTTCTTGCGAGGTCGGAGGTCAAATACAAGGGAAGATGATGATGCTCGTCCAGCATTGTGATGTAATTGGGTTCTTCTATGTACAATATACAACATGTAGATATATCACGACTTGGTCAATGGTTCATAACTTATCGCACTGACCAGAGACCAGCACAGGGGAATAACATGGTGCAAGATCAATTCAGAGATAAAAAATATGCTAGTGTCGTTTGTTATCGGGGCCCTCCGAATTTAGGACTCTCTAGGTAAACGCCTCTCCCGTAGACCAGCCCAGGGCCAGCGGCTTTGGTCGGTCATTTATGGAGACATCATCGATAAGCAAACGCTGCAGAAGGCTTCTAGCGAGATGGAATATTTTTCTCTCTCTCAGTTCCAGGCCATTGAGATACGGTAGCAGAGCCCCATTCGTCATCCATTGGATTGGATGTCGGCATATCTTATCCATATCGCCTTATCTAAAGTACCGAACCGCAACGACACATCATCATCAGCCCCCTTGCACATCATTGACCAACAATGGAAGTTGGCTATGAAAGTAAGAGACACGGACATATCGTCATCAAAATAAGTCACAAGACGTCTCAGGTCTCAGCACAAGCCAACACTGTCAATCTCAAAACAGTTAAGAGAATGCTGGTGATGCATCTCCAAGGTTTCCCCACAATGCCCTGTGCTGCTAGCTTTGCCAGTGTCACCAATTACATAACACGTATTTACTGGGATCGCGGCCTGTTGCGGCAATCACAGAAACCAAATCCCCAGCTTCCATTCTAATCTCCCCAATTATCGTGGGCTTGCACCCCCCACGCCCCTCAGCGGCTACTTTCGGCCATTGTGGTGATGCAGAAGCTAAAATGAGCCACGTGACGGCTGATAAGCTCCGTACAGCTGGGTCTTTTCTTTTTTTTTCCCTTTTGCCTGCACTTTGATAGTCACGGGCCGGTCTGGCTCGGCCTCTGCGGAGGACCAGGGGGGTCCCTTGGTATAGCGTAAACATGACCATGAATGACTAGCTCAACTGGAGCAAGCTGGAGATCAATGGCGAAGAAGAATTGGCCTTTTTTCTTTCTGCTGTGGAATGGGGGAAGGCTAAACAAACAGGGCAAGGGAGATATGGATTATCGGGCTGGAGATAGCGCCACCTCCCTCACACGCCCCAGGCACAGACCAGATTCACCAAGCGAAGCACCGCAGTCAACCGACACTGATAGTCACTGCCCTCTGAGATGGATATAATAAGCTCTCTGCCACCCGATTACCCATTCCACAAACTCAACCAGATAGAACCTAACTTGACTTATCTTGCATCATCGCTCCGTAAACCTAACACCAACACAATCACCATCTGGATCCCTCCATACTGATCCAGCATCTCCATTCAACTACCAACCTAGGACCTTCAACTCAACACCACACACACATCTCATATAATGAGCTCGGCCCTTCGGCGAGGGACTGCCCAGCCCCTTCGCTGGGCGACTGCATCCAACGCCATCACCATCAACACACTCCGACCATGCCTCACCATCACAAAGACCAACATGGTCGCCCGCCGTCACATCCACTCCTCTGAGCGACGCACAAACACCATCGCCGAGCAGCAGCAAATCCCCGATCCTCTTCCTCCCATCGCTCCCAGCAAGGCACCTCTCTCCGTCCTTCCTCTCATCATGATTCTCCGATCTCTCGCCACTATGACCGTCTCCTCCTCGCCTCTGCTCCTACCTCCCTCACTGCACGTCATGGGTATTCTGGCCAACACCACCAACCCTCTGCTCAACCCCGACAAGAACCCCCTTCTGCGATATTTCCTCAAGAAGACCTTTTACGCTCAGTTCTGCGCAGGCGAGAAGTCACCGGAGATCAAGAAGACTATCGATGGACTCAAGAACATTGGTTTCACTGGTGTTATTCTGAACTACGCCAAGGAGGTTGTCCTCACCAAGGATGAGGGCGAAGGTCTGAAGAACGGTGCCATGGAGACCGACGAGTGCATTCAGAACGAAATTCTTCCCTGGGCCCGAGGCACCCTCGAGACTGTCCGACTTGCTGAGCCTGGTGACTTTGTCGCCCTCAAGTTCACTGGCGCCGGAAGCATCGCTCTCTACCAGCTCAAGGACCGTCTGCCTCCCAGCCCCGCCATGTACAAGGCCATCGACTCCATCTGCCAGCTTGCCCACGAGCGAGGTGTCCGCCTCCTCTTCGACGCCGAGCAGGACATGCTCCAGGACGGCATTGACGACTGGACTCTCGAGTTCACCCGCAAGTACAACAAGGGACTTGGCGAGGCTGTTATCTTTGGTACCTACCAAGCCTACAAGAAGAAGTGCCCCGAGGTTCTCTCCAACCACCTGAAGCTCGCTCAAATCGAGAACTTTGCTCTCGGTGTCAAGCTTGTCCGTGGCGCTTATCTCAACTCCGACCCCCGCGAGCTCTTCCACGACACCAAGGAGGAGACCGATGCCTGCTTCGACTCCCTCGCTGCCAGCGTCCTCACCCGCAAGTGGAACATTGACGTCAAGGGTTCCGGCGAGTACCCCGCTGCCAGCCTTGTCGTCGCCTCTCACAACGCCGAGTCCGTGCGACGAAGCCGCGCCATCATGGAGGCCGGCCGAGCCAAGTCCGACATTGCCTTCGCCCAACTTCAGGGCATGGCTGACGAGGTCAGCTGCGAGCTTGTCGAGGCTGGCCAGTCTGACAAGACCAAGATTCTGCCCGCCTACAAGTACCTCGTCTGGGGAACCACTGGCGAGTGCATGAAGTACCTCCTCCGACGCGCACACGAGAACAAGGATGCCGTCCAGCGAACCAGGGGCAGCCGGGATGCTCTCTGGGCCGAGCTTGTCCGACGATGCAAGAGCGCCGTCGGCTTGGCTTAAAGAAGTAAAAGGAACAAAAAATAAAAAGGGAAGAGGGAAGAGAAAAGAACTTGATATCATGTCTTTATGTTTCTTTTGTTTTGCATCATGGGTAGCGATCAGGAGTCCAGGGCGTCTAGCATCTCAATATCCGAGATAGATCAAGCATAGATGAAGAAATGACTTACGTTTTAGTCTTTAACGATGATTATTTGATTGATTGTGAAGCTTTGACTTGGTATTGTGCTTCAGACACCCCTTAGAGCCATTGCGCCGATGACGAGTGACTCGATCTCCTTCTGCTTGACCTTTTCATCTTGGATATCATCCATCCACTTGAGTCCATTCAACTTGTAGTACTTGCGCACCTTTGGTACGTCAGTGGTGGTAGAGATCTGGTCATCTGTGATGGATAAAGCCTCTCCCTCAACATTGGTCTTGAGATGTTCCCAGATCTGGTCATGTGTCAGGGGCTCAACACCATCTTCTCCAGGGAATGTGACCTTGACAACGATGAGGTCTTTGGTAGAAGGAGAGATACCATATCGACGATAGGCATCAGCAATCTGAGCATGAAATGTCAGCCTCAAACGAAGACATCTCGGAACAAGGGGTCATATTACGTTATTAGAAGAACTCATAGCACAGACAATTTCGGAGTGAACGTTTGGAGTCCTGAGAGCGCCATTCACAGCCGTCGACGTAGCCTTAAACACAGCGGATAATAATTGAAGCCGTGACACAACCTGGTGATGATCCTCCGTATTAATGGAAACTGCCCTTTACCCAAGTCGGGTACTCCGCGCGGAACTCACCACTGAGGCATCAATGAAGGCGTACTCGAACTGGGGGTTCCGAGCAAGCAGCTGCTGGTGCAAAAAGGCCGCATTCTGTACGTCACGGAACAGGGCAAAGTAGACCTTGTGCGAGTTTGGCAGGTGTTCGAGAGAAACTGTTTCGAGAGCCATTGTTGCTTGCTGACCAGGGCCTGGGAGCCGATAGAGCCGTTGTAGTTGGCTTGGCAGTGAGAAAGAGCACCTGGAACTCTTGGCAGCGGAATATGGACAAAAGTTCGTTTAGGAAAATCTGCTGATTCCCGTAACTTAATTTTCTCTTAGGGATAAGGGTAGTGCGTAACGTTGTGATGGTGGTTTGAGCAGTTTCGATCTTGGGTTTAGTTTAGTGTGGAGGGGTAAAAAAGAGTGAGATCTAGGGATGGGCTGTGCAATTGGTAGCGGGGCATGTCAAGGGTCGTCACATGTTTGTTACACTGTGTTCGTACTGTATATTCCATATGACGCTCGCCTGTGACACTACGATAACTCGATTTTGATGCTGCAACGCGTCACGAAGTGAGGAGAAGCCGACCTCGATATATTACGTACAGAGTATGTTGGGATCATGTCTATGACCATTCATCAATTGCTATGGCTAAACGTTTTCCACGTCGTTCAGTAACAAGTCAGACTCAATCGCCTCATCCGTTTTGCCCACGTCGTTCAAATGACTGTGGCAATCTTCCACCGTTGAGTATCTCCGATACAAGGCCGGCGCCACCATCATCAAGGTTGACAGACATATGCCGTCTGTAGCGGGAACGGGATCATCAACATCTTGGCAGCCCAACCTGAAGGCTGACAGTGGAGGCTGAAAGCATGAACCTGATCAGCAAGGCACCGACATAACCATAAAGTCAATCAAAAGAACCGCTAATCTGAACAGGTCTGGTCTGGCTTCGTCTTGGCTCTTCGGTACCGGCAGGAGGGTTGCAGTTCCATCAATGGTTTCATTCGTCTAGGTTGCATGCAAATCATAATGATACGAGTTTCCCAAGATTTGCCCAGTCTTGGCTTCCCCAGGCTCCGCTCATCAGCTCGTTTTCTGTTGACATTTTTGCGCTGGGTGACGAATCGTCATGGTCGAATTTCTTACGGTACCGCCGAGGTTGACCTTGTCACTTTCAGCCACAGCATCATTGTGCTTGTACGGCATCTTCTCCCAAGAAACCTCGTGGCTTGCCCAGAAAAAGACCACGGTCTAGACGGCCATGGTGGAGTCGTCTCCCCTTGCAGTGCCTCTGTGGGAAACTCTGGCCTGGCTGGCCTGGCCCTGTGAGTAGATCCGATGTCATACTCTGGGCTACGGAGAATTCATCCAACACTCACGTTATCGTGGCTGCCTCTCCCAGTCTACCGGTATTCTTCTAGAAGGACTCTCCGTTCCTCAGACACTGACGATATCTCGTCTCCGGATGAGTTATCTTCCATATTTGATAGAGAGAACCTGTCTGTGCTTTCCTCAGCGAGATGCGGGCTTTCCGTGCAAAGAGAGGTTGACGATGGGAATAATTCTGTTGAACGCCAACTCCGGGACAGATCTGTTAGTACTGTAAGGTTGGTAAGGTTGGTGTATCTATTTTAACTCGCCAAGCTAAGATGTGAACTAAGGATGGATGGATGGTTACAACCTCAAGACATCCACCAGATCTCTTTGCTTATAAGACCAGACGTTCACCAGCCTTATCCCTGTTTGATCCATCATACAATAACTGTGCATACTTTACCATATACAATTGCATTGACTGTTCGAGATCTTCAATATACGCAGAAGAACAGGTGATTTTCTACAGCCACTAGAGTCTAGACCATTTCTTCCACAGATCACAAGCAAATCATCCCATCTGTCCCCTCCCTCCCTCTCGTCCAGTCTCATATCCAGATCCGCTCCTCGTCAGTCTTCACGTCACATACGTCCACTGGGGTTCGTCGAGGCCTACACCTTCGCCTCCACCCAGTGTCGAGTCCCCCATACCCGGAAGGCCGCTAATGCACAGCGCATTCCCCGCTAAGCCCATCCCCTGTACAGTGCCATTCTCAGTACCGGCAGCACCAGCACCAGCGGCACCACAAGCACGAGCCCCAGCAAGCCCAAGCTCGAGGCCTCGTTCCCAGACCAGTATGATGGAGGCCATATCCCAGCGCAACCTCAATTCCTCCATCGCCAACTTTTCCACTCCCACGTCGTTGTCGTTGACGTCGCAGCCAGGCCCAGGTCCCCTCTACTGGCCCTTCGACGCCCGATCTTACCCTGCCCTCGCCTGGGCTCCTGATACATTTGCCTACAGCTGCAATCCTTCTCACGCCGCTGTAAAAGGCCCTGCGACTGCGACTTCAGCAAAACCCACTGGGCGCCGCCCGCGCCAGCCTGCCACGACATCTCGTTGCACGGCCAGGACAAAGGCCAGCACCGCCTCTTGCACGAGCACCAGCAACAAGAGCGCTTCGCCTTCCGCTACTTCTTCGGCGAGATCTTCACCTGCTTCGTCGAGGGGCATCTCCCCGCGCATCAAGTCCAAGATGCCAGGACGACCTCCCAAGCGGGCTGCTAGCAATGGTGAAGATGATGGCACGATTCAAGCTCCCGGCAAAGTCAAGCTTCCCAGGCTAGAACGTGGCCCGGACGACTTCTCCAGCGTTGTCAAGAACCGATTACAGTCTTATACACGCACTGGTCAAGCTTGCGACAGATGCAAGGTATGTCATGAATCTCAGGTCATGCTCTCACAACATGCTAACCGCGCGAAAATTACAGGTTCGAAAGATTCGATGCGATGCACTCCCAGAAGGCTGCTCCCACTGCACCAACCAGAACCTTGAATGCTATGTTACAGATCGCGTGACAGGGCGCACAGAGCGAAGAGGATACATGCAGGAGTTGGAGAGGGAAAAGAGCGACATGCTCTCCCATATTCGCGATCTTGAGAAGCTCCTCGACAACAAGGGCGTCGAAGTCAAGCCCTGGGAGTGGTCACCTTATGCACAGTGCCCCTCCGACTCAAACTTTGATGATATGGGCAACCCAATTCCTGACCCAAAGACTGGCGAAACATGGTCTCAAGTCGGCAGCGCATTGTTCAAGGACTCTGGATCAGCCCCCAGCCTGTCTCCCAGCTTCCCTCGCACATTAGAGTCCCGCCCTCATGAGAATCATCTTGGTGTTGGAATGGACAGTGCTCCTCTCAGTTCAATCGGGGGTACGCGATTGTCAATTCTAGGGATGACAGTCGACCTCGCGTCTTTTGAGCCACCAGATGCGGAGGAGCCTCCAGTCGATGGCAAGGTGGCGCCATCGTACAACAAGTCCCCGCAATCTTTCCTCCAATCCATCATGAGAGTCAATCCTCCCATGCAGGCTGAGATGCCTTCGCGCGAAGATGCCTTCACCTACGCCGAGTGGTACTTTATGACCTTCTCCGCTTTCCTTCCAGTCCTCCACAAGCCTTCTTTCATGCGATTGGTAAGTGTTGTCTCACCATCCTCTAAGCTTAATCGCTAACAGCCATACAGTTGACCCGCATGTACGATGAACCTAATTTTGAGCCTTCAGTGGCGGAGCTTGTTACAGTGCACATGGTTTTCGCCATCATTTGCTTCCAGTATGGCACAAGAAACTGGCAGCAGGTTGACCAGCGCGCTCAAATGAATGAGCGATCCAACAGTCACTACCATTTTGCGCTCAGCAAGTTTTTCGAGTTGACATGCACCCGAGACCTGGCTTCGGTCCAGGCCATGGCCATGGTCGTCAAGCATACCAGAGCTTTCCCCAAGCCCGGTGTTGTTTCAATCGTCGCCAACCTTGCCCTTCAGCGCGCACTTGAATTGAACTTGCACCGAGAGTCAAGAAAGCCAGGCGAGCCCAACAATCTTCAACATGAGCTTCGCAAGAGAGTTTTCTGGGTCATCATGACTGTCTACATTGCTGTTACTGGACGTCGTGGCCGGCCGATGCCTATCACCGTTGAGGAATTTGACGTCGGCTTTCCCGAGCCTATCGCTGATGAGCTTCTTTCGGATGAAGGCGTTGACACATCCCGCGATATTCCCTGCCCTTACTGGCCAGGTATCATGAGCTTCAAGATCATTCCCATTTATTTGGAAATGTACTCGAACATCTACAGTGTTCGACGGGATGCGCGAAACTATGTCAGCATCGTCAGGGCGCTTGAGGCTCAGATCAAGAAGTGGGAGGACGAGCTCCCTGGCCACATGGTGATTGACCATGCTGAGCAGACCGAGCAAACCCGTCTGGCAGCTGTCTACGCCAAGACGTGGGCGCTTGAGTTCCGTCTTTGCCTGCGACATCCTTCAGTCGCCATGACCAGCGACAAGGCCATGATGGCTGAGAACATGGCCATCTGCGAGGATGTTTCGCGCCAAATGCTTCACTGTCAAATGGAGATCCAGAAGTGCAAGTGCCTTGATACGACATGGTACCAGACTTCGATGTACACAGCTGGCACCTTCACCATGTTGGCTGCCATGTGGGAGAAACGTTTTGAAACGACTCCAGAGGCCATTGCCACGTTGCGGGAGGAGATGGACGGCTGGATCGGCATTCTTGAGGAAGTTGGCTCTCTTCTCGGTAAGTTCCAGTCCTTAGTTCGCAAATCAGTCAGCCCTAACAATACGACAGGCTCGGATTCTAGCGTTGCCACTGAAATTGGAAACATCATTGACCGCACGATTGCGTGGATCGACCATGATATGCGCAACAAGGAGACAAAGAGTGCTCAGCCTTCTACCACACCGGAGGTCAAACAGGAACCAGCCTCAAGCTACCCATCTTCTCAGGCCCAGTCCGCACCCACCAGTGGAGGGGCTCAAAGTGAAGTCCCATCTACCAAGAGCTACTTTCCCGAGTCCGACCTGAACGGTCAGACTCCTTACCCAACACTCGCCTACAATGATCACCCACAAGACAGCATGGCACCTCCAACTTACGACACTGGTGCCATGTTCTACAACACATCTGCACAAGCCGCAGTCGCAGCTACCACATCGGCACTCCCGTCGTCTGTGGCGCAAGTGAACCCAATGCTCGCATTCTCACAGCCTCCCCAGGTCGCGCCTCAGCCCGACATGATGTGGCAGAGCCGCGGAAACACCTGGCACGACTGGACATCGGCCATCGCTGACACGCAAGATCGCTTCAGCGCATCGACACTCTTGACGCTCGGAGGCAGTACACGAGACGCCTCGACAGGTGCGGGCGTCCCGGGCGTCACATCCAGCCCTTCGTCAAATGACATCAACAGCATTCAGCAGGGAGGCCAGTGGCCGCTGATAATTTTTGACCAGGTGGCGCCAAACGGATCTTGATTTTGACGGGGGAGCATTTACTGGGGCGTTTTCTGACTGGGGAGTTTTTGTAATGGACAAGAATCGTGATGATTCAAAAAGGCGCTTCAACGAAAGGGACTGATGAAATATGTATTGATGGGTTGGATGGTTCAAAAAAATATGCATTCTGGCATTGGGAGATGAGTTTGGATGATGCTGATTTAGCTTCTGCGATATAAATATTTACTTGATCTTATAGACGTACATAATCAATGTATAATTACTACACACATCACATTTCAATACATGCAAAACTGCTACACGTAATCTTTCACTTTCAAGATGGAACTCTGAAAAAGTTATCCTCGTGATGGCAAAGTCTAACATGTCCCATCATTGATGCTTGGTGTTGAGGCATCCGCTCTTTTTAACCGGAGCTTCTCCGACGAAGCTACCCACTCTTTTTCGAGTCGCGTTCAGTTCTAAGCTCCACGTCCAAGATATTGCGATTCGACAATTATCAGGAACCTCTGTGCGCTCGAATTGATCGCGCATTATCCCTATCGACTTGTAACACATATCCGACATCAGTAACAAGATGGGCAAGAAGCGACGCGGTCACGCTGACATCGAGGAGGTCCTCAGTCGACCCTGGTGCTACTACTGTACGAATCCTGCGGCTTGCGCTCTGATCACTCCATGCTAACATTCCTATCACAGGCGAGCGTGATTTCGAAGATCTCAAGCTTCTCATCTCTCACCAGAAGGCAAAGCACTTCAAATGCGACCGCTGTGGTCGTCGTCTCAACACAGCAGGAGGTTCGTTTCCCAATCATCCGAATTCCACGAAAGCCGCGCTGACAGCACAGGTCTCTCCGTGCACATGAACCAAGTCCACAAGGAAAATCTCACACAGGTCGAGAACGCGCTTCCGAGCAGACAGGGTCTTGAGGTAGAGATTTTTGGCATGGAGGGTATCCCCCAGGAGATGCTCGATCAGCACCGCAACCGCATCCTACAGAACTTTCAGCAGGCGCAGAAGGATAGGCAGATCGCGACGGGAAACCCGCTACCGGGACAGGGACATGCGCAAAAGAAGATCAAGACTGAGTCGCCGGAGGAGCTGAAGCAGAGATTGGCCGAGTTTCGAAAGAGGAAGCAGGAGATTGCTGCCAATGGAGGTGTTGATCCCGCTGCGGCTGCGAATACCGAGACGCAACCGCAGGCTCCTTTCGTGAGTTTCTCTTCTCTACGTTTCGTTTGGAATATGCTAATATCTGTAGAACGGCTCTTACCAGACCCCTCCCCAAGTATCCTTCGACCAACAACAAGGCTATCCCGTACAACCCCCCAACCCAGCCCAGCCCTACGCCTTCTCCGCCAACAACCTCCCCGCACGTCCATCATCCGGCGCGCTACCCACGGCAGCTGGTCTACCCCAGCGACCGACGCAAGGCGGATCTTGGAACGGTGGTGCCGGTGACGATATTGATCAGATGATCCGTATGGCCGAGGCGGGTATCAAGCCAGCAGCGACAAAGGGAGAGGACGAAGGTGGTGATAAGAAGAAGAAGGAGAAGAAGGCGAGGATGTTCTACGATGATGCGGAGATTAGTCCCGAGGAGAGGATGTCGATGCTACCCCGGTATGCGTTTGTACCGGAGACTGTGAGTTAGGTGGGATGTTGTCACTATTTCTTGTGAATTGGGGTATTTTTGTTGCATGGTAGGCGTTAGGTTGTAAACTAAATGGTAAATTGATGGTGATTTTTACTTGGAGATCTGTTGCAACACCACTTTTACTGTGATATTAGTATGCAGCGATATCGTGGGAATTATTCAGACGTCCCTCATGATCCCTGTGTCATCCGATGTTTATGCTCTTTTGTTTTGACCTGCGGTATGTGTTGTGAACCTTGTTGTTATCCATGGATGTTGGTTATTGTGATGGCCATGTGGACATGTGTTGTAAGTGGAGGCTACAACATGACAGCGTAAGAGCTCTCAACGTTGGTTCACAACCCACGGTGATGGGACACCGCCAATGAATACGTCTCCAAGCACGCAAAAAAGTCCAGCAGCTTTCATTTCATTGACCACAAGTAATAGCAGTTCAAACGACCTCGTATTGTTGGCTATCAAGGATAAAAGCCATGATGATACAGGGTAAGGTAGGCAAGGACTAAGGTAGCCACTATCACCAGGGGTCTACCAGCATCTCGAGCTTTGAGGTCAACAACAATAAAGCCACAAATAAGCCATCAACACCTGGCACGCATCTCCATAACATGACTCAAATTCCATTGTTTAATAGCTTCTCCAGCCTCACCTCCAGGGGCCAAAAAACACCCGCATGAATACCACTTAGAGAACCCCTGATAAAAACGGAGCTAAGGCGTCACCACAGCAACACCTCCGAAAAAGGTCGAAAAACAAACCAGACGTCACCTACAACCGTGCTCGGCAGCTCTGAATTGATTTCTCTACAACTACCGCCCGGCTCGTAGTCTGCTACTACTAACTAACGACAACAGGTACACAGAGCTATTCGTCTTTGTTTCTATTTTTTTCTTTCTTGTTCGAGTTCATTTTCGAACATTGTTTCTATGATCATCTGCTCTGCATCGAGCGTGCCTTTCTTTTAAGCTTTGTTTACTCTTAACGGCTTCACGGTTCATCGATACTGAAAGCTTGAGGTGGAAGAGCTTGGGACTGCATTGGCGTCGGAAATCGAGCGAAGAAGGATATCATGGCTGTCATGGGCGCTTCAGCTGCTGCTGGGCAGAATTCCATTACTGTTGCTGGTATGGTTTGCGCTCGTTGAGTGCGGTGCTGGAGCTGATCGTTATTATAGTTCGAGTTCGACCATTTACGATTCGAGAAGCAGCGCAACTGTAAGCAATACGCCGATATTGTGGAGTATGTTTATTAACGGCGTGACAGACAAAAGAACGATGACGGAACTCTTTTCCTCGGCGATGGCTCCCTCGCCGCCGCACCTACACCAAAGCTGCACCAACGCGGCATTCGAAACGTTATCAAGGTTGTCGATGATCGTTGTTTGTACGCGCATCGTCCCCACTACGACAAACGCAAACGCTGACCCATAACAGAGTCTTTGATCCTCCCGAGGACAGCCCCGTACAGAAATTCTCCCGCTCAGTCCTACCCTCATCGAAGAAGGTCAAAGATCAAGTCTTTGCTTTCGACCGCGTCTTCGACGAAAACACAACACAGTCTGATGTCTATGAAGGCACTACTCGAACTCTCCTCGATAGCGTGCTCGATGGCTACAATGCGACCGTTTTCGCCTACGGCGCTACAGGCTGCGGAAAGACACATACCATCACTGGTACATCGCAACATCCCGGTATTATCTTCATGACCATGCAGGAACTGTTTGAGAAAATTGAGGAGCGCAGCCAAGACAAGGTGACCGATCTGAGTCTGAGCTACCTTGAGATTTACAACGAGACCATTCGTGATCTGTTGGTTCCTGGTGGGAGCAGGGGTGGATTGATGCTCAGGGAGGACAGCAACCAGGCTGTCACTGTGTCTGGATTGACGAGTCATCACCCCAAGGATGTCCAGGAGGTTATGGACATGATTGTCCAAGGAAACGAATACCGCACAGTTTCTCCTACCGAGGCCAACGCTACTTCTTCCCGATCACACGCCGTTCTTCAGATCAACATCGCTCAAAAGGACCGATCAGCCGGTGCCAGCGAGCCTCACACCATGGCTACCCTCAGCATTATCGATCTTGCTGGTTCCGAACGAGCATCCGTTACCAAGAACCGCGGCGAGCGTCTCACTGAAGGTGCCAACATCAACAAATCCCTCCTCGCCCTCGGAAGCTGCATCAACGCCCTTTGCGACCGTCGACAAAAGCAGCACGTTCCGTACCGAAACAGCAAGCTTACCCGACTGCTCAAGTTCTCCCTTGGCGGCAACTGCAAGACCGTCATGATTGTCTGTGTATCACCATCAAGCGCCCATTTCGACGAGACACAGAACACCCTTCGATACGCCAACCGGGCCAAGAACATCCAGACCAAGGTGACGCGCAACGTCTTCAACGTCAACCGCCACGTCAAGGACTTCTTGGTTAAGATCGACGAACAGATGGCTTTGATCAACGAGCTCAAGGCCCAGCAGAAGGACGCCGAGGCTATGTTCTTTGCCAAGTTCCGAAAGCAATGCGACAAGAGGGATGCCATGGCTCGGGAAGGAATTCAGCGATTGCGCACCGCCTACGAGAACTCTGCTCCTGAGCGTCAAGAGCGTATCACCAACATGAAGCGTCTCAAGGCTTTCGAGCGCCGCATTGGTATGCTGTCCGGATGGATTGCTGCCTTCGACACGGTCTGCGATGAGCGAGGTGATGAAGATGCGATGCCCGAGAACCTTGTCGCCATACGAAAGACGGCTCAAGGTATCCTTGTTGAGTTGGAGAACAGCCGACATCATATCCACCAGAAGCTGGAGAAGTCCGCATGGGACCGAGCCATCGACACAGCTCTGTCGCACAGCTTGCAACAACTTCAAGGTACCGAGGGTGCCGACAACGGAGAAGCCGACAACTTGACCCGCGAAGCTGAGCTGATCAAGGCCAACTTCAACCGCGAAGCCTACGGGGAAGTCTTGGAGCAGGACAAGGCTGGTGATGCTGCCATGATCCAAATGCTCCTCACCGCGCAGTTCGACATTCTCGCATCACTTTCCGATACGCTCGGCATGGATGAGGAAGAAGCCGTCGCTCATGCGAAGGAGATGATTAACCGTCTCCTCCAAACCGGCTTCACAGCTGCCGGTCAGGTCGTCAAGCCTGATGGTTCGATGCCCGTTGTCGAAGTCTTCTCCCCCAGCAAGCGAGGCACACCCAAGCGCAAGAAGGCCATTGCGATGCACATCAAGCCTGTTTCGGCTCCCAACTTTATGCCCGCGCATAGCGACCACGCTCCTGTCAGCCCCATGAAGGGATCCCCACGAAGACGTAAGGTGTTGGGAGCCTCCAAGAAGGGCGTCAGCTTCACGCCAGTGAAGGCTAAGAAGAAGGGTGGAGTCCGATGGAGGGATGATGAGACGGAGGAGGGCACATTGGAGGACTTTTCGAAAACTCCTCAGAAGTACAACTCCTCCCCTGCGATTCCCTCACCCGAGAAGCCAATCGTCGCACCTATCATGCCTTCATACCTCGAGCCCGAGACATCAACAGTCGAGGAGTCAAGCCCCAGTCTCGAAATTCCCGAGGCTAGCAGCTTGGGTGCGAAGCCTAGCAGGTTCCAGGCCGGTTTCCTTTCCAAGGGACCTAGACATTCCCTTGCTGATGGATCACCCAAAGCACCCACCATGACCCTCAAGCTCGAAGCTTCACCCGATATCCAACGAACACCGCCCCTGCGATCTCTGGATGTCACTAAGAGTGGCAATTTCTCACCATCGCCATCGGGTCTCGGTATTCCTAGAGCGATTAGACGACTTCCCACGATACACGATGAGAACAACCCTCCCGGATCTGGATCTGATTCCGAGACGAGCACTATCGATGCCCGAAAGCTTCAGACCGCCCTCCGAACCGCCATGAAGGAGAAGGCTCGTAGAGCGAGCATCATGGCTGGTACAACAGCATCCAGCACCAAGCGAGTATCGTCGATGGGATCCTTGCCTGAGCGTACCGGACCCAGGCCTAGTCTGCCTGCGGCCCTCGCCAGCAGCGCCAACGGTATCTCTCGACTCCGCCGAGGTAGCGCTGAGAGGAGACGAAGCCCCCCGATGGCGTGCTCCCCCAACGACTTCAAGATAGACATGGCTCTGACACCTGGTCAAGCTAGACGCATGAACATGAACAACACAGTCACTCGAATGGAAGGCCCTGGATCAAGTCCCCAGGGTGGCATGGCGGGCAGTGCGCCGCGACGAATTACCATTGGTACGGGAGGCGGAGCTGCTCATCGCCGACAGGACAGCAGAGGCTATACCTTGCGATGAGCGATTGATATGAGAAGGGTGAAACGTATGTGTACAGATTGAGATTGAGATTGCCTCGATGGCCTTGGATGGGTGCGTGCTTGATTGTTTATGAGCCCGGAGTTACGGCTACGGCGTTTGGGGCCTTGCATGATCTATGTAGATTGGTATGATGTGGCATTCTTAGTGTATCAACACAACTTGAACATTGCTCTTTCGTCATTCCGCGTGAGGCTATCGCCGAAAGTCTTACATCAACTGCCCCGAGTGATGAAACAAGGTTTCTCCGTGATCAGCAATTGGTGTATTGGTATGGGCTGCTTACTCACTTCCGAAAAAGCGATTAAGCATAAGCCATACCGCCACACCGGATGTCGGGATGGTGTTTTAGTGGTTGAGTGGACTGTTAACGCCGAAATGTGGCGACGCTAACAATCGGCGATAGTTGGGAGATGGGCAGTCGGTGATAGAATGATGATGTTGAGGAGTTCTGGTCGGAGATAATGTCATCAAATGAATTGAAGGAGATGGATGGGATGGTAAAAGTATATAAATGAGTGGATGTTTCGTCTTAGGATGGATTCAACAACAATCATCACTTGTCTTACAAGCTTCATTATAAGCACTTCGCACCCACACCAAAGTCACTTACACGCATCACTCTTATAACAATCTCACAACCTCAACATGTCTTCCCCTGTCTGGTTCATCACAGCCGCCTCTTCAGGCTTCGGCCATGATATCGCGCTTCACGCTCTCAACCTCGGGCACACCGTCATCGCCACCGCACGCAGCACATCGCGTGTCCAAGATCTCGCTGACGCAGGTGCACACACGCTCGCATTCGACGTAACATCTCCCCTCTCTGACCTCGAAGCCATCGCCAAAGAGGTCTTCACTAAGCACGGCCGCGTCGACTATCTCATTAACGCAGCTGGATACATCCTTGACGGTGCAGTGGAAGAGGTTTCGCAGCAAGAGCTCTACGATAGCTTCAACACCAATGTATTTGGTATTTTCAACACCATCAAGGCTTTCTTACCGGGAATGCGAGAGCAAAGTATCGGCCAGAATGGAAAACGCGGTACGATTGCTACCTTTGGAAGCATCGGTTCTTGGAGAGGCGGCGCAACATACTCTGTCTACTCCATGGTGAAAACCTGCATGTCCTCCCTCGCCGAGTCCCTGCGCTACGAACTCGAGCCCTTCAAAATCGTCGCCACGGTTGTGGAACCAGGTTACTTCCGCACTAGCTTCCTTAACCCTGGTGTGAGGGCCGTTACGAAGAAGCGATTGGATGTTTATGAAGATGAGAACACGCCTACGGGTAAGACGAGAAAGATGTTGGAGAAGACGGATGATAATCAGCCTGGAGATGTTAAGAAGGGTACCAAGGTTATCGTTGACATTCTTACGGGGACGGGGGTTGGAGAGGGGAGGGAGGTTCCGGTTCGGATTGTGCTGGGGAGTGATGCGGATGTTTATATTAGGAGTAAGTGTGAGGAGACGTTGGAGCTTTTGAATGAGTGGAAGGATGTCACTGTTAGTACTGATCATGAGAAGTAAGGATCAGGGTGAGGATGAGGTTGGGAATATGGGGTCTGAGTGCAATTTGATTTAGGTTGACCAAAAGATCCTCATTTCCTTTGCATTACCAATAAAAGAGAAGCAAGAAGATCCAAGGCTTCTTTTTAAAGAACACAACTGCTTAGGTGTATTAGGTAAACTTTAATAAACTTAGGATAAGCTTAGTGATCTTTAGAGTATCTACTCATATTTAGGCCCTAAGTTAGGATCGGAGGCTTTCTTGATCCCCAAGACATGACCGAGTTCAACATCCATATGTTTACTAATCAGCATTCCCTTGTTCTTCCATCCAATTCTCAAGTTCAGATTCTCCAAATGAAAGGAGCTTGGTGTTTCTGGCTTGATCCTCAAGGAACGTCTCCCCCGCGTCGTCGGATGAGGACACATATTGGACGGCTGTTCGCTCGCGGCCGTTGCCAGGCCCCTGGAATTTGAGGACACAAGTCTCAGTAAGCTCTTGAGCATTAGACCGTTGGTGGTGGTGATTATTGGGCTTATTGCGATTGTTCCGATGATGAGGATGGCACGTTCATACTTGTTAAGCTCCGGGGGAAGTCTTAGTCTATTGCACGGCAATGCCAGATGAGATCTCGCCACTCCGAACTTGGCTAAGAAACGCGCTGGAGATCGGGATGGCGCATTGCTTCGATGGCACTGTTCTGAAATGCAATCTGGACTATGATCACAGATGCCACGTTGTCTCGTCGTTTTGCCCAAGCTGCGTATTTCTTGGCCACGTTTAGGTCTGGAGTGAAATGGCACATGGCCTTGGTCCTGCTGAGTCTGTCGGTAGGGCTGACAGAAGGACACAAATTCTGTTTCTGTTGAGAACACCCTGAGGATCGAAGAGGCCGTCGAGCCGTGCTTGATCCATCGCTTTGTATAGCACAGTGAAGCCGTCCACGACTAATGGCCCTGCAAGTGTGTGTATACCTCCGGAGGCTGATCCACTAGGTTCGTTGTTAGTATGTTGCACATATCCTAAAGGGTGGCAGAAGACTCTAGTCTAAAGTAATCCAAGAGCTGGATAATATCATCATACTTTAGGGTAGTTTAGGATAAACTTACCTAGGCTTTGACTATTCTTACTTGTGGATCTGTATAGAGCCATTAGGCGGGTTGGGAAGATTGACAAGGTCAAGATTGATCAGCTGGGCTGCATCTCTAGGTGCGAGGATCTCCCCGAGGGAGCTGTTGCGGGTCATAGTCTGGTTCGGTAGGAAGGATCGACAATTTCGAGGAGGTGATAAGAGGTTGAAGGTGGTAATGATGTGGTTTAAGCCTGCCTTATATGAAAGATAAAGTGGACCAGTTAAGTTATTGTTTAAGTTTAGTGCACCAAAGAGACTTTGGTCCCCATAGGCGTTATTCGTAGTTGGGGCCTGTGGCTTGGAGATCATGACTACTACACAGAACCTAGAGTCTTAGCTAAGGTAATTGGACCTTATCCTCATGATACGATCTTGGTCACTGAGATAGGTCTAAGTTTTGTGTGGTGATTATAAGCTCTCAACCACAGGCCGCAACTGCAAAATATCTAAAGCTTGCCCTCGTTACGGGAACTACCAAGGTTTGGATTTACATCTCGTTTTGTCACCATGTCATCCATCCTTCTGCGATATCAGGAAAACCTTGCTTCTCCAAGTGCCTCTGGACGCGTCTTCTGAATCTCATCTGGAATCATGATCATATCCAGGAAGATCTAGACCGCCTGAAACACGGAACTTGGTTCTGATCCATTCACGAGTAAGGAAGTCAGCCGTCTCCCAGTCTATCAGCCCGAGCGAACTGTCTGGGGTATTTATGATGATGTTCACGGAATACAGATCGCAATGACAGAAGATAAACTTTGAGCAACTCATTCCCAGTTCTTTAAAGTTTCTCAGCAAAGTCGCGGGACTACAATCATCCGACATCCCACGCCTCCTGAGGCAAAGGTCTGATAAGGGCTTGCCATCAACACCACAAACGCTATCAGCACACCGCATTGCTAGTTCTTGGCAGATGTCCGCGATCATAGTGGCATATTCCTGTTTTATTACTAAGGTCTTCAGTGTGGTGATATAAGCTCTCAGCCACGGGTCTCAACTGCAAATAACACGTCTCAACTTAGACATTTATTACATCATCCGCTGTAGACCAATCATCACAGTGGACCCATAGGACTGACACGCCGCCAAAATCGTCGACTTTCCTGATGCCGCTCTCGGTCGAAAGTGGCTTAGATGGTGGTACTGGAAATGCAGCGCCCGAAACACTGTACAATTGTCCTTCGCGATCGCTCCAGCCAGGACTGTGGGGGGCATGGATGGAAATGAGAATATTCTCTCACCGCTCTTAGGGTCCAAGTCTAGTTTCAAATAGAATAAAAAGATTACGATCTGCTTTGCCGATTCCAAGTTTGACATGTCTACCATTAAACAGCGTTCTGCTTCTTAGGTCTTCCTCGCTTCCCTGTCGCACAGCCCTTTAAATGCTTGCGATGTTCGACAATATCATCAGTGGCAAGGCCACAAATGCATGTGAACGGCCTTTTACCACTGCAGTTCTCTTTGTCTATATGCTTTAGGTGACCATCCTTTCGCCCATTGGGATACCCACATCGGCAGACATAGAGAGCACCGGAATGTTTGCTGTCGTGATGTCGTTTCAAGGTCCTTTCGTTCTTAAAAGACAAATGCTGGCAGCCTTCTTTCGCGCAACGGAAAAGTCCAAGTTTGGGAGGGGACGTACTAGGGCTATTCTCGTACCTAGCTGGTTGCGGAGACGGAGCATTATTGCTCGCAAGGATCGTAAATAAGCTTCGTAATGGTTTTGAATGTTGCCGGTGCGGAAGAGACTCACGTGTCGCTTCCTCACGGGACCTTTGAGAAATGAATGGTTCGGTGAACAAAAAAGAAAAACCGCACAGATTCAAGACACTGGCCACTTGCATAGGCTCATCGGAAGATGGTAGTAAGTAAGTGTATGATTCCTGTTCGGTGTTGGATTGAATGAAATGTGAAAATGTGGTACCGCCCAGGCCCTGGTGATCGATGTCTTGGGGTAAATCACGGCAAAGTTGTGATGCGCCATGAGGTTCCTGAGGGGGGTTGACAATTTGACCCGGTTCCGAAAAGAGATAAGGATCAAGCCATATCTCGTCATCTTCAATACCGGCAGGGTTGGAGAATTGTTGTAGATGTTGGTTGTAATTCAAACTGGATCATGTGTGGCATTTGCAGCACATCCACACATGCACAACTTAATGCGCCGCCGATATTTGAAGTTGCGCATAGCCATGACGATCACGTGGCTCAGCACTTCAGTTGCGGAAAGGGTTCGACTTGTTGGGATTTTGCTTGCAAATGGAATGTAGTTTCCTTCCTCAGAATAGAGGATGGATGATGGTAGTAGCGTATTGATGAAGGGAGGAGGCGGGTGGGTGGTTGTCTGAGGATCACAATTGCTTTCGCTGCGGCGAGGAAGCGTTTTTATGCTGAACTAAAGAGCTCAGGAAGACTACGCGTACCGCAGTCTCAACAGACCGCCAAAGACATATGCTAAGTCTCCGATTCGTTGGCCGTCTACTTGCTTGACCGACTGTAGCATGGCTTGAAAAGCTGAATGAAGGCCATTTATCTGATTGGCGCAATCTGAAAAGCAGGCCGTGCATTACCATGGCCAAGACTCGAGTACTTTTCGTGCAGATCCAATCAGATAAATGGCCCTTGGTCATCCATAAGTAGACATTATGGGTCTAAAAGAACGCCGAGATATCAGATTAGACAGTGTTGTGCTTGTAGGGAGGTTCTTGTCAGCGCTACCAGCATATAACAGCCATGCAGTCTCACTTTCAACCTTTTACGGCAAGAATCTTTTTAGCATCAAAGAATCTCTTCTTGAGGGTAATGGAGGTAAGATATCAAGTTCGCTTGTGGTTCAAGCTGACCGTGCCAGCAATATCAACAAACGGCCACTGGCACCACACGCCATGCATTGCAGCTGCCTGAAGATGATCCCGATAACACGACTGTGAATCTGATCTTAGAAGACGAAGACGATCCTGGTTATTCTCTGATGATTGGAGATCTGATTAGGAGGGAGAGACACGCCGATGTCTATTCTGTGTATGATCCTGAAACTGGTGCTAAAGAGTCGAGAGCAGAGGCTCGCGCTTTTGTTATCGATAGAGTTTCAGGGAAACTGAAAAAGTATCGAAAACGATGCACGTACCGTCTAGGAGCCCGAACGTACTTTTCAGCGCCATGTCGCGGAGCTAGAGTCATAATTTATACGACCAACTCCCTTGATGTTGCCACAGCCAAAGAAGGGACCCCTGGTTTGAGCGAGTTCTCCCAGAGGTTACCGAGTGGGTCTAATGACAGCTCGACTCCTTCAGAAGGCCAACAAGACGAACGAGACCAAACCCAAAACACAGACTATAAACGAGAGTCAAGACGAACGCGGCAGCTAGAAAGGCGACGAGCGAAGAGGCATCAAGGACGTACAGAGAAGGATTTGGAAGGGGTTCCAAGCTCTCAATCTACGGAGCCCATTGGAAATGGAAAACCCATGAACGAACCAGTTCTCTCGTCTCGGTAAATCACCTTCAGGTTAGCTATACTACAGTATCTTCTCTACGACGACAAAGGAAAACCTCGCTCGGCTCAGGCTTCAAACGATCCTGCTACCGGGTTTCGTTTTCTGAGAGTGCGGAATTTATTTCACTTGACATTCTACGATCTTATAGAGTCCAAGATAGAACAAGTCGATCAGGGCTTTCCGTTGATTATTCGTTGCTCAGGTTACGGAATTCTTAAAGACCTCGAAGAGTTGCAAAAAGAACTATCGGAGATGAACTACCGTCAGCTGTTTTCGGGAATACACTCTGCACTTTCGGCATTCACGACATCAGATCTAAGTCTGGTCAAAAGCACAAACCATCGATTGGCAATCCTTGTTTATATTCAGTCAACCCTGCCCCTGATTATCAGTGACAAACAAAAGGTTAATGAAATTGCGCAGGACATACGAGCTTTCGTTTAGGTGTGTGCGCCGCCATCTTGCTCTGTTGCTGTTGTATCGCAAGATCCTTGATTTTCCTGGTACTGAGTTGGATCGTCTTGGGGGACGCATCAGAGGCACCTTCTTATACCCTGTGACGGCGGGCAATTGAGTCATCTTTTAGGTTTCCATGATATCAGCTTTATGCTGTAGTAATTGGTCAGGCATTGTGGTATAATGTCTAAGTTGTGAGCAAGATGTGTTATTTACAGTTGAGACTTGTGGCTGAGAGCTTATATCAGCACACAACACTTAGTTAATGAAATGGCACTTAAGCATGTGGATATGAGGCCTGGGGCTTATACATACTATGATGTTAATACTCAAAAATAAAGAAGAAATAAAGAAGAAATAAAGAAGAAATAAAGAAGAAATAAAGAAAAGAAATCTAATCTTATCTCTGACTTCTTTTTTAATTTTATAATAACAACTCGTCCTCTTGCTTATCTAAGGGTCATACTCAAGTCTTTCTGTTTATGTCACATGCAGGGTTGTTGAGGTGCGTTCCATGTAACCATATCGCATCATCGTTCTGCTCCATTGGAAGACAGAGAAAACCGGCCGATCATGTTTAAAGCTTTCCTTCCTAAAGAGCTCCGTTAAAACAAGCCATGCATCCATCTCTTATTCATCGGAGTGTAGTGCCTGCAAAATTTAACATTTCACGACAACGATGGTCAAAGAGTGTTTGTTGAAATAACTCTATCTCACCTTGGTTGAATTGATCCCATACAGGCATTCCAATTTAACCTTCTTCTTTCCCAAAAGACCCTTCTTCCTTTACTTGTCTCTTTGCGTTTGATATTTGAGAATGAATGCTTGAATTCTGACTGGTGATTAAAAGCTCACGAGCTCTGAGCCATAGGTCTCAACTGCAAATAACATATGTAGCTCACAGTTTAGACATCATAAAGAATGGATTTAGTTAACTGTAACATATCAATTTCACTTCGTAAGAGGCTCGAAGAACTCTATAATCATGGGAAATGAAAATAACAAACCGACCTCAGGGCCTCATGCCACACGTAGATGACACTATTACAATTTAATAACCCAAAAAGAAAAAGGAGAAGAGAAAGATATAAGATCATCGAACAAAGTTCACAAGTATTTGCGAACATCTGCACAACGTGCATGGACAACCGAAAACCTAGAGACGTGAAACACAAACTGCAAGCGCTCAAGAGGACCCCCTGCACTAAGGATGCCTGTAAGAAGCATCCTTAGTGCTAAGTTCTCTGTGCTGATTTAAGGCTCTCATTAAATCAGCACAGAGAACTTAGCACTAGGGTTGCGTCTCACAGGCAGCTCCTTGATACAGGTTATCACACGACCCAGTGGAGTCGCGCTGGCGACATTGCCTTCCATGTGACACCTGAACGTATCAACGTATGGTTCTTGTTCGGAGTTTCAGATTCTTCCATTGGTCGTCACCAAGTGTTTTGGCGGCCTTCCCCTCCTCTTTCTACCACATTTGTCGATGTGGTGCTTGTGCGTGTTAAGCTGACGAACTGCATGGCCACATGGGCATCGATAAAGCCCGTGGCCAGTGCAGCTGTTGCTCTCAAGGTGTTTACAATGCTTATCTTTTCTTACGCACTGTCTGTCACAGCGACAGACATATGCGGCGCCCAAATGTAACTCAATCAAATGTCGCTTCAAAGACCTCTCGTCCTTGAAGGGCTTACTGCAGCTTGTTCTGCCACAATGGAAGGGACTTGAAATGTGATGAGAGACTATGAGGTGGGCACTGCTGCTTGTTAGACTGGTGGGAAAGAAAGATCATGTTGATACTTACGAGTGAGAATCCACGTCGATGAAAGGCTCGGCACAGAAGTCGCACCTGTGCTGAGCCGTATTGGATGCAGGGCTTGACGTGGTAGATTGAGAGGATCTCTTCTCGTACCCAACGGATTCTGGCGAGTTGGACGTAGGAGCATTGTTGCGGGGAGAGGGGTCGCACAAGGGAGGACATGGTTCTGGCTGTTCCAAAAACAACAAGTTTCGACTAGCTAAAGAATGTAGATCGTCCTGAGACAAGTTTGAAGCTTCTTGAGTAGTGTTGAGAGCGGTGTGAGGCTCATTGATTGAGCGTCGCTCAGATGTCGGACCCAATGTGGCTGAGGATGTGAGGCATGCGTCGAGCGCTTCGACACAGTAGTCGTCATATCCATAGTTAAAAAAATGGTTGCTCTCAACACTAGACAAAAGCTGGAATTCAGTTTCCCATACGTAATCGAATTGCCCTTGCGCGTCGCCGATGTCGCTTGTCCAGGGTTCTAAGTGATGATCATTTTGGTCTTCTTGAATGGGGGAAGCGCCAAGCCTATGCTTGGCGCTGACACTCCCACGAGATGGACCTTAATGGCTAAGAACTCAAGTGTCTGCTGGGCAGACGAGCATCAGAGCAACGAAGCGCAAAAGAGCGTTCTGGTATCGAGTACCATCGGCCTGGCAGGTGTTGAGCCAGCTGGCTTCACTAGATAGTGGAGGATAATGATAAGAGTAGTACAGAGTTTGGAAAAGTGGGCGACAGCTGATTGAAATAACTTGTTGTCAGCTGAAAATGCTTGCCCGAAATTATTCGTGGCTCAGACCCAGGGCCAATTCTGTGATTCGTTGACCGTGAGTGGTACGTAGATGTGAGATGGGGTTGGAATCGGTGAGACTTTCATGGAGTGAGGCTTGTTGATATGGATAGTGGGGTAAGGGGGCCATTTATCTGATTCGTCAGATCCGGGGCATAAGACTATCCAGATGCATATACTGAAGGGCCGTTGATCACTCTATCCTTGCTTAAGCATCATCACACCAATCAGAAATATGGCCCTGAGACAGCCTCGTTCTGTTCAGCAAATCACCGACGACTCTGTAAATGCTCATATAGTTCACGAATCCGAAAAACGGCCCTGATGGGGCCGTCAATGGTTGGACCAATAGCGAAACTGGCCCTGACGCTTTTGTAAGACCAAACAGTTGAGATATCCCAGACAATTAGAGGGGGTTACAGAGAAACATCCAATACGAAAAATGGCCCATGTCGAGCCCAAATTGAATTAACAACACGGCAATGTCTTTCGCCTACCTAGTCTGTCTTCAAGAAAGCGTCAGAATGGATATATAAGACAGCGTTCATCACAAGAATGAGCCTTTCTTCTAGCCCTCCAGTGTCACAATAACTACCAGCCTTTTTCTTGATTGGAATTGTCACTTCCTACTGGCCTCTGTTTCCTTTCTTACAACAAAGCCTTTAGAATGCTGTCGTCGCAGAGAAATGCCACTGCTGAAAAGAAAGCAACTGGTCCAAGCGTACCGCAGAACCCTAAGGAACATGGAAGTAAAGAACAAGGTGAGCCCAGTCCTACACGACAATGGCACATATCAAATCTAACGTCGATCTGGACTACATGTCACCAATGTTAGAATGGCTGCGCCAGAGTGGCGAAGATGAACCGTGGAGGGGTTTCACGGTCGTGGCCACGGATAGACAGAACTGGCAGAGTCATGTTTACCCGGCTCAGGATCGTTCTCAGACCTGGAGTACACAAGCAGAGGTTGGATCCCAAGAAGAGTCATCTACAGGATAAATGTGCCATCGGAGAGATCAAGGGCATTGCAGGTCATTATTAGGCGTCACCGATGCCTTTTGGGCAAGGAAGTACGACAAATGTTTTAAATCAAATTCCAGTTATTGCAATTTTTATTGACAAAGCAACCCGGGCTGCCATTGGTTTCATGGGAGGGAAAATGATATGGTAAAAGTTTGCCGTACAAGTAAAAATCAGGTGCTCTTCTCTCCGAAAGAGAAGCAGGCTATACATGACCATAGAATTGCCTCGAATCGGAAGCCAAGGTGCATAAACCTCCTCAAATCGCAGCAACACAAGCATAGGTATCCTTCCATATATTTGTGCAATCCTCGCCAACTGCAGGATTCCACTGCGCAAATTGTGCCATGGTAATCTTGTAGTGTTGCAGAACGCTGTGGCACGTAGTCCCGGCACCGATGTAGTGGAACTTCACACAGTTCTTAACCAAACCAGCCTGGATTGGTGAAGGCGTCGTGAATCCATTGTCGCTGGTAATGCCTACTGGGTTGGGCTTGGTGTTTGTCGTTGGAGATGAAGTATAGCCATTGACGCAGACGCATGCGTTTGTCCCCTTCCACAAATTGGTGCAATCATTTCCAACGGCAGGATTCCACTTGATAAAGTCGGCAAGGGATATCTTGTGGTAATCGAGAACGCCTTGACAGGTGGTCGTGGTGGTAACGTAGTGGAATTTGTTGCAGTTTGCTACCATGCCTTCTTGGATGGGGCGAGGGGTTTGAATGCCACTTCCAGAATACTCATCCGCAGGAGAGGGTTTCTGGGGAACAGTAGGCTTTGCAGTTGACTTCGCATCAGAAAGGGGCTTTGAAACAGACTCTGCCTCAGAAGGAGCATCGGGTGTCTTGTCGGGTGATGGCAGAGGAGCAGACGTAGGCTCTGTCGTCTTGGAAACAACACCGGTTGGTTCATCCTTGTCGACAGTCCCATCGACACAGTAATAACCGACTGGATTAAGCTTAGGACACTTGAGATCCGGATTCAACGACTTGAGCTCATCCACAGTCATACTCCAATCTTTGGCAAAGGTCGAGCATGTCTGGCCAGGTAAAGGATAAGTTTCATAACCGCACTTTACAGCTCGGCGAGAAGGCATGGCAAGAGCATAAGATAGTCGGAGGACAAGGCTCGCGGCCAGGAGTGCGATGAGATGCATGTAGTTAGCTTGGAAGATGGATGGGAAGGAAGATGAAGAAATGAGTACAGATATTGGTTGGTAATAACACGTTTACTGATCTAACTGGCCCTTCTTATACTTTTCAACCCCCGCAGCAAAAGAGTTATGTTCTAGGTTTCCCAATTAGTATTTGTACTGTAGGCATTGGTCATACATTGTGACAGAATGTCTAAATAGTGAGCCGGATGTGTTATTTGTAGTTAAGGCCTGTGGCTGAGAGCTTACATCACGACGCAGAACTTAACCTCGTTCCCCACAACATAGACTCGAACTCGTCATGATGATGAAGACTTTTGGTCTCGCCACTATGTGTCCGTTGGCGATAAAGGACTTTCCTGGGTGATCATCGTCGTAGACTATAGTTCTTTCTTAAGGTTATTGGTTCTAATGTTAACTTAGTTAATAGTTTCCACCAACAAGAATTAGGAAGGCTATCAGCCAGGCCGGAGTAATTGTTCGGTCGCGGCCCGAAGAGGAGTGCTGGGTTTTACCTGAATAAGGTGATGATGGTCGTGGCACTGACGCCGAGTCAGCTTCTAGGGGTTGAAGTCTCGAAGTGGATGTACATACAGTCCCTCGCCGATGATGCCCATCGTTTTCTCTTACCGAAATCCCTAGCTTGTATCTCTTCTTCAACCCTCCATCATTTATCAGATTTAAGATTATGATAATATGGGAAAGTTTGATTGTTCATATTTGGAAGAGAGCCTCGCAACGCCGATCGTTGTTGGAGAGGTGACACACCTGGCATTCCTGCTGGGAGCCTTGATATACCTCGTACAGCATGGAGTGCTTTTCTCTTCCGTTCATGTTTGGGTCAGGAGCTGATAAATTCGGTAAAGGATGTCCTTCAACGATCGGAACTGTTAACTCGGTCGTCGGCTTGCAAGTATTCCCGTCCGAATGATCAAGTGACAGTTTCTACTCATAAGAACCCCGATGCTGATTGAGGTATATACTGGCTTTTTATGACTCTGAAGGACGTGCTGACTTAAACAGTAAGTATATTGTGGGACCTGGCGCTTAATAGTCCCAATTTGGAAAAAGCTGTCATCTCTCGGGATACGTTACGATGCCGACGGGATTTCCGGCCTGTCAGCATAACGTATAAGCATGGCAAATAAAGCTTATCTATCCAAGGTGTCCGAAACACATTATTTGGGTATAAGAGAAGTTCATAGTCGTAAGTAATAATGCAATTAGTGTTCAATTCACGTTTATCAAAATCATATTTGTCACCAGCAATATTTTTTCAAAAACCATGTCCGAATACGGCTCTTCAAAATTTCTCGCTGGCGGATTGAAGATCTTCGCCATATTCTCCATGTTCACCGGGACAGTCGATCTGATCACCGGCCATAAACTCATTATACCCGAATCAGAGCGAGCTCTCCTCCCAACCCCAACCCTGGCCTTCGTGGACAACCAGCTTCGATTCTTGGGAGCAATTTGGAGTGGATATGGAATGATACTCTGGTGGGCGAGTAGTAATCTCCAAGCGAGAAAGATTCCTCTTTCTTTGCTCGGAACTGCTATGTTCTTGGCTGGTATTGGTCGCTTGACTTCAGGGCTGAGTCTGGGCTGGACTCCATCGTGGCTCAAGATTGCTGCTGCTGCGGAGCTCGTCGTTCCTCCTTTGATCTACCTGTTTGGATTCTAAGTGTGCAACAAGAGCCCTTATAGGGGCGGCGGGCTCGCCGCTTTGGTAAAGTCTATCGCCTCGTTGCTTATTCGGTGGCGCAGACTGAGTCGGACTCTGGCCTGATAGGAGAGTGCACAGGGCATCTTCGTTACATATAAGTCGATAGGATTGCTATGGATGTTACTGCTGTGCCACTACGGCGCTTGTGCAAGAAGGGAGATGGAATGGCCACTCTTTGCTCTCAACTCAAAAGGAATTTGCATTCAACACATGAAATGCCTGCTTATCTCATGTTTCTGGAAATGAGGCTATGACCAGAACAAGGTACTGGCAGGAATGAGTTGCCAGTATGAATTCATTGATATTTGCGCTTACGATTAAAGAAATCTTATAGTTAGGAACTTGGGTTTGTTGTACAAGAATGTATCAAATAAAAATAAGTTATGTCTAAGAAGGGCCCTGAATAAATATGTACATATGTCATCTTCCTCATCTCCTAAAAGTATGATATATATAGGTAGCAAAAGTTTAACAGCGACTGTTTCTTTAGCTCATTTAAGAGGAGTACCCTTGCGGTAGTCACAGTCCTGTCTGTCGAAGGGGCTTCCGCAGCCAGTAGAGCTGTCATGCTCAACAAAGACAGCAGGCAAGTTGAAGAAACATCGGGGAATCTCTCCCTGAACAAGGTTGCTTGTGTCAACCTCATCGCTATCACCCTTGTTCAGTGCGCAGTCGATGACAGCCTTGTAGTAAGTCTCGCGATCACCCAAACCGAAGGAAGCCATCTTCTCGTAGATATCAGCACCAACCTCGGTCCACTCTCCCTCACGAATGGGGTTGGGATCGTTTCGCATGATGTACCAGCAGTACTCCTCGCCATCACGGAGCGGCAGCCACTGTCGACCAGTGGAAAAACCGCAATCCTCACGCGAATCTTTACCGCCAAGCTTATCAGCAACAAGGTGCAGCTTGGAGGCTTTCATGACGTCGTTGGCGACCTTCTTCTGGATGTTGTTGGTGATAGAGCCCAGAGTGACGCGCACGGTCTCGACGTCATCGTCAAGAAGGAACCAGCCGCCGTTGAAGAACTTGGCGATCTTGGTCTCATATGTGTCCCACTTGGGGGCGGGGAGAGAGTTGTACTCATCGTCGCTTCTACCGCCTCCGGTAGCGATTCGGAGGGTATCCTCAAGCTTGACTGAGGCGGACTTAAAGAGGTCGGCAAGGCCAGCTGATATAGTAGCAGCACCATCATCCTCATCATCGCCCAAGGAGAGACCGGACATGATACCTGCCAGAATACCCATACCGGCAGAGATGCCAGAGCCCTGTATTGGTGATGGTCAGTAACAAAAAGATTGGAACTGGACAGAAAGGGTAACTTACCACTCCAGGAACAAGGCCGCCAAGTGCATTACCCATAGTTGCAGCTGCAGAAAGCCAGCCCTTCATATTGCCTCCTCCATTCTCATTTCCGCTAAAGTCCTTGAGCATCTGCCCGATCTTGAGGCCATTGACAAGAGTCTCAGTGGTCAATTGGCGGTGCAACTCGGCGAACTTGCCATGCATGCCCTTGACGGCCTGAAAAGTCCAATACGAATTCTTGCCCACAAATGTCTTGCCGTACTTGTCGAACTGCTCTTCGCAGCCGATGCCGCCCATGGGGTTGCAGCTGGTTCCGATGAGAGCGCAGCCGCTAGCACCGGACTTGCCGTCAGTGCCCCCCATGACCTGATCTTCTAGATTCTTGACCCAGTTATTCTGGTGCTCTGGGGGGTATAAAAGTTAGCATTTTATTGTCAAGTTGGGTGTAGGTGAAGGAGCAAGATGCTTACCCCAATGGCTCTTGATGAATAGCTCAAGGGATACACCGGCAGCTGTGTCTTCCCAAAGCTTGTCGACGCCCTCGACGGTCTTCAGGTCCCATCCCTTGCAGAATTTCTGCTTGTCGTTGAAGATATCATTCGCATCCCGCTTGGAGAACAGGGGTGAACCCTCTGCCGCGGCGGCAAGAGCCAAAAGGGCGGTGGTGGTCTTCATGGTGAAGATGTTTTGTGGGAGATAGATTGACCTGTGGGGAGGTATAGCGAACTGAGCCGATGAAGACTTGTCTCAAGCTTTTTCATTGAGTAAGAGAGGGCATATATATATTCTAACTATTGCATGGTTCAGCCTTTTTGGTACCATGTTAAACTTGAGCTTGGCAGCTGACATGAACGTTTGGCGAGATAAGGCTTGGCATCGCAGCACTATTGGAGTTCATGTGTATACTATGGAGACTTGCGGTGCATTGAGGATTGCAAAGGATTCCTGGCCCAAGCTTACAGCCACTGTGATGATCCGATTGATCCCAGCGTGTAAGGCTATAAGGCGGCCGTTGAGGTGGGGGACTTTTATGGAGATGGTGTGGCTATCACAATTAATGCGGCTAGGGACTAGGCTAGGATTGGGATCCGTAACAGGGTATTCTAAGATACATGCTTTCCAAAGCCAAGGACTTTGTGTTTCCAACGGGAATTACTCGGTACTGAGGTGGGCCGACTTACACTGCAATAGGCATTCAATACAAGAGGAAATAGAGTCGTAGCTGGATATGTCATTTGCAGCTGAGACCTGCGGCTGAAAGGATAATCATCCCATATTGCTTCGTCATAGTTAAAGTTGGAAATAAGCATAACTAGCTGTAGCTATTGTGTAGATACTTAAGGACGGCTAAGTTTACCCTCCTGTAATTAGCAGCCCCCAACCAGTCTAGGAGTAGTCGGCACAACTAGTCTTCCCGTCTATCCGTAGTTCGGCGTGTTTTATCAATCGACCATGGGCCCCTGTAACGAAACAGGTCGCTAATTAACATGTTGCCAAGAGCTTAAACAATCCCAAGTGCTACGTGGAGGGCTCGTTAATTGTTATTTCCATCACACCAGAGTCACGCTACAGCATAAGATTGGGTACTTCCCCAGATCATGACTCGCCAGCTCGCCAATAATGCCTCGACATGGTGGGGTCCGGCAGATGTATGTAAGACGGAAACCCCTGGGAATTTATAAAAGCCCGAACGTCTGACGTCCAAGGTAGCAGTTGGTCTTACGCCAAGCCAATCCTTCACCCTTCAATTTATTAATAATATAACAACCTGCATAAGATTGTTAATAGAAACCACCTGCATGCTCAGCCTCACTTGATGAACTTGTGTCCTCGCATAGATTGTAAATTATCAAGGTTCTAAATAAATCTATTTCAACCTAACAATAGGAATACCTCTATATCAAAGTTTTGTACTGATTTGATAGGCTCGAAAAGGTTGGGTAAGCTTGTCCCTCTGTCAAGTGACTCAATTCTAGATTTTTCTAGTTGGCATTGGGCCAAAGAGAACCACCATTGTTTCCGTACTGGCACTGCCTGTGATCATTACCTTGACAACCGCTGTCACACCCCAGATTGCCCTGGTTGACACCATTGTTGTTGCCGATCTGATTGACGTTGGCATACGCATAATTATGGTCGTAATAAGAATCTGAGGCTCCTTGGCCCTGACCAGCACCACAGTGCGTATGTGTCTGATAGTTCGCGTATCCATTGTGATAAGACATCAAGGGCTGGTACCAAATAGAATGGCACCCCGACTGAACATTGTTCCACTGGCATGTTCGGGTATCAGTCAGAGTGTGCGTCTCACCCCATGAGAACTCAAAAGATGCCTCGATAACTTCGCCAAACTTGGCGCTCAATCCAACAGTCCAAGTTTGAGAAACGGAGAAGCCAACTGCAATGGCCTCAGTACACTGATTGCAGTAGAAGCAGTTGCCAACTTGGTGCCAAGCTTGGTACCAGTAGCCCCAGTCGTTCTGATCCCACCACCGCTGGGTCTCGCTCTTGCAGATTCGAGGGCCAGACTCTCTCTTCGTGAGGTCGCTGATGAATGCGGCAGATCCATCGCGGACAGTGTGGCCGGGCTTGTGCTTGACGCTCTTGACTTTGTTCTGGCGACGGATATCTTTCAGTTGCTCGCGTGTGTATTTGTTGCGGTGGACCTCGACGGTTCCGTCAGGATGAACGATCTCCGTGATGACATCGGATGATGGTCCGCGAATCTTGAGGCAGATGGGGTCCGTGGTGCCTTCGACGCATTGGACGAATGTAGCGTTCTCTGGAGGCTCGGTGTTGTCCAGCCTGATAGCAAGGGGCGTGGCATAGCCGACTGCTACAAAGGAAAGAACCAGAGTACTGAGGGAAAGCATGATTGTTGACTGTAATGGATTGAAGCAAATGCTGTTTCTTGAAGATGAGCTTGAAAGTCTGACTCTTTGTAGAGACCAGTATCCTCTATATATAGTGATATATAAGCGGTAAAGATTACATCCATTGGAGCGACATCTCAACAGGCTTTGAAGCTTATCACGATATTATCAACACTTTACATCGCCTTCCATCCATAAGATGCCGCATACCCGTGAGATACACATAGAGATCATATACAAAAGATGCCGTGTATCCGTAAGATAGAGCCATTACAAGTCTTCACAATTCAGCCGCAGCGGCCGACGCCAAAGGGACAACTCACAACAGGCCAAACGATGATTTATATTGCTCGTTTGGGTGATTTAAAGCCTTACAAAGCAAACTCTGTTCAGCTGAGAGATGTTCTAGAATCAATCGAATAAGCGGCCCGCTTGCGGGTATTGGGGGCTGCATAATAAGTGGGTAATGTTTTCGTATTCAGCGAAGCTTGGCAGGGGTGCAGATGGGTTCGTCGCTGTAGGTTTTGCTGCTCAAAATGGAAGGTGTGATTTAGAGAGGATATCAACTCAGAAACGAAGCCAATGGCAGGAATTATAATGATCTCTTCAAAGAGCAACTAATCGTTATATTCAATTTAGTCATGCTGCCTAAGCATAGCTTCTCAGCGTCCAGTATGTAGTTGCGTGTTGCAGCGCAAAAATCCGAATTACATTACATCAAGTATCTCATCCAGTATTGTTAGAATAAGAATAATTCCCTCTGTCTTTTTCCAGAAGGCTCCGAAGAATCATCTGTAGAAACCCTCCGTTTTGTGTTCCTCATCTCCAGTCCCATTCCCAGGGGTTGCTTTATCGGTCTGTTGCGCCCATAAGAAGGGTCTTTTAGCTGGTTTTCACACAATCTTTTCACCTCCCCCCATTCCTCTCGATTTTCATGACCAATTCCGGCAAACCGGTCGATTTCTTCGAAAAGCTGGCCAATCTCATTTGCGTCGAGACCTTGAAGGCTTAGCTCCGCACCCAAAACTGTCGCTGACTGCCATCTCCCCATCTCCTTGTCTCTATGTAGTGTACGTGCATCTATAGTCAAGATAAGCTGCATCAAGTGCAACTTATCCATGTCCCATGAGGTATCTCCCCAATTGAAGTAATCTTCTAACAATGGATGTATCATAACGTGATAGATCAATGGGAATGTGCCCTGAAGAATCTGTCTGTCATCCTGACAGCTGAATTGGTGACAAATATTAGATACACTCTGTGCAACCCGGCAGTCCCCTAGCAATGCAATGTTTGGTGGACGAAATAATAAATGCCCCAGCGAGTTCTTGTTCTCGAGGATAAAGCGAACGACATTATACATGCCCATCTCGAGAGCAAGCGGGAAAATCACCGACAAGTCATCGCAGTGTCTGTGGCATTCTTTATCATGTCGTAGATATCGCAGATCCTCTGGTGGCGACCACGAAGTACCGACGCCATACAATTTTCCAAAGAGAAATTGCAACCTGGAAAGAAGATGGACTGTGATCTCAGGCCGACATCCACTTATGTCTCCACATTTGACAGGACGCAAAGCATTGAGAAATATCGTTTCGACGTCCGAATCGGTGTAGATCATTCGACACCAAATTTCGGACAAGACTGCGTAGCTATTGAAGTCTTCGCCTTCAAGGTCTCTGAAGAGGCTGTTTGAGACGTCTGGCTGTAATAACATGTCGTACACAGTCCTGTGCATGAATCTGACAGCGCATATTTCATTGCTTTCATTAAAGTGGTCAACGTTGTGGACTTCGAGTAAGCCACAGCACCGACTCCTTATTCGGCCCTCCATAATTCGGCACTGGACTTCCCTTTCTCCGGAAGGAATCGGTGAGAGGTTTAGTCCTGATAAACTTGTGTCTTGGCCGAGGCCTTGCTCGTATGTCAAATGCAGACCCACGGTTGGAATAGGATCAGCTAGCTGGCATCCCTCATTGGTATAAACGAGTTGTATGAGCTTCATAGCTTCTTGCTTCCATCTTGGATCGATTTTCACAAGCATATGCTCAATGAGATCCTCAACCTCTTTGGGTAACTCATCAACTCTTTCTTTAAGCTCGGCTATGGTACAAAAGTCATCACACCCCTCGATGACTGACCGGCAAGCGAGAACGACCCAGAGGAAAACTCCGGATGCCTTTTCAACAAGCTTTTTCGTAATAGCTTCAGTTTCAAGGGGTGGGAGTCTAGATAATGTCGCCATGTAAGGGTGGGAAGCCACGGTATCGTCGACATAGGTAGTAACATCGTGTTTCGTCAAGTCTTGAAGCCTCATCATAGGCCTTTGAGAAAATGCTGTGAAAAATGCCGGGTGCGGTCTACTTGAAACTAGAATCTTCACATTCGGAAAAGATTCAAGCTCGCTGATGAATCTTGCAATGTCGAGATCTTTTCCTTCATATTCATCAATACCGTCTATCAAGAAGAATATCTTCTTATCGGCATGAAGCGTTGAGCATAAATCCCTCAAAGCGGCTGTCATCTCAGCAACAGGTGGAACTTCAATGTTCTGAAAGCTTTGTTGACTGTAGCAGGCTTCACGCCACATATGAGGAAGAGCGCTTTCGGTGGCACTTGGTTCATGCTCCAAAATTTGGTATAGCAGACTTCTTAAGAGCCCAGACTGTGACTTTTGCTCGGACCTTCCGAGAGCATAGAAGAAGAAACTTGCGAAGATCAGTTCAGAACCATTGGCCCAGGTTCGAATCAGAGCATGTGTTTTATCATGCCGATCGAGGTACTTCATCAGAGTTGACTTGCCACTCCCGGCTTTTCCAGAAACCCAGTAGAGCCCAGACGCGCTCTGTAACCAGGTGTTCAGATCATCCCACTGAATGTAATCACTAGGCGAATCAAGAGCCCACTGTAGAGTTTGGTAGTGAGGCTCCTTGATATTGATTCTTCGGTCGTCGTACGAGCGGAACCAGAGAGAGCGGAAGATACAAGATTGGATAAGGGCGGACTTAGCAGCGGTTGCTGCCTTGCTGATGCTTGGCCGTGTATTTGCTGTTGCTTGGATGACCAAGTCAAGTTCGGCAAAGTCCTTGATGTGAATCATATCATTCTCGCAGGGAGCTGTTTCAGATTCTACCGAGAGCGGAACAAGATTATTCAAAGAGGTATTGAAGTAGGAGAGATGATCGATGAGATAGTTAAATTTGTCCTTGTCGACGATGACCCAACGGAACTGCTTAGTAGTTCTTTTGAACTTGCTGTACCGATCGGCATCTGTGGCCTGGATCTTGAGCGCCTCAAATTGCTTGAGGAACCTTGCGAATCGATGAGAGCTGGCGCCTTTGTAGCCCGTTGTCGAATCAGTGAGGGGATGCTCGGTGGTAGGCCTGGTAACATCGACTTTCTTGAGACCATAGTCTCTTTGTAAAGCCTGGCTCTCACTCAACAGATTTTTGACGCTTTCCAGCACGCGCGAAACAATCTGTCGGGTATCCTCATCGCAAGATAGCGTGTTCGTAGAGTCCTGCTTTAATAGGCCGACCCGCTCAGACCATTGGAGAAATAGCATCCTCTCAACATCGAGCTTTGTGTCCAGTATGGCTGCATCTTTTCCAAAGTCACGAGCTGCTGTGATCATGGAAAAAAGGTCGACGCAATCTTTGAACAAACTGACTAGGGCCACGGCCCCGAGGGTGAGGCCAGCTACTTCCATGGCACCGGTGATTAATAATGTGGTAAGCTTATGATAGCTCAGCGGGAGATATCATTCCAAGAGATGAAAACACGAATACCCTAATGAGTTCTATTAAAGATGGAAGAAGATGGAAGCGGTGAGTTTGGAAATGCGAGATGGAAGAGCAACAGATGTGGAGGTGGAGATTATGAGCAAGGCATACTTCCAAATTGAGACGTCAGACAATGGCACAGCCTCATTGAGATTTATTGGAAACAAGCCTTGGGCAGAATCAAAAGGTTGACCAATAGGTGAACCTGGCTTGTTGGTCGCTCAGCTGCAAGTTGGTTGGCCGAAGAGAAAAGATTGAGGCCCCCCAGATCCATAGCCACCATGGGCTTAAACGGGCCGCATTGTAATGTAGAGGTTACACGGTTATTTCTTTTCTGACTTGAAAGAATACAAATATATATAGAGCAAAATCTTGATGGTTAAATAGATATCTAGAATAACTGGATTTGGCTTTAGAAGCCTCTTAGTAGGTGTAGTGAAATCTTGGGTTATGCTCTCCAAGCTCCTCAGCTTCCTCCTCAGTCAGTCCCTGAATCCTGTGATCCTCCTTACCCTCTACCTTTCTCTTATTCTGGCGACGGAACCAAGCCCAGAAAGCCATGTAGATCAATGAAGACATGGCGACCAAGGCCATAGAAACGGCGTGACCCTTGACGAATCGGGGACCCTCGTGAGTTTTGTACAACTGATGTCGGGTTAGCTGAGACTCTTTGGAAGGGAATGGGCTGTACTTACAAATGGAGCTGGGATTCCGGCAGAGTTACCAATGGTGAGCTGCAGACCAGTGGCGACAGTACGCTTTCCATAACGCGGGTTGTTGCTAGGAAGCCAAGCCAGAGGCAAACCGACGATGACATATAGTCCCATCGCGGCGAGGAAGCAACCAAAGTAGCGGACTCCCGATGGAGCTGGGCTGACGAGCAGAGCGTACCCGATTGCGCAAACAAGGCCAAGGATGACTGTAAAAACAGCTCGTCGTTGGGTTCGATCAGAGAACCATGCCACAACTAAGTAGGTAATCGCCCCCATAGCGTAGCAAGGAATCGTGAGGGCCTGGACCTGAGCATTGTTCCAGTCTCCCAGTCCACGGATGATGGTTGGCAAAAAGGTGCTGTATCCGTAGAGAATAGTATCTCCTCCAAACTGACCAATGCAGAAAAGCCAGATCTTCCAGTCCTTGAGACCAGCGTAAACATCGGCCTTGTGCATCTGATCCGAAGACTTGGTGTGACCAATTTGTCGTCGCATTCGTGCATCGATGAGTTCGCGTTCGTTGATGGTGAGGTAATGAGCTGAATCGGGGTCATCTGCAAGCCAGAACCAAACAGCAATTCCTAGGACGAATGTCGGAATTCCTTCGATGATAATAATCCATCGCCAGCCTCGTAATCCCGCAACGCCGTCCATGTGGCCGATACCGTAAGCGAGCAGCCCACCGAGGGAACCTGCAATGGCGGCACTGACGAAGAGATAGCCGATTCGAAGCGCGTATTCGCGCTTGGTGTAGAACATGGTGAGATAAATCGTAAGACCAGGAAAGAGACCGCCTTCGAGCGCGCCAAGAATAACGCGGCATGCGACCAGGCCCTTGAAGTCTTGTACGATACCAGTGAGTGTGGCGACGATACCCCAGGCTGTGGTGATGAAGGCGATCCATCGCGAGGGTCTGAATTTCTTGATGACGAGGTTCGATGGAAGCTCAGAAGCGATGTACGTGACGAACAAAACCGAGACCGCAAGTTGATACTGCATCTGTTAGTATAGTCATCAAGTTTTCATCGGCGGGTATTCACCTGATCGCCCACCAATCCCAGATCCTCTTCCATGCCATAGAGTCGCGCATTACCGATGTTCACACGGTCCAGAAAACTGAGAAGGTAGAGAAGCATCACAGGTGGAACAATCCACATATCAAGCTTTCGCAAAAGCGCCTTCTCAGCAACTGGATCGATATAAATTTCATCTTGAACAGTGCGCTGCTCCTCAATCTCCTTGTCATGAAGGATATCCGGCTTTGAAGTCATAGTGGCGAATCTCTTGAATCCAAGATTGTCGGATGAGTTTGAGATGATGATGATGGAGAGAAGTTGAGTGATGGGACCCAGTCAATTTAAGAACGAGGAGTCTTATCTCCGCACGGAGGTTTACCCCGGATCTTGGAGTGGGATTTGTATTTGGTAACAAGAACTATCTCGTGCTGTAACCCCAGAATCATCATGGCAGGGATTTGGGGCCGGGGATCGCTGGTTGACCTGCCTGTCTTGGTGGAGCTGGCGTCGGTTGGTGAGGGGTTTGCCGATGGGGCATGATTCAGGGAACCGGCAATTTTTAACTTGCCGGGCTGCTTCTAGAACTAAATGCCGTGAGACGTCATTTTTGTTCAGCTCGGCTATTGAGAAATTACCTCGTACTATCGGTATCTTCATTCAGTGCTTCAAACTTGCTCCCATCTACAGCCATCAAGAGGGTGTTTACTAGCTCATTGATTGATGGAATTCGTGTCTTGGAATCTGCCATCAACGCCTCAGTATTCAGCACCACTTATCTCATCCTGCTATCATTCAGATCCACTTTAAATGCATGGAACAATGATGGAACGTTAATGATCGGCGTCTGGGCTGCGCTATTATCTGAAGATAAGACATTACGCATTTACACAACCCTTTTCAAGCCTCGATTGCATCCAAGCATATGACATATTTCCATCCTATATCTAGCAGGTCAAATGTTTGAGATACTAATCTTGAAAATATTCCCAGATATTCCAAATTGGGATTTGAGAGATAAGCTTTCAGTCACGGGTCTCAGCAGCAAACTCCGAATCTTTCCTAATCTATATCTTATAATTAAAAGCTTAAAGATTATAGAGGTTTTCTTCTGCTTAGTGCGTACATGGTACTTTCGCTATCGATCTTTCTGTGATCCCGCACTGAGCCAGTCCCTGTGTCACGGTTAAGGTCTTAGTCAACCATGCCATGCTGTGGCGCTTAAGGGGCTGCCATGCTATCTCTGAAAATGTATTCAAGAATATGTATCTCAAATGTTGTTGAATATAGTATTTTAAGGCGTCATATTCTCTAGTACTGAAGTACCATCATGAAGTTTTGGCGTATGCGAGAGCCTGGTCCTGATCCATTGATAACACAGAACCATAAAAATTATACACGAACCTTTTTAAATTTAAGAGTAACTTCTAAGGCAGTAACTCACAGGTTCAAAGACTGGGTATAAATGCCGTTGTCCCTCCCATCTGACAGATAGGTGGAAATTAGAATTAAACCCTCTTAGCAGCAGGACTGTGTAAGTACAAGAACAGTGATGAAATCTTCCAAGAAGTGGGAAATTCTGTCATTTGGATCTGTGCTAGACTGGAAACACGGTGCATTAGATCTCAGTTCTCGATATCTACCCTCTGCTGTCACATCATGTTACATTAGTATCGTGATTTCTAAGTGCCAGACCAAGCGAGATATGCCGTCCAACAGCAAGAGTATCATCGCAGAACTTCCGCCAGGAGTTGATGGTGAGCTCCCGGGACTCTCGGCAAATGAAGTCTCGAGTGAGATGCGACGAGGTTCAGCTAGCAATGTTATTCTCTCTTATTCTGTGCAGCAAAAGAATACCCGGGACGGCAATTTTTGTCTTGCCGTGCGGAAAGCTAAGCATATCACACAGTAATCTAGCGAGCCAGTGTCGAATAGCAATCTTGGAAGCTCAAGGCTAATCCGCTCGCCCTGAAACAAAGGACCTGTCTAAGCTGATACTAGCCTAGTGAACGGCCGCATTTAATTATCCTGCGGTATAGTAGGGATGAGGATTTTGGACTCCCAAAGGAGTACCTCCTGTATCGTGTCGACTCTCATTTGCTTAAGCCACAACTGATCACGATGCCCCCCTTTCTCATTGTCCCCATTTGCCTCGCCCCATGCCTTAGCAATTTTATCCTTCCTTTGATCCAGAAAAGACTTGTTAACTTGCGAAATTTACTTATCTACCTAACAACTGGGCCAATGCCTCCTCCGCAACTCCCTAAGGGGATTCGACAAGGCTGTGTGAGGCTACAAAAGGCGGAGTTCCTGCGTATGCCAGAACCAACAAACATCAAAGCGTTTTGATATCTTTAGAACAGCTTCTCCAAGACCTTGTCCTTGAGGTTCTGCGGTGCACCCTCGCGCTCGCGTCGGTAATGGTCCGACAAGGCCTCGAAGAAGTCGAGCCCCGAATGGAGGTCGATCTCCTTACTGCGATGGAACCGAGTGCGCTTGACGAGCTTCCAAATAATGCCAATCACGGTTGCAAAGGCAATTATGCCGTAGTTGAAGATGAAGGTCGACACCTGCCAGTTGCCATGGAGGAAAACGGCGTAGCCCTGAACCCAGAGGAAGAGAAACGACCACCCGAAAGCCCAGTACCCCGCAAAGGGCTGCCATCGTGACACGGTGGGCAGAAAGGTTTTCCTGTCGATGCCCTGTGCCTTCATGGCGGAGTTGAAGCGGATCCATGTCATAGACATGATGGTCCAGTAGAACATGGCGGATGCGGTGCTGAAATTCAACAGCCAGTTGAGCACCTTCGCGCTGCCAGACCCCAATGCCAGATAGGCGAGGCAAGAGAGCAGGATGACTACGATGACGGCCATGTCCGGAACGCCGTGCCTGTTTAGGCGGCGCAGGAATTTTGGCGCCTGGCCGTCCAGTGCCAGGGCATGCAGAGCCCGCGAGGCGTTGAAGGTGAAGTTGATGCCCCCCGAGACGACGAATGTCAGCAGGCAGCAGGTGACGATAGATGGCATAATGGGGATGTTAAGGCGCTGCATGGAGATGACGTATGGCGAGCCTCCCGCAAAGCCCCCGGTACCTGCCGTCAGTTTTGGGTCGTTGGACGGCACGAGGATGCCCACGCAGATGCAGCCACCGATGCAGAAGATGATCAGGCGGTAGATGATGGTCCTGAAGGCGCGCGGAATGACGCGTCGGGGATCCTTGGACTCGCCGGCCACCATAGAGAGGTACTCCGGTCCTCCTATGCAGTATCCAGCAACGTTGACGCCGTTGACAAATGACTGCAGGCGTGTTGGCGCCGTGTTGCCGACCCAAGGCCCCGGGTTCTGCCAGTACCGGAAGCCGAAACGATCGTGCATGGGGTTCCCGCCCAGCATGACAGTCAAAGTGAACAGCATGAGACCGATGGCAAGGAGGATCTTGACGAATGCCACCCAGACTGAGATCGGGAGAGAGGAGGTCAGTACAACAAGAACAGGAACAGCAAAGTCAAGAAGGGGGATAGCTTACATTCAAACTCGCCAAAGAGATCTGCTCGATACACGTTAATCAAGAAGAAGAACAGCAGCGTGGCTGTCACAATGTCAGCTCAGGACGGCGGTCGACACAACGGAGGAGGCATTATTATATACCTGAGATGAGGATGGCAGGCGACTGGTCGTAGCCCCAGTAGGTGACGATGGTGTTTATGATAGTCGCTTCGAACATGACGTATGAGATCATCACAAACTAGAATGTACTATGAGTATCCTGTCTAAGAGAACTCCATGATCAATAAAAGCAGACTAAGACTCACGAAGTAATTCCATCCGGCAGCCACTCCGACGGCTGAGTCAATCATGCGCCCAGCGAGGCGGATGGGAGCGCCATCTATGGGCAGCAGCGACACGATCTCGATCTCTGTAACGAGCACACATAGTCAGCATGCCGGCCCAAAAGCATCCTGAGATACGCATGGGAGCCCTACGACACTGCGCCATACAGAAGATGACAGAGCCCCAGAGGAGGAAGCCAACCAGCAGAGCGAGCGGCCCGGCGAGAAGGCCCTTGCCGATACTCACGAAGAGAGTGCTGCAATAGTAAAGTATCCCTATTAGCAAAGCTGATATGTGTGATTCAGAGGAAGAATGGCTTACTTGCCGATAGCACCGGCGACGGCAAACAGCTGGATCTGCCTCGAGTTTAACTTGCGATGGTTGACTGAATGCTGGATCGCCGTTTCCATGTCCGTGTTGGGAGCCATATTGTCGCTCTTTACGCAACGTCGTTCTGTCAGACAGGCCGACTCAAGTCGATGAAAGACGAGGGTATGCCAGGCTTACCATTTGCCCATTACTTATGGATACACGCTCTTGATAAGTTGAGCCATCCTCCTTCTTGTTGATGTCCTGGACGATATCAGGAGAACTTGGGGTTTGCTCCATTGCGCTACACGTAGGTAGGTAAGAGGTATTGGGGAGCTGGGGGCTTCAGGCAGGTAGAACGTTTGGGATTGACACAGAGAAAAACAATTTATAGCAAGCGGCACATAATCCTTTTATGTCTCGCGGCAACAAGAGAAAGAAAGGGATGACTGGGCTAATCTACACTCTGGACTGCACTGGGCTACCGCCTTACGGTTAAGGCTTAACTAGCCAGACATCGGCCGTAATGGAAGTTCGTATGCCACGAACTTGATATTCTTAGGGTAGTCTGCAGGGGGGGTTCCAGGATGTGTAGGTTGAAGCCAAGGATCGCTTTGCCTATCGTGAGCGTTCTCCTATACTGGTCAAGCTGACTTAACGTCGGCCGCTACGGCGGTGGGTCCCGATGAGCGGATCCCTTCCCTGGTTCAGATCGATCTGGGTACGCTAGGTTAGAAGGGGTTCAATCCAAGGCGCGCATCCAATCACAGCAAAGATTCTATACGTCGGCAGCTACGGCGCATCGCCGACATATCATATCACGTCGCCCGCTTCCCAGGGGCTACACGCACGCACACACAGACTGCCTTTGAGTCTTACCGCAGTTGATCACTGTGAGTTTCTAGCTATAAAAGAATAAAGTAGAGACAACATGCTGGCACAAGTCGCAGCATCGACGTTCCTGGAAGAGGCGCTGAAACTCTTCTGACCGTATTTGCCTCCTCCTCCCTCTCCCTCTCTGATACTCACTATTCATCTTTTCATTCCCCACCCTAGCAATGGCGCCCAAAATCGCTACCATTGACGCCTCTGAGCCCTTGGACAAGATCCTAGACGCTATTGCGCGAGACGGTGGTGTAATTGTATCCAACTTCCTCGAACCCGAGCTCTTGAATGATTCAATGCGTGCAAGTGAGTGCTCAGGCTGGATGGCCACCCCTTATTTGACAAAACATGGTGTACTAACACATTGATCCAAAAGTCGAACCATTCTTCTCTGGTGGAAAGATGTATGATCCCAAGTCCGCGCAGAAGGACCTTGGGGATGACTTCTTCCCAGAGGGTTCACAGCGTGCCTATGTGCGTGCATTTCATCTAGTTTTGAGTGCAATTCTAACACGAGCGATGCATGTAGGGCCTCCTGGCCAAGATGCCAGAGCAAATCATCAAGATCATCCGTCTGGATGTCTGGCAGGGCGTCATGGCTCGTTTCTTAAAGTAAGGTCTACTGAACGAAATTCCGGTGTTGAAGCTAAATCAGAGACCACTGCAGCGGAGAGTTCGTGGGCTTCAACGGGGCAAACAAGACAACCAGGAAGAGCGGATACATACTGTCTTCAACGGCCGCCATCCGGCTGGTCCCGGGGGCCGAGAGACAAGCACTACACAGGGTAAGCTGGTGTTTGACCTCCGAATTGCCATTTTTTCCCATTGTCGCTGATCGGACTACAGGACGACGTCAACTACGGCACCGGCAGCTTGCATGACCCAAAGAACCCCCTTTTCACCCCCATGGTCGGCTGCTTAATTGCGGGCTCGAGGGCTACGTACAAGAACGGCGTAAGTTGGACGCTCTACCTCCTCTTCGCTTCAACCACTTTGACCGACGCGATAATGGGACATACAGGCTACCGCCGTTATTCCTGGAAGCCACTTGTGGGGTCCTGATCGCGCCCCTAAAGTCGAGGGATGCACGTACGCAGAGATGGAGCCAGGATCAGCTCTCTTCACGCTCGGCAGTAAGTAGTTTCTCGGTCGCGGTGTCCCAGGCAGTAGCGAATTGCATGAAAAACTGGCAAGCTGATGCGAAATGTCTACTCATAGCAACATATCATGGAGGCGGCACGAACCAATGCCAGAGGACCGACTCAGACGCGGTGCGCACCTTGTTCGCAATCTTCGGGTAAGTTATTTGACTGAACGGCAGTGTCAGCCGACTAGTAGACTGCCGTGATTGACTATATGTATTGCTGACCAATGTTTTCCGTCTGCCATAGCCAACGAGACTTCTACCGCCAGGACCAGCAGGAGATTCTGTCCACTCCTATTGAAACTGCTCGCAGCTTTCCTGATGACATCCTCAGGCTGACCGGCTACTGTAAGAACTAGGGGCTCCAGTAACTAGTACCTGCTTGGAATCTTGAGCTAACCCGAGTCTTCTCTTTAGATAAAGCCGTTGGCGGTGTTGGTTTCATAGGAGACCATCAGGACCCGGCCGAATTTTTGCATGTTGACACCAATGGCGTGGGAAAGTTCAGCAAATAGTTTGATGTATATGCAGACATATCTTTTATCTTTGCCATTGTAAATCTATAGTTGGAGGAAGTACTTCCAGGGGGTTCCTTGTGAGAGACAGACATACCTTACCTCCTTGTCAGCAAGGATAATAGCACACTCCACTTTCTTTAACTTCATGCCACTTTAATTTGCACAAGTCCCATTTTCATGCTCGATGTTGGCCCCAACAGCTCTGTCATGGCTCTTAAAGGCAGAGACTGGGACTTAAGACCAGAATTCGAGGTATTCCAAAACTCAAGCTTCAGTTTTCACTTCTTAGAATAGGATACCATGGAGAACAATATCCGCACTCATGCTATGGGCGCTCCTACAAAGTAGCGAGATTATCAATGAATATAATTCAAGATGGTTCGGCAGCTAGTTACTTGATCATGATATTTGCCAAGTTACATCCCTAAACCCAAGTCATTCGGCATGGCCGGGTTCCCTCAAGCTGTAGTGGCACGACAAGCCAACCTACTCCAGATCAAAACTCGATTATAAGAAAGCAAATGGATCGCCTCCAGTACCACTAGTAGTCTGGGCAGACATGCTACTCAACGATGCCCACCACTCAAAATCCAGTTCCATCTCCGTGGTCACCTCTTCCGAAGACGATGATTCCACAGGCAGCGCATCGTCCCTGGCCGTCAGCGCAGACAGAACAGTGCCGTGACGTTCGACCTCTTCAAGCATGCTGAGATGCTGCCTTGAGGCCATGTTCCCTGTTTGCACCATGTGCACGAGTACATTCCGCCCTTTGCTGTACGTTTCCGCGTCGCGCAACATGTCCTCTCTGGTGCAGCTAAAGGCGTTGGGCTGGTGGTTGCGCATGGATTGAGCGATAGTGAGGATAGCGAGGCTCGAGAAGAGGTGAGCTGAGTCCCAATAGCCGTATCTCACTATTGTGGAAGTAATCAGTGATTAATGATGCTTTCTCCACTGTTGCTGCTAAAGTTGAGGATACGCTTACCGAGCTCTCCTGCTTGGGCCAGCTCGAGCAGAATTCGGGCATTGCTTCGCGCGGCTTGAAGACATATGTTGTTGATAGTGTAAAGCTCGTCAGATAGTGCAACAACTATTTTGTTACGGAGCATAAACGTGAATTGATGTAAAAGAATAGGCCGGAGAAGCATAATATAACACTGGTGAACACGCATGAGACTAGGGTTTGCGAGTTGGGGCAGGAAAAGGCATATGATAACATACCTGATGGTAGCGCAGCGCAAGAGACGAGCATATGCGGTTCTCTGGGAGCGAGCTGCCCCCAGAAAACACTCTCTCGGGCAATTCCCTCCCGCATCGGTCTAATCCTTGTAGACATTGACGCAAGACTTGATATGGCTCTGTGATATCTTTATGCTTGAGCCGACTGACGGTATTCACAACATCTGTCTTGATCTCGCACAACTTAATTAATGCTGTTAGTAAGACTGGGTCAAAGAACTCTTCCTCTTCTTCATCTGTCAAGCCAGAAGAGTCTGGATAGCCAAGCTCCTGGCCAAGACCAGTATATGCAGGGTGCAAAGCAAGCTCTGTGCTGATCATTCGGTCCACGCAGAAGGCAGTCCACCAGACCCGCTTCCTGTGTTCCTGCTCCAGTTTGGACAGGGACTTAGGTGCTGGATGGTCCAGTCCCAAGCAATGGGCTAGTCGTACGCTCTGTCCAGCGTACGCATAGGCGGACATGCGGCGGTTCAGGATGTAGCAGCAGTGGGACTATATTTCGCAACAGTTAGATTACTTTGAGCCTATTGAAGATGCAGACAGTCATTTACAGCCAAGTTCAAAGCCTCCACATCGTCGACGGTGGGTTCCTCATAGGATGTGTTGAGCAGCGAGAGGCCGTGCTCGAAAAGCTCCACTCCAGAAGACAGCATGTTTTCTGATGGAGCAAAACCTTCCATTTGGGTCGCCTGGGCCACTGCTCTGTCTAAGGTAAGCTGGATCGGCTGTTTAGTGGTTGTTGTACATTCCGCGAGCGCCAAAACGAAGAAGAGGCGACATAGCCATTTCCTATCATAGGTCTCAGACTGCTGGCCACGGTATGTGGCATGAAACCGCCTTAAAAACGACTTGCGAAGGAAGGTGTGGCAGTCGCCGAACTCTTGTTCTGCTCTGGCCACTAGCTGTGATGCGTATTCGTACGGGGGCAGCGACAGGCTTTCCCTGCTCACTGAAGGCGGATCGGGGTCAGACACTGCTTAAGTTCTGGGGAAGAAACGGAGGTCTTTACGCACGCAAAGTTTCTGATCTCTCCTCTCCGTGATCTCGTGGTGGGATAGGTGTGAGGTGGTTGGTTTCTTGGCCCACGGCCTCACGCAGCCTGCGGATGAAAGCCTCCACGGTCGAATCTTCGACCAGCGAATCGGGGGCACCTCGTCTAGCCGGGTACTCTGGCTGGGACTGGCATTGATTAACGGGTCTCCGATCATGAGTCCAAGGATTGCTGGCTAAAATGGGTTCAGCATGGTGAAACCGATGCGTGCGGATTGCGTCGGTCAGTTCGTTCAGTGAGCGGTCCAGGTTCCGTAGGTATGTTTCCGGCATGGGTATTATACTGTCTTGAGTTTCAGGGTACACGCAGGCCTTCTGACCCTTCGAGCATCGCTGACATGGTTGCTCTACGCAGACATGGGCATCAGTATGGTATCATCCGTCTGAGGTGCCATTACGGCGCGTCCAGCTGTCACTCACCCCCAGTGCATTTGACCTTTTGGCGATGGCAGTTGTAGCAAGCCGATGCATTGCGTCCCTGGAATCTTAGCATCTTTGAGGCAACTGTCCAGTTACATCAAAGTGTAGCGGTTGTGGAAGCGAGCTGAGAGTCGGAGCTAATTTAAGGTTCGGAGCGACTCAATTGGACGTTTTTGCCTTTACATGTGACTTCAATCGAATCAGGTTAGGATAAGATAAGGTCGTCGGACCGTCAAGTTGGCAAAACGCAACCTTTAAGGCATTATATGATCATGCCCATATAAACCTACAAAGTCGGGAAGTTACTTACATATATTAAATTAATAGAAATTTGAATTCTAAGGCTAATAAATACTTATAAAACCAGAAAAATATAAGATATAAACTAGTCCCTAATATATAAGTGATAAACGATATGGCAATAGCTATGCTTGCAGGAGAGGATATCAGTAGCCTATCTGTGTGTCTACGGAAAACCACAATTCACGAGACTGGGAGTAATGAGTTGTCGGCAGGAAATGACTGGTTTACCAACTCAGCTGGCGGATAATCACCACGCTCGAGAATGGCTACGTAGTGAAATAAATACATCGTATGTAGAGTTGCACAACAACGAGAGGCTTTCAGAATCCCAAAGTGTTAATACGGCAATCATTATACTGATGGTTACTGACTGAATGTCACCGAGGACATTATATCATTTGTGTACTATCTGAATAGGAATGGTTCTTCAATCTCAGAAGCAAATTCCCTCAGGGTTCCATCCTCAGTAAACAACACATCCAACCACTGTACTTGATTTCCATCTAGGAAGCTGCCAATAAGAGGATTACCCAAGATATCTACGTTTTCGTAGCCAATAATTGCAGACTCACAAATCCCGGAGCCATTATCCATACTCATTGGTGTTTGGAAAGCTTGGTCCTGAGCTTGTGGAACTTCCTTTGGCAGAGAGCTGGGTGTATGGGTAATCATCGGGGGCCTATCGAAGCTCATGCCGTCCAAACGACCTGTTGCCCTCAGGTTCAACACCCGGGCTTGGATGTCTGATAGTCTTTCACAGAAGTCGACGGCTGGGATGTTTCCATCATTCTTCAGGGATCGCAAAACACTTAGTAAGGTCTCAAGATGATCTGAGTTAACGGCTGTGGGTTTCATGACCGCTGACATGATGAGAATCATAGCTGCTGAGAATATGTGATGTGCGTCCCAGTACCCAAAGGTCGCAATGCTACCATCTAGGAAGAGGCCTTCCACGATACGGCTTGATGCTTGCGCAGCATTGACACAGCTCTCTGCTAAAGCAAGAGTGATAGAAGAGACATTCTGTCGTGGCAATGCATCTTCTCTCACTTTATTGCCTAGCTGAAACTGTGTCTTGAACAGGTGAAGCAGAACGGGGCGGGTTGTTTGTATAATGCATTGATTGTACGCAAGATGAAGACTTGCGACGGGTCTAGGAGTACCTCGCTCTTTGACGCGCATGTCTGGTTGTAGCTCGTCGTGCCATTCTCGAAGCTGTTTTAAGATTCCGTGGACTTGATGTATATAGAGACCGTTCGTAGCTTTGGGTATGCCATAAATATGTGTCACTACACGCCAATATTAGCAACGCGACGGAAGGAAGAGGCAGAAGAGCAACGACTTACAGATATTTCCAATGATCTTAGCAAGCTTAATATTAGTAATGAGATTCTGCGGGTCAAGAAACTCCGCCATCTCGTCCTTTGTCAGACCATCCATGCTTGGCATCTCAACATCAATATCATCGTCTCGGACAGTGATAGGTTGACCAAGCTTTGATGCTGAAAACCGGTCGAAGAAGTAAAGCACCCACCATGTTCGCCGTCGACTCTCTCGTTCAACAGGCGTGAGCGTGGTATGTCTTGATGCAGATCTGTGCATGCCGAGACTTTGAGCGAGACGCATAGCTATTCCACTATAGCAGTATGCTGTCCGTATGCGACCTAGTATGTTTGATGCCCAGGCCTGATGGTGGTCTATAGTTAGTTGACATCAGCAGGCGAGTGGTAAGGAACGAGGCTTACTAGTAGTGTAAGAACTTCGACCTGCATCAAAGAAGGTTCCTCATAAAGATCCTGATTTTCTTGCAACAAGTTGACCGACCTGACATAGTAGTTCGTTCCCGGTACTCTGTTGTTGTCACCCACTCCTCTTCTATGTGTATATATCTCTCCCAGGGCCATGAGTGCATAAAACTTACACAGCCATAGCGCTGATGGTACTACCTCCCTTCGATAAACAGCATCAATCTCTTTCATGAACGTAACTTTCAGAAACAGTGGATGGTAGTTCCCAATGAATCGTCTAGCGACGTTAAGAAGCAACTTGACGTGCATCCGTTCTGGAAATTCCGGTCCTTGATCTACTGGCAGTCTCCCATATGTGTTCATTCGATGATAGTTTGACAGACCAGCTGTCGATGGGGTATAGGTATCGTCGAGACATGATAGAAGTCTGTTGCTGAAGGCAGCACACGAGGCTTCGCCGATGAAGCCTGGTTCTGAGGATCGTTCATGGATGGGCTTTTCGGGTTGTCGGTCGAAGAGTGGATTGAACAGGTTGCTTTCTTCTTTTGAAAGAGACGGAGGGGCATCGGCTTGGACTTCCTGGTCATCGAAGGGAGTGAATGTCGGGTTGGTTTCTGGAGTCTGGTTGTGGGTTGTGATGGCCTGAAGCTGCCTGCTATCCTCTTCGAGCTTCTTGAGGTAACTGAACATGATGTTAGTATGTTATGATAACTTCAAGATGATTCAAGATCATGCCAGGATGGCTTAGGATAATTTGAATGGTATTTACCTCTCAGCAATTGGTATCTTCCGTTCCTTGTTCGCAGGGAACTCACATTCATCCGCCCTGCCTGTCGACTTACAAGACTGGCAAGGCTTGTCACCCGAACACTTGATTTTCTGAGAGTGGCATCGATGGCAACTACTTCACAATCAGATCAATCATCACAAGCCAACAAAACAGAAGGGCATCTCACGCAGCAAGCAATCTTCTTGGACGTCGCGTGCTCATTTCGATTGAATCACCCTTGCAAATCGTTGAGTAATGGAATGATCTCAAACTCTTCGACAATGCGGGTCCGAGTCTGGGGTAATCGACTGTATTTGCCGTTGATGATACCGAGGATGGATGGTGGAGATGAACCGGTAAGTCCAAAGTTGCCGGTCAGATTGATCGGCTTTGTTGGAGTTGCCGATGATTAAGCAGATTCTGACCAATACCGGTGTTGGAGGCGATGATAGCGAATCCACTCCACTTACACATTGAGGGCGTGGGCGATATGTACCCCGGATTGTCTAATATAATACAGCTTCAAGTCGTCCAAGCTTGACCATGTCATCAAATCATCTTCATCTCAATCTCTCTCTCATTATTCACACTCTATCCCCCCCCTAAACCTGATCCTCATTCTCACAATGTCATCTCAAGGCATCCGCATCGCCATCGACCGTGGTGGCACCTTTACAGATGCATGGGCCGAAGTCCCCGGTCGACAAGAGCATATCGTCTTTAAGATCCTCTCAGTATGTCCTGATGAGTACGATGATGCTCCCACAGAATGCATTCGCCAGATCTTAGAGATCGCCCTAGACACAACAATACCCAAGGGCTCATTATTAGATCTTGAGCCGATTGAGTCCATTCGCATGGGCACTACAGTCGCTACCAATGCCCTTCTCGAAAGAAAGGGTGATCGCGTAGCGTTCCTTGCCACAAAGGGTTTCAGGGATGTTCTTCTTATTGGAAACCAGGCGAGACCTGATCTTTTTGATCTTTCGGTTCGTCGCTTGAAGCAACTTTACGAAACTGTCGTGGAGATTGATGAACGAGTCACCATTGAGGGCGCAAGCGAAGCTCCATCAGATGGCCCGATTGATGTTTCCTCGGATCCAGCGCTTGTAGTTGGTCAAACAGGAGAAGTTGTCAGGATCATGAAGAAACCAGATCTTGATGCTATCCGCGCAGACCTTGAGGAACTTAAAGCTCAAGGCTTCGAGAACCTAGCTATCGGCCTCATGCACTCATACACATACCCCGACCACGAGTTACAAGTCACAAAGCTCGCTGAGGAAATGGGCTTCAAAGTCTCCGCTTCCTCAGTTCTGCAGTCCATGGCCAAGTACGTGCCGCGAAGTCAATCGGCTGTTGCAGACGCATACCTTACGCCAATGACGTTTGCCTACCTGGATGGCTTCCGCAAGAACTTCAAGGGCCAGTTGGAAGATGAGAGTGCGAACAAGCTCCTCATCTGCCAATCTGACGGCGGACTTACAAGCTGGTCCAAGTTCACCGGACTGAGGGGTGTTCTTAGTGGCCCTGCTGGAGGTGTCGTCGGTCTATCGAGGACTTGCTACGACGATGCTGATGGCACCCCTGTTTTGGGCTTCGATATGGGTGGCACCAGTACAGATGTCGCAAGATACTCGGGTGCATTGGAACACATCTTTGAGAACACTTTGGCCGAAGTGACCATCCAGACTCCCCAACTTGACATTAACACAGTCGCTGCAGGCGGTGGCTCGATCCTGTCCTGGGAGAACGGACTCCTCAAGGTCGGTCCCAGCAGCGCTGGTGCGAATCCAGGTCCTGCATGTTACGGCAGAGGCGGTCCCTTGACTGTCACAGATGCAAACTTCCTCCTCGGACGAATCATTCCCGACTTCTTCCCCCGTCGACTCGATCGCGATGTTGTGAGAGAGAAGTTCGCTGCTCTCACAGAGATCGTCAACAAGGAGAAGGAGGGTGGTGAGCCATTCACGCACGAGACTCTAGCATTGGGTTTCCTTGCCATTGCGAATGCGACAATGACACGACCCATTCGAACACTCAGTGAAGGTCGCGGATACGGTGCATCGAGCCACAATCTGGGTTCTTTCGGCGGTGCTGGTGGTCAACACGCTGTCTTTATCGCTCGAGATCTTGGTATCAAGCGTGCCATCATCCCTTGCTACTCAAGTATCTTGTCTGCATATGGCATGGCTCTCGCCGATGTCGTTGTTGAGAACCAAGAGCCCTCCGCTATCACCTTCTCCGAAGAAGTTGTCCCCGAGATCAAAGCCCGCCTCGAGTCTCTCTCTTCCAAGGGGGCCCAGGGTCTCGAGTCTCAAGGTTTCGACGCCAAGACTACTGAGCATGAGTACTTCCTCAACATGCGTTACCAGGGAAGCGATACGTCTCTCATGATCCCTGTGTCAGAGAACGTTGGCGAGGCAGGCGTCGCATTTACTGCCAGACATACTCAAGAGTTCGGTTTCTCTCAATCGCGCAACATCCTCATCGATGACGTTCGAGTTCGAAGCGTAGGAAAGTCTCGCGTTCTCAACATCTCCAGCCCCTTCGAAGAGCTCAAGAAGTACCAATCCGATGGTCTAACTCCCGTTCCAACACCCATCTTCTCTCGAAAGATCTTCTTCGAGAATCACGGCTGGACCGAAACTCCCGTTTATGAGCTCAAGTCCATGAGTCCCGGCGTTCACATCACCGGTCCTGCGATGATCATCGACAAGACCCAAACCATTGTCGTCGATCATCTCAGCAAGGGTGTCATTCTTCCCGAGCATGTCATCCTCGAGGTTGACAAGGCTGAGAAGCAGAATGTTGCGACTGAAACTGTTGATCCTGTTACACTCAGTGTTTTCGGACATCGCTTCATGACTGTTGCTGAGCAGATGGGCCATACCATGGAGAAGACCTCGATCTCTGTCAACATTAAGGAGAGATTAGATTACTCCTGCGCCATCTTTTCTGCTGACGGTGGTCTTGTCGCCAATGCACCTCATGTCCCCAGCCATCTTGGTTCCATGAGCACAGCCATCGCATACCAAGCTCAGCGATACAAGGCTGGTGAATTGAAGCCCGGCGATGTCATCATCAGCAATCATCCTCAAGCTGGTGGTACTCATCTTCCCGACATCACCACCATCACGCCTGTGTTCGATGATGAAGAGAACCCCAAGGAGATCATCTTCTTCGTCGCCAACCGTGGCCATCACGCAGACATCGGCGGTATCGTCCCTGGCTCCATGCCTCCCAACTCCACTGAACTCTGGCAAGAAGGTGCTGCTATTGAGTCCTTCAAGATGATCAACGAGGGTGTTTTCGATGAAGCCGGTCTTATTAAGCATCTCTATGACGAACCTGCTTCATTTCCCGGCTGCAGCGGTACTCGTACTCTGACTGAGAACATCGCTGATCTCAAGGCTGCTGTCGCTTCCAACCAAAAGGGTATTGAATTGATTCGAGCTCTTATCAAGGAGTTTACCTGGCCTGTTGTTCAGCTTTACATGCATGCTATTCAGGACAATGCAGCCCAGTCCGTTCGGGATCTTCTTAAACAATTTGCTGCGAAGCATGAGGGCGGTGTTCTTGAAGCGACGGAATATAACGATGATGGTATCCCGTTCAAGCTCAAGGTCACCATCGACAAAGAGACTGGAGATGCCGTCTTTGACTTTACGGGTACTGGACCCGAACACTCTGGTAACCTCAATGCGCCACCAACATGCTCATACTCCGTCATCATGGTAAGTTTCCCTTCTTCAATCATTGGCCAGAGCTAAACTTCAATAGTACTGCCTCCGCTCCATGATCTCCAAAGGCGACATCCCCCTCAACCAAGGCTGCCTCAAGCCCATCAAAGTAGTCTGTCCCCAAAACACCATCCTCTCTCCCTCCCCCACCGCCGCCACAGTTGGCTGCACAACAGAAACATCCCAAAAGATCGCCGATCTCGTCCTCCGCGCCTTCAACGCCGCAGCCGCCTCCCAAGGAACAATGAACAACCTCAGCTTCGGCTGTGGCGGTACAGATCCCGTTACCGGTGAAGTCACCAAGGGCTTCGGATACTACGAGACCATCTGTGGAGGTGCTGGTGCTGGGTTAGGTTGGCATGGTGCCAGTGCTGTTCATACGCACATGACGAACACGAGGATTACGGATCCGGAGATCTTGGAGAAGAGATATCCTGTTATTCTGCATGAGTTCTCTATAAGGAACGGTAGTGGCGGTGCTGGAAAGTGGAGGGGTGGTGATGGCTGTGTTCGAGAGATGGAGTTCCGCATGCCTCTGCAGGTCTCTGTTCTTACGGATCGACGAGTCACGGCGCCTTATGGTCTTGAGGGAGGAGAAGAGGGTCAGAGGGGGCAGAATATTTGGGTCAGGAAAGATCCTGTGACAGGGGCTATGAGGCGGGTTTCATTGGGACCGAGAAAGACGTCGCATTTTGCGACAGGTGATAGGATCATCATTCTGACGCCTGGTGGTGGAGGCTATGGGTCAGCTTCGGATATGAAGGATGAGGTTGCTGTGCCGGAGAGGGATTCGAGATCGCTTTTGACTAATGGTAGCTTGGGAGTTAGGCATAGTATTGCTACTGGAAACTAGGTAGTTCTGTAAAACTGGAATTAGCAATTGTATGTTTACCTTGTCACCCTCATCATTGCCTCTGGTTGAACTTGAGCCATCACGGTCTTCCCATGAACTCAAAGTTCTATCTCATATCTCATGCCTCCAAAAGAATTGATCGTGCAAGTACGAATATGAAGATGAGAAATGCTTGTACAATGCGTTCTGACTCCTAATATACACCTTGATCAGAGTGGGATAGCTGTTCATGTCCCCAACCCCATGCAATCTTCACCAGTCATACTCTCTTCTCTACAACACCTTTTTAAAACTTGTGAATCTTCCCCTTCTCAATACCCAGCTCCCCCAAAACACCATTCCCCCTCTTCCCAACAAGCGCCTCCTCCATAGCCGGCGGTCCACAAACAAAAACCTTCTCCGTCCCCTTCGGCACAACCTCCTCCAGAAGCTCCCTATCAACCCTCCCCTTCCTCATCGCCGATCCCTCCTTCGGTCTACTAACCGTATACTTGACACTAAACCTCTCTGGAAACTCTTTGGCAAAACCATCGAGCTCCTTCTTCAACAGAACATCTTCATCCGTGTTTGCGCCAAACACAAGAGTCATGCGAGTTTTGTCTTCAGGGTTACGCAGAATTCCTTGGGCCAGCTGATAGATCGGTGTTATGCCGCAGCCGCCGGCGATGAGGGTTATGTGCGAGAAGTTATTGGGCTTCCATTTGTAGCCGGGGAGGGTGGTGAGGATAAAGAGTTGGTCGCCTGGTTTGAGGGAGTGGAGATAGCCGCTTCCTTTGCCGTTGGGATATTTCTTGACCATGAGTTCTACATAGCCGGGTTCATCTACCCAAGTCAGTAGTTACTTCAAGTTGGAAGGCGGGTGGCTTACCAGAGGGTGAGATGGGAGAGTAAGGTCTCGGTGTAGGAAGCCAAGATCCCTCAGGCCATGTGAACGTCAACAGGGCAGCTATACTCAGTCAGCAGTGGTCCAGATACCTTGCGCAGTATACTCACAGGTCAACGGGAGTCCAGAAATAGCAGTCTCTTGAGGCAGCTTGAACCGCAACCTCTTGGTATCATGCGTCTCATCCTCCGAACTATGCAACGGCAGCTTAACCGACGCAAAGCCACCCTTGAAGATCTTCTGCACTTCGCGAGATTCCGCTGAAGCTGTTCCAAACATCATTTTCGAACAGACTGCAATGCCAATTGCTCCAACCGTGAGTCCTGCGATGAGCGGTGCAGGGCGAGTTCGAAGAGGTAAACGAAGTGCCATCTTGTTGTCCGACTAAACAAATAAAAGATTTGATTCTATCCAAGCTGAGTAAAGGATTGATTGGTTTATACAGTAATAAAGATAATTTTGTTTGTGTGACGTGTTTTGTCCTTTTATACTCATTTCTTCCTCCAACGGTCTTACGGTCTTCTATACGGACATTCGTACATGTCCGGCGCGCGGTGGCGTGAGACGGTTCCGAACTCTATGAAACGGCGCCGAAGACATGAACCGGGTCCGGAATCTTCAACGGTCTTTCATCGTCAACACGCGTTTCAGGAATTATCCGTTGCACATTTGCATGGGACCACAATCCTTCATGTCGATCATCTCGCGGTTCCGACCTCCGATGCTCTCTCAACCCGCCAACTCGTCTCCAGTTCTTGTACAAAACACTCGAATCCTTGTTCAACGTTCTATATCATTCATAATATTACACATACATAATACAAGTCTTTTCATATCAGACCAAATGTAACTTTCCATCCATGTCCTTCGCTACTTGTATCGACTTTGCTAAAACATCCTTCTCTCCGCTCGTCAATGCACTCGCTTTCGTTCCAACCATGCAACTCATTGCTTGCTTGCTTCCGCCTTTGTGCCACTTTTGATCAATCATCCAATGCGTCGGAACTTCGAATTCTGTTTGGTTGACGGCTTTGTTCTTAAGTAAACCGCCGTTGTACCAGAGAAGTTTCTCGTTTTGGTCAACGTGTGCGATGACGAAGCTGCAGACGCGGACTTCTTCTTTGTCATCGCGCTTGTTGTCCTCTTGTTTCTTCTCCTCTTCTGCCTTCTTTGCGGCGTCGAGTTCGGCTTTTGTTGGACCTAACCACCCGACAATGCCGCCGTAATGAGGTGAGAAGGAGTATCTGGATCCTGTAGCTTCGAAACCGATCCACCAACTCTCTTTATCGCCATACGTGATCTTGTACGTAACCTCATTACGCACCCGCTCCGAATTCTGCCATCCAATATGGAGGAGTCCAAGCAGAACGTCAAGTCTGGACTTGTCAACCACAACAATACCAGAATCTCCCTCTTCAGAGTATCGTTCCGTCCAAACAAGCGACTTTTCCGTCTCTGGACCGGGATGTTTGATCTGATCATGCCACCAATCCTGGCGATCCGCAAACCCATTCTTCCAGAGCAACCGATCATGGAAGAGTAGTACACCAGTCTCTTTAAACCGATTTTGAAGAAGAAGATGTCGAGGATCCTGGAAGAATACTGCATCTGCATCGAGAAGAATGACCTGCTCGAAGCGACTAGCCAATGCAGCGAACGGTTTTATCGCCCAGCCGCCATCAGCGAGCTTTAGTGTATTGTCGTCAAAAACAGTAAGAACATCGAGCATTTCGATCTTGACTCCATCAGCAGCTTGTTGGATCTTTTTCCGTCCAGCAGCGGATAAATCATCGTCTCCTGCGTATACAACTTGAATGGGGAGGGTAGTCTTGTGGACGCGCGTCAATGCTGCGACGAGATGGCATGCAAATCGAAGTGTTTTTTCGCCCGTGGGGATAACGATTCCAGCTAGTGCTTTATCAGACTTCACACTTTTGCTGTTGTGCGAAAGACCAAGACGATTGTAGATATCGACGAGAGGCGGCGAAACACCCTGCTTCGAATTGAGCCAAGGAAACTGCTTTTCCAAAATTTGTCCAACAAGTTCCGCCGTCTCGTGACTGTCGTCTCGCCCTTCCAATTCCTCAATCCAAGATCGCAACAATTCCGTCCGTTGTCCAAGTTCTCCAAAAATCGCCTTCGGTTCGTCGTTCAATGGATAATCGAGAAAATATCGTGCGCCAAGCTTTATCGATTCAACACCGCGCGAATTCGAACTCGGTTTCGAGGTGCTCTGGAAATTATTATTCGGGGTGTAAAAAGAAACATCGCGATAGTGATAAAGAACGCCGACGAAGAGCCATATCGACGCAATAGCTGCTGTGATCTGTATTGACTTTGCGCTTAGACGCAGCGATGGCATTGTAAGCATTGTGAAGAAGTGAATAGCAACATAACAGCAAAAGAAAGGATCAGAGGAAGACTGCTGGTTTATGTTTCCACGTCACCTTGGAATCTACATTCTCTAGCGCTTATTGACTTCAAGGGATCAGAGACATGGATTTTCCATTTTCAGCTGCATGGACCCATGGCAGGCCGCTAATCAAGGCACTGATGGGCAAAAATAGCTGATGCACGGCAGAGGCTTAAACTTTGGCGCCGCCCACGTTCCGAGCATGCGTAAGTCTTGGCTGCGACGCGTGTACGTGCCTCTGTGCGTTTAGATAGCGATTAGATTAGAGAGACATCGGCAACTGACCATGATCAATGCATTCCATGATCTTTGACGACGACAAATCGAACATAGTAGAGGCATTCACTTGTCTTATCAGTTGACTGGTCGTAGGTATGTCGTCAGTCAATGGGTGATCTTCATCTAAACCATCTCGTATTTGAGGCACCACAATCCTTCAGGATGAACTCCATTCTTGAAGTGACTGAAACCCAGCGCGTGGTTCAACTTGGCTATTGATGCGACAGGGGACGGAACCGACTCTGCACTGTATTTACCTGCGTTATTGAGGCAGGAAATGCAGTGCCTGGATGTGATGTGATGTTTGCAGTGGAGGGCAGGGATATTTGTCGTATGGTCGCGCACATGCACCACATTGACGTGAATGCCGTCCTTCTATGACACCTGGGTAGGCCATAGGGCTGAATGTTTGATGAAGTCCGCTCTTTTTCGCTTAATAAAGATCGTGACGTGCATGGCTATACTTTTCCCTGTATAAGGCCCAGAGTTGAGCCTCAAATTGACTCCTCAGCCAAGCCTGGGCGCAAACAACCCCGCCCCCGCCATCCTCATCTGAAGCTCACTTCGCTTCATCATAACATCTCATCAACAACATCACCCATCATAGCTCCATCATACAGACTCACTCTCAGCCCCCCGAGCTCACACGTTATGTCTAAAGATCTCGATAAGTCCCTACTTGACCGCCTAAATGCCCTTAGGGGCAACAGCGCAGGTCAAGAGAAGCCAGTATCAACAGAGTATATTACCTACAGACCTCATATATCTACCCCAACTAACACTGCCTTAGGATCAAGGTTGATCTCATTGAGCGCAAAAAGGAACCAACTCGAGATGATACACTAGCCGCTCGTCTCAAGTCCCTACGAGACCGTGGCGATGAACCTTCACCAGCACCAGCAACAGCACCAAAGACAACCCAACCACCATCAAGGCCAACACCCCAACCAGAAAGGATAACAAAGAAGGAATCTACCAAACTCGAAGATGAAGAAGACGATTCCATCTTCCAAACAGACGATCAAACTCTAGAAGAGCTACTCGGCGATGTGCAACCCGAAGAAGGCTTTAACCCTGAACCAGACGATGCACAAGTCAAAGCACTTCTAGAACAACTCGCGGACTCAATACCAAAGGATACAGAAAACGAGAAAGATAAGAAGGACGATGATTCGGATGATTCAGATGATTCAGATGGCGAAGCTATGAACAAAGATGTCGATGAAGTCATCGCCCGCTTCCGCGACGAAGCAGAAGTCGAAGCAGCCCTCGCAAAGACCAAAACTCCCGATCCGGAATCTGAGTCTGAGCCCGAACAAACAACTTCTAAAACAGAAGATATCGCTCTTCCGGACGTTCCTTCAGATCTCGCCGAAATTCCTTCCTCAAAGCGCGCTGGAAGTGCTGATATAGATGACATAACCGCCCGCCTCGCTGCTCTACGCGCACCATCTCCCGATGAAGATTCCCTCGCCCTTCCGTCGGTACCTACGTCCAAACCTTCAGGCCAACCGGTGAATCGTCTAACCTCACGGACGAACTACACCGATGACGATGTGGAGAGTTGGTGTACCGTTTGTCTAGAAGACGCAACGGTGCGATGTCCAGGCTGTGACGATGACGTTTACTGTACACGATGCTGGTACGAGATGCATCGGGGACCACAAGCTGGCTTCGACGAGAGGAGTCACAAGGCTGTACAATTCACCAAAGATAAGAAGGAGAAGGAAAAGAAGAAGAAAGTAGCGTTGGGAGCATAAACCATTTCAATTTCAAGCTAGACCTCACCACCATTTGCCATTCCTTGCGTGTTAAAAACAGATACCCAAATATTGCGAAACTAAACTCCGAACCACCGTGTTGCCGTGCCAAAATCAAGATGCCCGCATCAATCTGAACTCACTCATACTATTTTATATGTGAACTTCAAGCAGCGGATTGTGAGCCGTTGCCGTTATTGGCAGACTCGTTTCCTGAGCTGCTGGGCTTTCCTCGTACATCCTGCCATGTCGCGCCGAATCGTCGGCCTGTAGAGGCAAGGAGGCTTTCTTCCTCATCAGCCTCGGCTTCTTCGTCGATCTGAGAAAGGTTGAGCTTGGGGGTGCGGAAGAGAGCTGTGACAAAGACGATGAGGAAAACACCGAGGAAGGCGAATTGAGCCCAGAAGTCAACCAGACCGAAGAAGGGCCATGTGATTGTGATGCGGTTGAGGAATGTTGACATGACCGATGGTGTGCAGACGTCCTTGGCGTGCTTGTACTTCAGTGCTTCGGAGCAAGCATGGATCATGTCCTTGTGGTTTCGGCAGTCTGGCTGATCTCCAGGATGTTCAGGCTCGTTGGCGCAGAATGTCTGGGTGCCGTAGGTAGAATACTGAGGAGCAACCAACATAGCGATACCATAGTTGGTGGCCAAGATTATCAGACCCAACATGACAGTCGCAATGAGGAGAGCCTGAGGAGCAGTTCTACCCTTGCGGATATGGAAGATACGGACCCAGAGGAAGCGAATGCCCACAGTGGCAATGCCAGAGATGGAGCTGCTGAAGAAGAAGAGCACCAGAAGAGCCATGAGGATGTAGTCGACGGGGAAGGCCTTGGCGGACTTGACGAAGATGAAGTTCATGGGCTGGAAGACGTGAATCTGGCCAAGAATGTAACCACACTTTTGCTTGCAAACCGAGTTCTTGGCCTTGTCAATGCCAGTGATGAGCATCGATACGAAGATGACGAGGGACAGAAGGAGGAGAAAGAGTCCACCGAGGAGCTTGATAGGGCGGAAGACGGCGCAGACCTTAAGCCAAGCTTGGTAAATTCGGCTGCGACCTTCACCCTGAGCTTCGGCCGCGAGTCTCTCGCGTCGTACGAGAGTCTGCTCTTCCCTAACCAGAGCATCGAGCTCGCGCTGATCCTTTCGAGACATGCCCTCTTGTCGGCCAGCATTGCGCATCTCGATCTGTCGCTGGCGTTCGCGGTTCTGTTCAAGCTGGGAAGCAGTTGTCTGATGTAGCTGAGGAGCCGAGATTGAAGGTGCCGCCTTGATGAACGAGATTGGGAGAAGAGCAAGGCCGGCGCCGGTGTAGACAACGTAAAGCAGTGTGCCGAGGGTGAGCAGAAGACCCAATGCAAATGTCAGCGCCTTTTCGCCATGGTTCTGAGCAACGAGCTTCTTGAAATAGTCGAGATCCCAGTGCGACTGAGAGCTATCGCCGGCGGCGGGGACGAAGAAACCAAGTAAGAACAGAACGACGACGAATGCGACGAAGAACAGGGTGTACTTGGCAGCGGCCAAGAAGCGGCTGCTCAAGGTTCGGCCCTCCTCTTCAACCTCGATCTCGTCATACTCCTCATGCCAGAAGTAGGCGAAGGGGATAACGATCAAACAGAGGAGAGCATCGAAGCTGTATAGACTGTAGTAGACGACCTTGAGAGTGTAGAGGATACTGTCGATGCGTTCGGGAGTAGCCCAGTCCTTCTTCGCACCCAGTGTTGCAGAGGCAGTCGCAGAGACGAGAGCAATGTCGACAGGGAGTAGTAGAACCGTAGCGAGTAGAGAGGTCAAGCTGATGATGGCGACAATGCTGACAACGGCGGAACGTTCGCGGGGTGTTTGCCAGGTAAATGTTGTGATGATAGCTGCTGCGAAACAGAGGACGACAGCGACGGCATAAGCGACCCAGATCAAACTGGTCTGGACGAGGCCTGCGTGGGCCATTTTGGATAAAATAGAAAGACGGTTGTTGCAGATGATGATCAACAAGCAAGTCGAAGTGAATCCGCTAGACCAGGTCGCGACGTGGCTTGGGGATGTTTTCTTTTTAAAGTAGCAGATCTCGGGGATTTTGAAGGGAGATCAATCGATCTCAAACCAAGGGTGACGTCGCTAATGAGTCGATCTGTGTAGCAACGTGATTAACTTTGATCAATCAGAGAAAGGGAAGTTTCGTAGAAAAACAAGATTCCGTGGCTTCGATCAGAAATGGTCAAGCTCTAGCTTGAAGCTGCCGATGTTTTCGTGACGCAATGTATACGCTAGCGTTTGTGCTAAGTGGAGATGCTCTGCCTCACCCCTGGAGCATCGACTAACCATTATCGATTGGCCAGGGTGATCCGGAAGACGGAGGTCAATTATCCGTTGGAGCTTTGAACTCTACTCTTTTGGGCCAAACATTCAATAAAGCAACATCGCGAACGACTCGAACGAACTCAACAAAGCAACCAGTTTCTCGGTTACAAAAGAATGGTCTCGCTGAAATGCAGGCCTACACCGAGCTTGCGGCTCCCTCAGCCGTCACACACTCCTTGACTGTCTCTCTCACTTCAGCTACAGCTACCAATCTCGTTGTCGCAAAAGGTTCCCTACTCCAAATCTTTACAACCAAGGCCATCTCCGCCGAATTCGATCCCGAGAACCAACCTACCCAGACAACAAAGCCTGAACCCGAATTTGATCACCGCGCGAACGACGATGATGGACTTGAGTCTTCGTTTCTTGGCGGCGAGTCAATGCTTGTCCGAACCGATCGCACGAACCTGACGAAGCTAGTCCTTGTCGTGGAGCTTCCACTATCCGGCACCGTGACGGGTTTGGCCAAGGTCAAGACGAAGCATTCGAAATGTGGAGGTGAAGCTCTCTTGATAGCCTACAAAGCCGCGAAACTATGTATGGCAGTATGGGATCCCGAGAAGAGCAACCTCGAGACCATCTCCATCCATTACTACGAGAAGGAAGAGCTACACGGCGCGCCATGGGAGGTTTCTTTCGACGAATATACCAATTACCTCGAAGCCGACCCCGGCAGTCGATGCGCCGCCTTCCAATTCGGCTCGCGCAACCTCGCGATCCTACCATTCAGACAAGCGGAAGAAGACTTGGAGATGGATGATTGGGATGAGGATCTCGATGGGCCACGACCCGTCAAGGAATCTACTACAGTCGCCAATGGAGATAGCGACACATTAGAACCAGCGTATACACCATCTTTTGTCCTCCGTCTTCCGCTGCTTGATCCCAGTTTACTTCATCCCGTGCACTTCGCTTTTCTGCATGAGTATAGAGAACCGACTTTTGGTATTCTTTCGTCTAGCCAAGAGCGAGCCCATTCTCTTGGTCAGAAAGATCATCTTACGTACAAGGTCTTTACGTTGGATTTGCAGCAGCGAGCTTCGACTACTATTCTTTCAGTCACTGATCTTCCTCGAGATTTGTTCAAGATCATTCCGTTGCCAGCGCCTGTTGGTGGTTCGTTGTTGATTGGAGAGAACGAACTGATTCATGTTGATCAGTCTGGCAAGTCCAATGGCGTGGCGGTGAACTCAATGGCTCGACAGATCACCTCGTTCAGCCTAAGAGATCAAGCGGATCTTAACCTGCGATTGGAGCACTGTGTCATTGAGACACTGTCCATCGAGAACGGCGAGCTCTTGCTAGTTCTCAACGATGGTCGCATTGGAATAGTCACGTTCCAGATCGATGGCAGAACTGTCTCTGGTCTTACCGTCAGGATGGTCGCAGATGAGAACGGAGGCAATCTTATCAAGAGCCGCGCATCGACAGCGTCGAAACTTAGCAAGAATGCGTACTTCGTGGGTAGTGAAGTTGGCGATTCTGTTGTATTGGGCTGGACAAGAAAGATGGGACAAGAGAAGAGGCGAAAGCCTCGGCTTATCGATGCGGAGATTGGGCTAGAAATGGATGACCTGGATCTAGAGGATGAAGACGATGAGGACGACGATCTGTATGGCACCGAGTCTGCTGCCGCGAAACCGGCTCAGGCTCTCAATGGTGGGGGTAAAGCGGGCGAGTTGAGCTTCCGCATTCACGATACCCTGCTCAGCATCGCCCCGATCAAGGACTTGACACCTGGCAAGATATCGTTCCACCCTGACAGTGAAGAAGCAACTCTGTCACAGGGTGTCGTTTCGGATCTTCATCTTGCCTGCGTCGTCGGACGTGGAAAAGCCGGTTCACTGGCTATTCTCAACCGCAACATTCAGCCCAAGATCATTGGAAGGTTCGAGTTCCCCGAAGCAAGGGGTTTCTGGACCATGTCTGTTAAGAAGCCAATGCCAAAAGCTCTAGGTGGGAATGTTGGTATGGGTAATGAGTATGAGACATTTGGACAGCATGACAAGTACATGATAGTCGCTAAGGTCGATCTCGACGGTTATGAGACATCAGATGTGTATGCTCTTACTGGCGCAGGATTCGAGACTCTCAAGGACACTGAGTTTGACCCAGCGGCTGGATTCACTGTTGAAGCTGGAACAATGGGCAAGCAGATGAGGATCATCCAAGTCCTCAAATCTGAGGTTCGATCATACGATGGAGGTAAGTCGCTTGCTTAGATGATATTCGCACATACTGACAATTCTAGATCTCGGCCTCACTCAGATCCTGCCGATGCTCGATGAAGAAACCGGCGCTGAACCCCGAGTCACCAGCGCCAGCATTGCTGATCCTTACCTCCTACTCATCCGCGATGACAGCAGTCTTATGTTGGCACAGATCGACAGCAACAATGAGCTTGAGGAGGTGGAAAAGATGGATGCTACTCTGCAGAACACTAAGTGGCACTCTGGATGTCTGTATGCGGATGCAAAGGGTGCTTTCCAACCGAATGCCGGCGACAAGGGTGCAGAGACTGAGAAGATCATGATGTTCTTGCTCAGCTCAACTGGTGCACTACATGTAAGTCCCAGTCTTGCCCATTGGAGATCAGCTACTGACTGAACAGGTATACGCACTCCCCGATCTCTCCAAGCCCGTCTACGTTGCTGAAGGCCTCTGTTACGTCCCTCCTCACCTTTCAGCAGACTACACGCTACGACGTGGTTTAGCAAAAGAGAATCTCCGCGAGATTCTTGTCGCTGATCTTGGCGACACCACATCTCAATCTCCATATCTCATCGTGAGTCCCTCTTCACCCTCACTGAACTTCTCTAACATGACCAGCTCCGCAACCAAACCGACGACCTCACAGTTTACGAACCTCTTCGCCATGTAAGAGAAGGCGGTGAAACCAGTCTCTCCGCCACTCTCACCTTCAAAAAGACTTCCAACACGACATTAGCCACAATTCCCGTCGAGACAGAACAAGATGACGTCGAACAACCACGCTTCGTCCCTCTCCGACCATGCGCAAACATCAACGGCTATAGCACCGTCTTCCTCCCCGGCCCTTCACCAAGTTTCGTCATCAAGTCCAGCAAGAGTATCCCCCGCGTCATTGGTCTTCAAGGCCTCGGCGTCCGCGGTATGAGTACATTCCACACTGAGGGTTGTGATCGTGGTTTCATCTACGCCGATGACAAGGGCATCGCACGGGTTACTCAACTCCCACCAGATACCAACTTCACTGAGCTCGGTATATCAGTCAAGAAAGTCCCTCTGGGCGCTGATGTTCGCGGCATCGCATATCATCAACCTACAGGTGCATACATCGCAGGCTGTATGATAAGCGAACCCTTCGAACTCCCCAAAGACGACGACTATCACAAGGAATGGGCCAAGGAAACACTGACTTTCCCACCAACCATGCCCCGCGGCGTTCTCAAGCTCATCAGCCCGGTCAGTTGGACCGTCATCCACGAAGTCGAGCTTGAATCCTGCGAATCTATCGAGTGCATGAAAACACTACACCTCGAAGTCTCAGAAGATACAAAAGAGCGTCGCTTCCTCGTCACAGTCGGCACAGCCGTCTCAAAGGGTGAAGACCTCCCCATCCGCGGGCGCGTCCACGTCTTCGATATCGTAACCGTCATCCCCGAGCCCGGCAGACCAGAAACCAACAAACGTCTCAAAGCCATCGCGCGCGAAGACATTCCCCGCGGCGGCGTAACAGCCATATCAGAGATCGGCACCCAAGGCCTCATGCTCGTCGCGCAAGGGCAAAAGTGTATGGTGCGCGGTCTGAAGGAAGACGGGTCTCTTTTACCTGTTGCTTTCCTCGACATGAGCTGCCACGTATCTACTGCGAGGGAACTGCCGCGTACGGGGTTGTGTCTCATGGCTGATGCGTTCAAGGGGGTTTGGTTTGCGGGATATACTGAGGAACCGTATACTTTCAAGGTCTTGGGTAAGAGCCATGGCCGGTTACCGGTTCTGGTGGCGGATTTCCTGCCGGATGGTGAGGATCTGGCTATTGTTGCTGCGGATGCGGATGGTGATCTACATATTCTCGACTTTAACCCCGAGCGTGAGTCCTCTCCCTTTCCCATGATTCTTGCGATACTAACAAACTACAGATCCTAAGTCTCTTCAAGGCCATCTCCTCCTCCATAGAACCTCATTCTCCGTCTCCCCCAATCCCCCCTCAACAACACTCCTCCTCCCGCGAACCCTACCGCCCTCTCATCCCCCTCCCCAAGATCCTCCGCACATCCTCCTCCTCGCCTCTTCATCCGGCCACTTGGCAACACTCGTCCCCCTCCCTGAAACAACATACCGTCGTCTCCTCTCCGTAACAAACCAACTCCTCCCCGCACTTACACCACACGGCGGATTGAATGCCAAAGCGCATAGATTACCCGATGGTATACGACCTGTAGGCGTAGAGGCAGCTGGTGGAAGGACGATTGTGGACGGCGCTGTTTTGGCGAGGTGGGCGGAGCTTGGTGCTGCGAAGAGGGCGGAGATAGCGGGTAAGGGAGGATATGATGGTGTTGGGGAGTTGAGGGAGGAGCTGGAGGGTGTTTTGGGATGGAGTGGATTGTCGTATTTCTAGATGTCTTGGGCAAGAGTCATAAGTGATGTTTGTTAATAATGTAGTTTGGGAATACATGCATAGCATTGCAATGCAATCTAAGTGTCGAATCTTCGAACGCTGAATATCATGGTTTATTTCTACGTTCCCTTATGGCCATTCTAGAACACCATGAATGTCAATAATTGCGTCTTTTCAAGGAGTGGCAGTACAAACACAGCTGTATACATGCTGGGACCCATCTACAAGCCAAAGAAAAGAACAAAGAAAATGAGTAGTAAACGACTTTTGTTTTCCCAAGTCTGTTTCTTCCGTAAATCGGAACAGGCCATAACCAAAACATATATCCTATAGCGCCTGTCTTATCAAGTCTTGACTAATCTTTATCGTCACTACTCGCCCAAGAGTAAGAAACCTTCTCCCATATAAATAAATCCCAGAAAACGCCAGTACCAGTCCAAGTTATAATCACATGAAAACAATATCACAAAGTTGAAGGTATCTACTCGGCCTCTACCTTCTTGCGTCGCATGCTGCCAAAACGTCGTCGAATACCGTCGCTCAGACGGTGTTTGCCTGTCGAGTTGTTGCGGCGAATGTCAGTACCGTTTGAGAATTCGGGTGTTGTTCGTGGATTCTCGCTGAAGCTGCGGTTGTGGCTAAAGGGTGGGCGTTTGCTGCCTCGCATGTTTGATGAGAGTTCGTACTCGACGGGTTCACCTCGGCGGAAACGCTTTTGCTCCTTGAGGTCCTTCTCATAAGTGTAAGAGGGCTCGCCCTTGCCCTTGAGGTCATCAGGATGGTATTGCTATTCAGGTCAGTAACTATTTAATGATCGCATCATAGAAATGTCACTTACAATGCCATCCCAACGCTTGTATGCGCCACCAATAGCGTCAGGTTCTCTCATGAGATCAGCACCCTCTTCATAATCTATGGTGTTGCCGCTCATGTCCCGCTCGCCGCTAGGAATATCAGCAGTGCCTTGGAGCGGCATCTTTTTGAGCAGAGCATCTTGAATGTTTTCTCTAGGAGTAGCGCGAAGAGCTTCTCGGTTCGAGTCTTCAACAGCAGCAACGGGTGAATACATCTTGTTGCGGTTGCGGCTTGCCAGGGTGGCGTCATAGGGGCCGCCATGATGATACATCCCGCCAATGGTATCCAGAGCATCAATTGTGTCTGCCATTGGCATTTGCTTGCGACGAAGATGGGGGGCGCGATCGGCCGCGCGAGCCTCCTTTCTAAGGATGTCGAGAGGTCGGTGAGACATGTCGCCTGGATATCGTTGGATCAGTGAACGTTGGCGTGAAACTCCGCAGTTGCTGGCACTGAAGCTGCGATTGTGTGAAACTTGAGGTCGATTACGCGGAGGCGGAACTCTAGCACTGGCCGATCGATTGACAGAGGAACTGAATGGGTCGCGACGAGTATCGGATGGACCTGGGGGAGAATCCGGGGGAGATACAGTCACTGATGGAGCTGAAGATTGACGGCGTGCAGCTGCAGCGTCGGAGAAAGGGTTCGAGGAATGAAAGCTGTCGCGGGTTGGGCTGGCAGATGTTGGTGGAGTAGGATAGCTGCCTTGGCGATGTCTGTGACTCGAATGACTTGGTTTGTGCCTGTGCTTTCTCTCGGGAGAGCGGTCTCTGTTTGAGTTTGAGTTCGAGTTTGAACTTGAGCCTTCGAGAGAGATGTTTCGAAGTTGAGCAGCAAGATTGTGAGATGCGCCGATACCGGTGTCTTGGTTTGGTTCAATATCGTTTAATGGGTCAAGAATATAAGCCTTGGCCTATGCAATTGAGTTAGAATGTTTGCAATGAAGGAAATGGTAAATAAATTTAGAACGTCATCAGGCTTGCGTGGACTGCGGGCTGTGGTACAGCTACGTATGAATAAGGTTGCTTGGTCGTCTACTTGGCAGACACCAAGAAAACAGCCAAGCAACGTCAAGATTGGAGCCCGATGCAGGGATCTGCATTGACGCAACAAATACAGCGATAAAGGGTCTCGCTGGGGCCCTGACGTTGTTCCATCATTGGCAGGCTTGGGATGACGTTGGGGAGAAGCGGACAGAAAGTGATCGGCCCTGACCAAGAAACAGAAGAGGAAAAGACTGGGGCATGATGGACATTGACATCCACGAGCTAGGTATCCTAGCTCAGGTAAGGGTCCAAGAACTTACCCATTGCTTGTCGCTTGAATCCTTCATTGTGGCGACTGCTCTGGAAGGAAGAAATGGGTTCTGGGGAATTGTTTAGTCCCCCGAAAGAGTTGTCGGGTTTGTTGAGTCGAGAGCCGAGGCGGGATGACAATGGTGGTCGACTGAAAGAAGCGATGCGATGGCGCCTGCAAGCAAATCGTATTCGAAAGAGATGATGATTGCGACTAGTGCTTCTGGTTAATAGTCTAATGCGAATTCGCTTGGTTGTTGTCGGGTTCGATTCGATTGTCGATGCGACGTATCAAAGTGATTGACTGATTGATTGTGTTTCGGTGTAAGGGACAAAGTTTGGGGGAGAAAAGACAAGGGACCGGGACAAACAAGGTGGGAGGAGATGCAGCTCATTTATCAACAACGGAAGGCACAGCACGCACAGCCTAATCCTTTCAAGACAAGGAGAAGGAGCTCTTTTTTTTCTTAGCTACATAAGGTACAGGACAGGTACGGCAGGTACAAGGCAAAGAAAGTGAGGTAGGGTTGTAGATCTCTGAGCGGTCTCGTCCCCTCCAATCCATCATGCGCCCATTCAGAGTCTCATGGGGGGCACCGTAGTGCATCATTTAGCGGGGAGGGGCACTTCCCGTCCCCCTCGTGATCCAAATAGCACCTTAGACATGAACTTGTCCACGCCATTCAAACTTCAGCCGCTCCATCCGCTTTCTGGCTCAACGCTATTGACGCCTCTTCAAACGGACCAGGGACTTTCCAGGTAAAACCGTTCATCTCCTGTTTCCATCTTGGGCAGTAGAAGCCAGAAAACATGGAGGAGGGGGCCCAAAGGCACCCCAGAGTAGTCACACTCAATTCGGTCCACACGTCAATGTCATTGTCAATGTCATTGTCATTGTCATTGTCAAATGTCAAATGTCAATCACACAAGGCCCGGTCGATCGGCCTTCCTCAACTTTCCTCTCCCAATCGCGGCACTCTCGGAAGTAATGGTTTGAGACGACGTCAGCTACACGAGGTTTTGAAGCCTCAACGCGCGTCCCATCAAGAAACCAAAGATAGACTAAAGGGCTTAGCAGTGGAGTGGACGTAGGTATAGCATGAAGAAGAAGAAATGATGGAATGCCAGCAGTGAGCAGTTGAACAGTCAATGCATGTACAAGGGAACCTCGCCATTTGATCAGCCACCTGATGCATCAAAAACCGTAACCAGCATCTCGGTCACTGCATGCAAACCTTGTCTAAAAGGGTCTTCGCCTAACGAGCTCGCTACTGCTTGTAGGGACTTTTTAGCCCGACAGGTGATTAATGTTCCCCTCTCCAATGGAACGGCTTGCCGTTGGTGTTTCAAAGGCTAAAGTAACGGATGACAGCTGGCGGACCCCGACTCGACGCATAGGCCACCTCGATCAGGCCTGTGGAGACGACGAGTCCGGTTCAGCAATGGAAGATATCACAGACCGCTGCCTCTTTGCTGTATCGCATTGATCAGTTCAATGCCGACATCTACAATTGAAGGGGGGTTCATAGAAATGCATAATCATCATCCGAAATATTGTTAATAGCCGCAGCTTTGACATTCTTATCGCAGACCTTATATAAGGTAGACAGTGAATTCATCCTTGCGAGTTCAACGGGCACTACCAATTCCACGCCAGGAGAGTTGCATCTGCTCTACACCCTCAGCTTCACATTTTTAGCCTCAAGGTCTGTACCTTTTCGATGACACCTTACCAGATCGTCTGTTGTCTGGATATCTCGGCCAAGAAACTCTGCTTGCTTGGCCCCAGAACTGACGCATTTTATCTGCCATGACGTCCCATTGCTACCCTACGTCGATACGCGGATCAGCAGCAAATGTAGATACCCGGCATCCCGGACATCGGATCTTTCCGTGGCATCATTGCCAAAATAACTCAGGCACGGCAGACAATTGAACCAGAAAGTACCGTACCATAGATATTGGGTCATCATCGTTAAACGGGTCTGAAGTCAAGGTGAACGACGCCATCAAACCCCATCGTCGTCACCCGTTCACCTCGCCCCACTCACCGGGAATAATTGCCGCGTAAAAAGACCAAACACAATTTAGACAACCCACGAAAGGCCGATTATCCGCTCTCAATCTGGAGATAAAGAAAACACCAAGAGATTACGTCTGTATGACGTACATAAACCTCCGACACGGTCTACCGGGTTTGAATCAATGGCCCTCGTCGATTATTCCTCCTCAGAGTCCGACGACGAGAGCTCCGGTTCCGATTCCCACCATGTCAAGCGCCGTAAGGGAGTTGACGGCATCGCGACCCACTCCTCCCGGAGTACAGATGGAGATACTCGCTCCGTGAGCAAAGATGCGGACGCTTCGTCTATGCCACCGTTGCCCGATACCTTTCATGATCTGTATGCCTCTACTGTTCGACAGAGTGTCGTTGATGATCCGAGTCTGCACCATGGGAGGAAGCGCCAAGTTCCTCATGTAGTTGGTAACTGGCCCAGTCATGTTTACATAGAATGTGAGTTTCTGATGTCATCTCAACTTCAATCCACACAATGCTGACTTGCTTTAGGGCATCCCTCAACAAAACAGCATGGCTTGTTGACGAGCCTCATGGCTGACATCGAGAAGGAAGTGTCGAGTGAGATCAAGCTTCATAACTTCCTGACAAGCGACCTGGGATCACCCCTACCCCTTCACATCAGTCTGTCTCGGCCGCTATCCCTTACTACAGGGAACAAAGACGAGTTCTTGGACAAGATCACAGAAACCCTCGACAATAGTGGCATCGCTCCCTTTGTTGTTCGACCACAAGGGCTCGCATGGTACAGATCACCAGATTCTGATCGCACGTTTCTCATCCTTCGTGTCGCCAGTGGTCCCAGGTCTCCTACCAACAGTAAGGATGGAGTCAAGCCTTTGAACCCAGAGCTCACTTCACTGTTGACGAAGAGTAACACGGTTGCAACACAATACGGACAGCCACCGCTGTACCAAGGTAAAGCCAAGGTGCCAGTGGGAGATGCGTTCCATATATCCATTGGCTGGACATTTCACCTACCAGCCGATGAGATGTCACTTAAGACACTGCGATTGTTCAGACAACCCAAGTTTGGTGACATTGGGAAATGGGAGATTAGCGTTGCTGGCATCAAGGTCAAGATTGGAAATGCCGTGCATCATGTTGCGCTGCAGGAGACTGGCCGGGGCTCAGGACCTTCCAAGCGTTCTTCTTTTCTCAAGTCATGACAAAGCCGGTTCCATGTCATCACCGATTGCAGTTTACAAAAGTCATACGTTATTATATCAAGAGAATCAACAGAAAACGACGTCAGAACAAACGGAGTCATGGTTACAACAGTCTGCCGGATCGAATGGCCCGTGAAACGGGCGGATTGCCTCGGGATGTCTTGAACTTGGTTATCATTCTAGAAGATTGGGGTCATGAGGTTTCGGGTTGCTCCAGGCTACCGAGGATCAATTCGAGACATGGAGCTTTACTGGCCCAATCGAGAAAAAGCAACTATGTGTGTGATGCGAATCGGGTGTCTACGGATTCTAAGCAAGCGACGCAAAACAAGACCGGATGTCCGGAGAAGTCGCAGTACAATGTGACATCGTGCATATTGACATGACGTGACATTCGGCTCTTGAAAAGGCAAGCAAGGGAGGGTCTTGAGCTGAGAAGAGGATACACCAGCTGAACCAGGTGGAATGTGAGATGAGACCATTATTGCAATATGATATGAGTGCTAGCTCTGACACTGGACAGAAGAGGACTTGAGGGATGAGAATGAGACATGTGTTGGTGCCACGTGCGGGAGTTTAATGGCTTTTCAGCTTGTAGGGAGAGGAAAAAATGCCAGTTGAGACTATTTCACTATCATCTTTGCTATCTGCATTAGTGTCTTGTAGACTGCACCACTGGGGTTGGATAGCTTCACAAGATGCATTGGCTTTCAGAAGCAGCTAACGCACGGACCCCTTCTCAGATTCATGTGATTGAGGCTGGCAACGGCAATGGGAAAGTCCCGGAAACGCGTGGGCTTGGTATTCACGACCCCCAACTTCAACGGTCGTAGCTAGGCCCCCTGGATAGAGAACCCTTGTCAGTGAGATTGAGTAATAAACGACGTCGATCATTTGAATTGGAGGGGTAGATTTGATGTAAAAAGGACGAGGTTTCATGTAAACAAAAGCCATGACTGGTCGATTATCTCCAACCTGCAAAAACACTGTTCAAGGGAAGCAACATGAGAGACATTGTGGAGGCTATGCTTGGACTAGGAGAAACAACATGATTAGACAGAAGCCACTCATTGCCTGAATAGGTATCATGCTTGAGGTTGAGGCCTAACTTGAGGGTTCGTTATTCGTGAAGGGAAGCAAAAGGAGGGGGATTTTTTTTGGTGTTGCTTGGGGAGGTAAATGGTTTGTTTACTTTCTTCAAGCCACACAAAGCCAATGCACCCCTCTTCACCACTCCCTGGCCACTGGATGCCACTGAAGCGTAACCACCTGCACCCACCAAATCAAATCAAAGCAAGGTTCCTTCCCGCCTACGAGAGTGAACGCCGTTGGTGCTATCCCATGCCATCCATTGCCTTCTATTTCAGGTTCACCTTCTCAACACCATCACCAAAATCTTTCCTTATTTTCTCTCCTCCTCACCCTCTTTCTTCCCATCTGCACCTTCTTCCTCTTTCACTTCTACCCGCAAGGATTTACTGATTCTCTTCCATCTCGATTGACTCTTTCGTCAAAAGAGTCAATTCTGATTTTCTTCCACGGTTCTTTTTCACGTTGACCAAAACTTTTTCGTGCTTCCAGAGCGCGGCTTCGTTCTGTTTTCCTCCTTCAAGCGACCGAGGCTCCCCCCCAAACCGGGTTTCTACAAGAGGACCCTCCCCCCGTCTCCATCCAAGTTTCTACCCCGGAAGATCTTTGACCGCCTCCGAGAAACCCAGCCTCGCGCTGCAAGATTCTACCTTCCCGCCGATCTCGCGTGACATCCGTTCTCAAAACATTTCGCAGAGATCCAGATTCACTCGGTCTGGTTCAAGGCTCAACAAATACAGTCGACCCAGCATTCACCTTGTGAGCCATTGGGGAAAATCGCGGATCTCTGTTTTTTGACCCGCACTTCACCAATCGATCGGCCGAAGCTCTTGTGCCCCTCCCCGCACCCTCGAGCTCTCTACCCCCTCATCAACCAACAAAACAACCGCCAAAATGCCTTTCGACATCGATACCGCTCGCCGAAATAAGACGCCCCGACCTCTGTCAGACTCGGAGCGCGCTCGCGTAGAAGAGTTCATCGACTCGATCCACTACTCTGCACGATACTCGGACAGCGAATATGAATACCGTCATGTTCAGCTCCCCAAGGCCATGCTCAAGGCTATTCCCAAAGACTACCACGATACCTCCAAGGGCACTCTCAAGCTCTTGTGGGAGGAGGAATGGCGAGCTCTTGGCATTACTCAGGTACGACTTCACGCCCTTGCCAACACGTGCCTCCATCGTTGGCGGGGGTGACGAGATTGCAAGCAATCAGGACTAACAACCGTGAAGAGTCTAGGATGGGAACACTACGAGGTCCACGAGCCAGAACCGCACATCCTCCTGTTCAAGTATGTTGTCATGGCAATCCCAAGGCTGGGATCAACCCTTCATGTCTCCCGATGGCTAACGTGAATTTAGGCGACCACTGAACTTCCAACCCCCTCAGTAATTGCTAGACGCACGACTCAGATTTTCCCCAATGTACCATACATATTTACTGCACAGCACCCTTTTGTCGGTGCCATACTCAAGCTCAGACGGAGGTTTCCACGTCGGCTCACGATTTTACGGTTTGCACGTTCACGTTGAGATATAAAGAGAGAGAAGCAAAAAGAGACTCATTGGTTCATCGCGTTCGCAACGTCCCCGTTCATTCAGTCGGTAGCAGGCCTTGGGCTTGTTATACCCTTGCTATGATATGCGATTCCCTGTCGAGATGTAAAGGAGGCGATATACCAGTCTACTGGTTTCGATGTCTGTGTATGACGCATGGACACTGAGTTGTTGTCCGAGCGGCAGGGGAATGGGGGAATTTGCATGACGAAGTGGATGGGCTACGGATGATGGGAGTCGAGAATTGGATCCGCCATACCCTAACGACCAAGACATTGGGGGGACGTTATAATACGGAGTTGGATCTGGGAACGATCCAGAAACGCGTCGCGCGTCGGTGTTTGGGCTTGGTTGGGCACTTCGACAAGTGGTTTGCTGGTTGTTGTTTCTAAACGTGTTTTATTTGTTGAATGTCTCTGATTTGGGGCTACATTTTTTTGGAGGAGGGGGAAGAAGAAGGATTTGCTCAGTGATACCCCTTCTACAAGCGCATGATGGGACAAAAAATGGGCTTTGTGATGGAGGCTGGGTGCAGAAGTAGATGGAGACGGATGATACAGCATCGCATAATAAGAGGTAAACAAAATGATCGATTTACAGTACATATGAAGGTCCGTGGAGGAATGGCCTCATTGTTGAATTGTGGCGTTTCGGTCGAGGATCCGTGAATCATGGCTGATTTCCAGAGCCATGGGTGTGAATGCGCCACAATTGTGAAACAGCGAGTGGGAAAAATAAGGGAGGATGTCATACGAGGGTCTTGGTTGGATGGGGAATGTTGAGTGACTCTCGAATTATGCTATTTGGAAATATTCACTGGAATACGATAATCCTCCGTGAGGTGAGCTGATCAGAAGCCACCGCCCGGCAGATCGTCTGATGTTTTTGGTCCGAAGCTGTCCTAAATCCGCTAGGATGCTTTCAAATCAGCTCAGATCGGCGACATGCTTGGTAATTGGTGGTTTTGGACAGATTTCACTTACACCGTTACACTAAGATTATGCATACAATTGAGGTCCAGGGCAGAGTATTGTGCCTTTGTTGTTGCTGCTATACTGCTTCAATTCTTGTCAGGATCATCCTCCCTGATTAGTCGTAAATGCAGAGGTTTGTTAAAACTATCTGGGCCTGTAGACTTGAAAGATTCCGTTAGAAGAGACAATTCGGTAGAATTCTAGATCATTTCTACTTCGCCTCACGGAAGTCGGAGCATTTCTGCATGTAGGTTGGTACCTACATCAACAGCCAGCGTGTCATCTTTCAATATGTCCGTACGTAGCACACGAGCAAGTTATTTATAAACTCTCCGTCTCAAGTACTTCAAGTTGCTTCTCAGCCCATGACTTCATTCTTTGTCTGAGTTTACTCGCAACGTCACTTGTTCTATTGAATTACAAGTACCGTTCGACACAGTCGCATCATTCCCCTTTAGGAAAAGTGTCCATCGCTGCCCGCCGAAGCCGTCCACCCACTTTAGTCTATTTCACCTGCCGCTGGCTTACTTTCATACGTCGCTTCTTCTTTACATCAAAACGGCTTTGAAGACGGGACATTTTTCTTTCTTCTTTCTTGCATCATATTACTCTTTTACTATCGCCCTTCACTCGTTGGCGATTGTAGCATCAAGGCTCTGTCATACTTTATCTTTCGTTACACACAATCTTGACATCTACGCGCCGGCTCGTCGCTTGAGCTTCTTCAGCGACAATGAAGTCTGCAAGCAGACTATTCTATCTTTCTGTGTTTGCCCTCTGGGCTGCACCTGGTTCTTGCGAGAGCTCTAGTGATGAATGTCATGTACGTTGTCGCCTCTCACGCCACTGCGCACGTCACCGTTAACACGTTTCTAGATCTCACCCAAGTCAATCGTTGGCGATGCCTGCGCTTCGTATGCGACTCTCGATAAACTCAACACCCTGACCAAACCCGCCGTCGACGACCTTACCCACAATACCGACTTCTTCTCGCACTACCGAGTAAACCTCTTCCACAAGAAATGTCCCTTCTGGAACGACGAAAATGGCATGTGCGGAAACATTGGATGCGCGGTCGAAACGCTGGACAACGAGGAGGATATCCCGGAGATCTGGCGTGCACATGAACTCGGTAAACTCGAGGGTCCTCGTGCTAAGCATCCGGGGAAGAAGGCACAGCGCCAGCATCCTCAGCGACCTCTTGGAGGCAGTCTTGGCGAGAATGTGGGCGAGAGCTGTGTCTTCGAGTACGATGATGAGTGCGACGAGCGAGATTACTGTGTTCCTGAAGACGAGAGCGCGAGCTCAAAGGGCGATTACGTGAGCTTGGTTCGAAACCCGGAACGATTCACTGGTTATGCGGGCGATGGGGCCAAGCAGGTCTGGGACGCCATCTACAGAGAGAATTGTTTCCAGAAGAGCTCTTTCCCCAAGTCTGCCGATCTCGGCCAGTCTGGATGGAACCGCGGTCCTGCTGCCCAAGATTTCAAGCAGATCCTTGATGCAGCGGGTCGCCAAGCTCAGCTTGAGGAGCGCCGTCAGGAGAACCCCAACACTCCGTTTGTCGCAAACACTGGCTTCGAGGTTGACGATGAGTGTCTTGAGAAGCGTGTGTTCTACCGTGTTATGTCCGGTATGCACGCCAGTATCAGCACTCATCTCTGCTGGAACTTTCTGAACCAGACTACTGGCGAGTGGAGCCCTAACCTGTCCTGCTACGAACACCGTCTGCATAAATTCCCTGAGCGCATTGGAAACGTCTACTTCAATTATGCGCTCATGACCCGTGCTATCGCCAAGGTTGGCCCTTATCTCCAGAAGAAGGACTATAGGTTCTGTATGGGAGACACTTCTGAGGATGCTGCCACTCGCGCCAAGGTCCTTGAGGTCACCGAGAAGGCTGCCAGTGTCCCTCAAATTTTCGACGAGAGCCTGATGTTTGTCAACGGTGAAGGGCCATCTCTGAAGGAGGACTTCCGCAACCGTTTCCGCAACGTCAGCCGCCTCATGGACTGTGTTGGCTGTGACAAGTGCCGTCTCTGGGGCAAGCTCCAAACCGCTGGCTACGGCACCGCTCTCAAGATTCTTTTCGAGCTCGATAACAACAGTGACGACGTTCCTTACCTCCAGCGCACCGAGCTGGTCGCTCTCTTCAACACCTACGCTCGTATCAGCAGTTCTCTCCATAACATTGGGCAGTTCCGCCAGATGATGGAGGAAAAGGTCCTCGCAGAGAAGGAGCAGGAGGGCCTTGAGGATCTCAACAAGAACGATAAGCTTAACAAGAAGTTTGAGGAGGAGGCTGAGAAGAACCCTCAGATGGATGACGCTGTGAGGGAGTTTATTGAGCTGCGACAGAGGGGTCCTAAGGACGATTCCACGGTGGCTCACATTGCGTTCGAGCTTGCCCAATTCAAGGCTGCTATCAAGATCATCCTCAGAGGATGGGTGCGCACGCCCAAGGCACTGTAAGTTTATACCTCTCTCCCGCCAAACCATGTACGCAAAGTCTAACAATAACAGGTGGCATGTTTTTACGTCGGAAGTTCAGCGTCTTTATAGAGTTTGGGTCGGTCTTCCTGTCGGTCCTAGGTGGTGGTCGATCCGGCTGCCTAACCTGAACGTGCTTCGGGACGAGCTATGAGATGTTACTATACTAGCGGCTGGTTTTTCTTGCATCTCTAAAATCAGATTGTATTTATGGGCATTTTCTTTTTTAGCGTTTGCTTTGCTCTGGGCATTCCTGTTGGCGTTGATGGGAGGGTTAGCTACCAATAGCGAAGAGATTGTGTTCGTACATGGGATGTGATTGACTTTTAGCGAATGCTGTATTGATCTGTGTACTACATGCTGTTTTTGCTCTTTGCTTTGGTGACATCCAGTCAAAGGAAGACCAATAGCACATTCAACCTTCGCCTGTCTCTTGACGCCAGCTGCTAAGTTGACTTCTTAGCCTTCATGACCCATCACTTCGTCGGGGATGTTGCCTGTGGCGTTGCTTTTGGTCGAGGGCTGAAGTCTATCACGCGTTTGATACCATGGTTGACGACGGCTCCCTCCACGAACGGGAGTCTCTGAGGCGTACGACACGCCAACGAGAGGGGTGATGAATCAACATACCACTTCTCAAGTGTCATTATTTCGCCATTGTGCACGTGAATGTGAATCTCAGAAGCCAGTCTTGCCTGCTATAAAAAGTCCATCCAGGTCCATCCTCCAGCATAAAGATAGAGCTCACATGTCCAGCCACACTCCCTCACCATGAAGCTCGCCCACGTTCTACCCATCCTCACCCTCGTCGTACCAATCGCATGCGGCAAATATAGTGAGCCTCCCTGGGAAGCGAAAGTGCCAACAGCCGAAGAAAAGAAAGCGAGGGAAGCATGGCTCGACACCCAACGAGACATCACCGCAGCATGTGAAGATCTCATACTTGAAACTACACGACCAAGGGCTCAACACCAAGAACAGCTCAACAATCGGGTAGTGGTCGTACAAGAGGTCACAGAGGAAGCATCAAATAGACTCCTTACGTTTGAGGGTCCTATGGTAAGACGATGCCCTCCTTGACAGGTTTAGAAACGGTTGCTAATAATCATAGGTCAGGGATTCATGTTATGATCTCGTGCATTATTTTCCCAAGGTGAGAAGAATCGCTTTTGCCAGAGATGGCAGTGGTAAATAATAATATGGTGTTAGGTTGTTGAAAAATGCAAAAAAGCATTGGGGGCCCTTGATGCCCCAAAGCTTGCTTGTTCGAACGCCCTCATTAAACCGGAAAAGAGCAACTTGGGCAAAAAATTAAGGGAGCTCAGATTTCTGTTCACGGTACGTTGCGACTTCTCCCCCAGCTTCTTCATCGTGTAAATTGAACGTTTTTTTTGCAGGTGTATGACTACAACTTCAGCAAGAGATGTGTGAAGGATACAAGAATAGCGGCTCCCCCCCTGCCAATGGTCGATGACATGCGATGGTATCTTATGAATACTGCCAATGCTTATGCGGACATTGATGAGTACTGCAAGTCTAAAGGTTTGAACTCATCAGATATTAGGGAGTAGGTTGATGATCGGCTGGAGGTTTCAGCTGTCGAGGGCCGGGGATGGTTGATTAACTTTGAGGCCCCCAACCGAGGAGCAGGGATGATGCAGCTGGGGTTGCAAGGGACAGACAGTGAAGTTGCAAGATAGAGAGAAGAGAGAGTATTGTTCAAGACTGATTTAGAATGGATAATTGAGTTCAATTGAATGAGTTTACTGTCAGAGAATAAGCATAGGGAGTCTGTTCATTGTGAATTGTATCTTCATATCCCGTCAGGCCATATAAGCCAAGACCAAGACTGCTGCACGTCAATCACACAAACTCCCCTCAACATGAATCATACAAACTTATATCACACCAACACCTGACTCCAACTGCCAAAAAAGCAAACATGAATTGTTATTTCAAGGTCCTTTTGCCCACAGACTCTCTCTCCACATGTGATGCTGAAACAGCGGTGTTGCCAACCAACACACAGCACAACCAATAACGTCACATATCCTCCAATTGGTGTGGTTGCGCCCTACCAGGCTGGCGGTAGAGAACCCCTTTTACCGACAGGTCGGTTCTACAGGCTGTACGAGGAAGGTGACAGATACATGAACTTGGCCCCCAAATAATATCTCTCACTCTCACGATGCAGACCGTTTTCTTATTGAAGCTGCTTAACAAGGTCAATTCCTCCGTCTCACCGCTTCACGTTATTTGAGTCTCTTCGGATTAAATACCAGATTGTCCAAGATTAGATGAATCCGTAAGATCGTCAGCCAAGAATTGAGGTTTCAAGCCTCCTCCTCACCCACAGTAGCGTCAGGCCTCCTGTGAACCAACCTCGCGGGTTCGCTTCTAGCCCGGCTGCCATAATCTCCCCCGGTCGGCGGATGTGATTCCGGTGCATGGACGGATCCCATCCTGTTGGGACCATCCATGACTTCACTCGAGTCCCAGATGGTCGGGTCTGGTTCCCCTCTGTCGGTAACGGGAGGAGCCTTTGTGCTTGGCTGTTATTGGAAGCCCTATAACTAGTCAGCTGGCCCCCAGGATATGCGTCCTTTGCAAACGGTTTTCTTACTCTGTTGCATCAGTTACCATGCATCTCTTGTCTGGCGTTGGTGGCTCTTGTGAGTCTACTGAGAGACTCAACAATGTGCCGAGACGGGATAGCAGTATTTCTCTTGAGGAGAGTGCTTATAAGCGGTATGTCGCCAGCCTTGTTTGTTGGATGAGACTAATGGCCATGAGCAGGGACAATCTCGATCCTTCAAGGAACACCCTCGCTCCTCTTGAGAGTCAAAAGATCGAAGACTGCCATGATCCCAACCCAGGACATGGATGTACCCTTCCTATACCCAGTCCCTCCTCTTCACCCTCAGTCGTGGCACCAATAGATGTCTATCTTCAGTGCGGCGAGAGCCTCGAAGCTAGGTTGATAAGGCTCGGTGCGATCCTGTCTCAAGGGAGACAGACATCCGAGCCTGAGGACATATCTCTGTCACCAGAAGCCTCAAGCTGGGATGTTGTCAACACCCCACAAACTCTTGATCGAAAGGTACCAAGTACTCCTGTACTCCAGCCTACACAGTGCCCCAAGGCGACAAACCTTCAACCAACAACGACGGATCCAGACATTGAAGATGTAGACAGAATGTCCGTCGACTCAAAGTACGTGTCTGATTTGCTTCTATCCGATGCTTCGCATGTAGCCAGCGATAGCGCAGACAGCCATAAGGAAGCGATCATTCAGTACCAAAATGCCCCTAGGCGAGCCAGGTGTGTATTATCTATTCTTCTGTTAGTATTGGGCTAACACTTTATAGGCGTGAGGACAGGGCTCGCATTCACAAGAACCTCAAGAAGCGAACCAACAAGAAGAAAAAAGTCAAGAGCAAGAGTGTATGAGGATGAGGTGGGAAGGACTTACCTGTAGGCTTGTTTGTGTGTACCTAGACTTTAATGGAAGCAGTTTGTGAATGTATGCATTGTTTTCCCCGCTTCTCCTGCGCACTCCGTCCATGGGCATGAGGTCGTCGACTAAGGAGTTGCAGTAGGTTCAGGCTCCTTGTCTTTGACAACATCAATTGTAAGAAGAAAAGAAAAGAAGACCAGAAGAAGCTAAACAAGTTAGTCACACATCACCAACCCCTCAGTGATACATACCAACATGCTGCATAACCCCAAAAGGTGAAGCTCAAACCCTCCAACCAACGCCTTTCCTCTCATCATAGTCCGCTGATGTCTCCAAGTCCGAACAGCACCGAGAATTATCGTCCCAATCGAGAAAGAATAACAAGTCATCGCCAAAGGCTTCCCCGTGACGAAGTATCCAAATGCCTGATGTTGACCCTCATGCTGCAGTGAAAACAGCTGCGCAACCAACGTTCCAACCATTGACATTGCGACTGATGTACGAAGATAACCCAAAAACGTTCTCTCGTTGGCTATAACCCCACGTCAGTACTGTTACAACCCTCAGCTATATCCCATCCCCTCTGTCAGTGCATATCGGAAGCCACAACACAACCCCACGAACCGAACCACACCTATATGCATTCCCATCTCTCAAACCCACATCACGAGACCCCTTCCCTCATGCCCGTCAAAGATCTTCCTCCAATCTCATCTCAGTTCCTTCGGTGCACATACCTAGATGATCCCTCGACGCCGAAAAGTCAACCTCACAGCTCACATACTCCTGCCAGAACCTCCCCAGTCTTGACCTCTTCTTCTTCTCCTCCTCCTTCTGCGGCGCAGCGGAGACATCTCCACGCGCGGAGGTGTTGCTGTTTCGGGGCCTTGTATCTGAGTTGTTTCCATCCGACGTCTGAGAAGGGCGACGGGATGGTGGACGATTAGACAGGTCTTGCAGGGAGTACTCTGAGTTTGACCTTGAGCGAAGCATGCTGTGATATGCGCGGATATAGGAGTCACTAGTCTTGAGTATCAGATTGTTCTTTGATGTTGTGAGATTGGTTTAGTTTACGAGTGTCAATTGTTGTCCAACATGTGCGGATGTCGGCGCGTGTAAGCGGATGCTTCCGATAGCCTTGGGCGCCGAGCCGGCCCCTCTTAGCCGGAGCACCACGGAGCATGGGGATCCATTAGACGAGCCGGAATATCTGAAACATTACTGAATTGGGACGCAAACATGAGAGTAAACATTATAAATGAAGCATGTCATTTGAAAGACAAGTCATCGATATGTAGGCAATTGGTGTTGTTGACAGTAGGAGTTAGTTTACCTCCATATGGCACGTAAACATTCCAACACCTTCAACGTCAATAAACAAACTATACACTATAACAATCTAAACTCAATGATCTGCTTCCGCCTGCATCGGCACTTTTACCGGCTCTCGTACCAAAATCCCCCATTCAGCAGCCCGGAATTATCTCTCAAACCCCATCATCATCCTCTTTTAAGCCAAGGCCCGATATCCTCCCCAAGTGCCGAAACTTCCACATGCGGCAACTGCAACGAAAAAAGCACCCTTGCCTTCCATTACATGCGTAAAATTCATATTTTCTTTTTCTTTAAATACCATAACGGAAGGACTTAGCTGGCTTTCCGAGTTCCCCGGCGGTGCGCTCCGACCGACGTTGGGAATAACGGGCCGCAGACCCGTATTTCCCGATTCGTCCACAAGTGCTATGTCCCAGGCTGTCGGGTTCGCTCCTCTAAGCCCATCATCATACATGAGAATCGTAAGGAGAAATGTCCCTCTCAGCTGAGATTATAAAGATAAGACGATTCACAACATCATGTCACTTTGCATAAAACATGTGAACTTTGATCACTTCTAATATATTATTCATCGCACCACGTGTTTTCTCTTCTTATCTCTCTTCTCCCGGAAGCACCGGTGTCGTCTTCCGCTCTCACGGTCCGTATATACCGGCATCCAGTCTCCCCCGTCTTCTCATCTCTGAAATCAAACCAAAGTTCCCTATTGGGGTTATTCACCGGCCTGTTCAGCCGGTCCGTCTAAATACAGAGGTCAACCCTGCTGCGGGGCTATCTCTGCTACTGCTTATTAGTGAGCGGATGCCTATCTCGACGGATGCACATTGAATCCTTGTTCCCTGCGATCGCGAGCTTAAGTCAACCGATTGTGCTTTTTTGCTTATCCCGTTCGCCTCATGTTACTTGGCTGCAGATGACCTTATGTGCCGCTCGCATACGTTGCTTGCAGATGGGATGGTATAAGGGAGGCTGCTATCACGTTTTGGGTTCTCGTTGATACACACTCTTCTTTTCGTACCTCGGTTCCACTTGCCTGTGCTGTCTTTGTTCAACTTTGTATATCAGACGTGAAGCACGGCGTAGCAAGACAACACCATACGTGACGATTCTGACATTTGTGGTAGCACAATGAACGACTCAAACACCCCTTCTACTCCCGATACGGAGTACTCTCCTCCATGTAGTCCCCAGCAAAAGATTCAGCATCTGAGAGATACTCGCTCTGCAGCAAGAGAGAAGCTGGCAAGGCTGACGCTGGTGGAAAAGGCATGAGTTGTTGGTTCTTTGAGTGGTCATACACTAACCCTTCTAGGTCTCACTCCTCACAGCCGCAGACTTTTGGAGAACAAAAGCTATTCCTGAGAAGGGAATCCCTTCAATCAAGACAACTGATGGTCCCAATGGCGCTCGCGGTGGTATCTTTGTTGGCGGCACCAAGGTCAGTGATATTCCTCCAACATCACAAACATAACTGAAACAGAATATGTAGGCCGCATTGTTCCCCTGTGGTATCTCACTCGCAGCAACATGGAACAAAGATCTTCTCTACCAAGTCGGACAGCATCTAGCGCTCGAAGTTCGAGCTCGATCAGCAGAAATGCTTCTCGCTCCAACAGTCTGCATGCACCGCCATCCTCTCGGCGGTCGAAACTTCGAGTCTTTCTCCGAAGACCCCTTTCTCACTGGAAAATTGGCTGCACAGTACATCAAGGGTCTTCAAGACAGAGGCGTTGCGGCGACCATCAAGCGTAAACACCATTAATGGCATAATTTGGGGCGAGTGTGCTGACATGGCCATAGATTTTGTTGGAAATGAGCAAGAGACCAACAGGTTGACGATAGATTCGCTCATCACTGAACGTCCTCTTCGAGAAATTTACCTGAAACCATTTGAGATTGCTGTTCGAGAGGCTAACCCCTGGGCTGTCATGACTTCGTACAACCTCATCAACGGCGTCCACGCTGATCTGAACAAGCACACATTGAAAGACATCCTCCGAGGAGAGTGGGGATACGAGGGGTAAATCGAAGCATCCTATACCGTGGAACAACACTGACTTGTCGCAGAACCGTGGTTTCCGACTGGGGAGGCATCAACTCATCAATCGAGTCCGTGGAAGCAGGATGCGATATCGAATTCCCCTACTCCTCAAAATGGCGTCTGGACAAGCTCGTCACAGCCGTCAATGAGGGTCGCATTTCCATCGAGGACATTAACCAAGCAGCTGAGAACGTACTTACGCTCGTAGAACGACTCAAGGGAGGTGATATGTCGCCCGAGGCGCCCGAGCGGGAAGATGACCGCGAGGAAACCAGGGAACTCATCCGAATTGCTGGCCATGAAGGTCTCACGCTTCTCAAGAACGACGGTGGCATCCTTCCTTTGTGTCCCAAATCTACCAAGGTCGCTGTTATTGGACCGAACGCGAATCGACATATTGCGGGTGGTGGTGGAAGTGCAAGTCTGAACCCGTACTACAACACCATTCCACTTGACAGCATCCGAAAGGTATCCAAGCAGAAAGTCTCGTTCGCCCAAGGTTGTCATATCCACAAGTGGCTTCCCGTCGCATCTGAGTACTGCACGGAACAGTCGGGCAAGCCAGGGGTTCACATCGACTGGTATGCGGGTGACAAGTTTGAGGGCAACCCAGTAGTGAAGCAACGCCGAACGAACACAGATCTCTTCCTCTGGGACTCAGCACCCCTGAGCGAAGTCGGTCCTGAATGGTCTGCCGTGGCCACGACGTATCTCATGCCGAGGACAACAGGAAAACACACCATCAGCTTCATGAGCGTTGGACCCGGAAAGCTCTTCATAAATGACAAGTTGGTTCTCGATCTATGGGACTGGACCGAAGAAGGCGAGGCGATGTTTGATGGGTCGATCGACTACCTCGTTGATGTCGATATGGAAGCCGACAAAGCTGTTGAGCTTCGCGTGGAGATGACGAATGAACTGCGTCCCATTTCGAAGCAGAAGCAGTTCGGCATTACGCACAAATACGGCGGTTGTCGCATCGGATATAAGGAGCAAGATCAGGTGGATTATATCCAGCAAGCGGTCCAGACAGCTCGTGACGCAGATGTCGCTGTTGTTATTGTTGGAGTTGATGCTGAGTGGGAGTCTGAGGGGTATGATCGTCAGACATTGGATCTTCCTGCCGATGGAAACCAGGACAGGCTTATCGAAGCTGTCGTCAAGGCTAACCCAAAGACCGTTGTCATCAACCAATCTGGTAGCCCGGTGCATATGCCATGGGTCGATCGAGTGCCTGTGATTCTTCAGGGATGGTACCAAGGGCAAGAAGCGGGCAATGCTCTGGCGGATGTCCTCTTCGGTATTGAGAACCCGAGTGGCAAGCTCCCAGTGAGTGATCTTGACCCGTAGTTTATTCCCCGCTGACCCGGAACAGAGTACGTTCCCCAAGCGCATCGAGCATACCCCAGCGTGGCACACATGGCCCGGCGAGAACCACAAAGTACTATACGGCGAAGGCCTCTACATCGGATACCGACACTACGACCATGCCAAGATCGAGCCGCTCTTCCCCTTCGGCCATGGCCTCTCCTACACAACCTTCGAATACGGCCGGCCCGAGATCTCAACGAAAACCCTGACTCCTGATGGCGAGATCAAGATCACCCTCGCCATCTCCAACATCGGGGCCCGCGCTGGTGCAGAAATCGTGCAGCTCTACGTCCACGATGAGAAGAGTCGATTGCCACGACCTGAAAAGGAACTTGTGGCGTTTGAGAAGGTGTTCCTTGAAGCTGAGGAGACAAGGCATATCACCATCAAGTTGGATAAGTACGCTGTCGGGTATTATGACGAGACTGTTCCTGGATGGATCGCTGAGGAGGGCGCTTTCAAAGTGCTGATTGGAGCGTCGAGTACGGATATCAGGTAAGTTCCTTTGACGTAATTGGGGACGTGCGCTAATCGTGTAGGCAATCGACGAGGTTCAATGTGAAGGAATCATTTACTTGGGTGTTTTGAAGAGATAACGGGGGAGCATGATTCGTAAGGAATCCGACGATGGAAGAGAATCGAGATGGTACCAGCTATTCTTCCAGTCTAGGCGTCGAGATACCGTGAGCAGATTTCTAAGAAAATGTTGTCGCACATTTGTGAAGCTTCTGTCGTCCGATTGTAAACTGTCCCTAAGTCCGCATCAGATCACTGTCCAAGCGTCCCCTACCAAAGTCACGGCGCCCATCAGAGAAGTTGTATTTGCACGTCACATTAAGTATGGGTTCATGAAGTGCTAGTTTTTGTTCAAAGAGGCCATTGAATCCCTTGACAAGTCCAAGGCCAAGGGTCGTGTCCCAGTGTTATTCTCATTCTGTTCTTGTATACGTGTTAGGCCAAGACTTCATCTGCGGTTGAGAAAATGGACATACCTCATGTATCAAAATTACACTGCCAACGTGCTCTGGCCATGCACGTCGGCGGTTGCGCATGTATCAAGTCTCTGCGTTTTCTCATCCAGTACTATTGTCCATCCCATGATTTTCGACTCGTCTCGCTCAATCGCGCTCCTCACGATCCTTGCCCTCGGGGCTACGACTCCTGCTTCGTCCTCTGTTCCGTCCACCAGCGCCTCGTCCACGCCCAGGTTTGCCTGGCGGAGGTCGCACGAACGCAAAGTCCACCGAGATCGTCTGGTCGAGCAGCTTCTGGTTATGCGCACCATCAATAGCAGCGCGGGCCTCCTCCAGTGTCGTGTACTCAATAAGCGCGTATCCCTAAGCAACCCACTGTATCAGCAATCCATCCTGCCATGTTCAATGTGTTTTCGCGCTTACCTTTACGTAACCGCTTCTTCGGTCGAGGTTCAGGTGCATGTTCTTGATCTCGCCGTACTCTCCGAAAAGATCTTGTAGGGCTTCCTCGTCTGCTTCTTCGTGGACGTTTGTTACGACGATGATCCAGCCTTCGATGGAGCGGACGGCTGTGGCTTTGGTGTGTGTTTGCATGTCGGATTCGTTTCGCGCGGGGGGAGGGGGAGAGCCCGCCTCGACATCAACGTCCATTTCCACGTCGGCCATTTTGTCTGATTGTGGTCTGAGGGAGAGAAATTCGGTATATAGTGAGGAGAGTGTTGTTGTTTGCTTGAGTAACGGGAGCTACCTGCCAGAGTGCAGAGTTCAAGGTGGAATTGAAATTGATATCACGTGACGCGAGCAATGAGACCGAAAGCATTTCATGTTCGAATCATCAATTAATCTATTGGAGGTCTTGGTCTCGAGCTTTCTGCAGTTTATGGACATTGGAATGCTGAATTTGAGCTGTTCTACATGAAATCATGGTGTTTGGCATTTCCATCAAATTTGACATTCTGATCCTCAGGCACGAACGAGTCGAGGATGTCATCCATCAGCATGAGTCACTCGCCGAGAACTCCAAAGAATTTGCAGCGTTTACGATGCCTCCCGACTCGCCTGCTTGGCCCAGTCGCCCATTCACCAGAAGATGCCCACATTCACAGTTGCAGCAGAAATGCCTTGCGCGAACAAATGTTTGTTGTATTGTGACAACTGACACCGGACGCCGAGTAGAGTCGTAGTGCTTCTTCGCCATTTCCTTTTTATTTTTTCGTAAGGGGGCTCAGCCTATCTTGCGACCCTGACCCAATCCATCACATCATCCCATTACTGAGTGAAGCCAACCATTGTTGTGTTGAACCGTGTCCGTAAGCCAACATTCCCGATACCGCAATTCCTGTCGATTTGACGAGTCGTTTATGAGCCGGGGTTGGGGTTCATCTGCATCCGCATCGTCAGCGCCTGTATCTGTGTGTGATTCTCCTGCTTCGAGTCTGCTCACCTTTCTCTTGCCACCAGTGAGGGTAACGTTGACAAAGCGACGGGTGTACTTGAGGCGCTTGAGAGCACGACCCTTGGGGGTCTTGGTCTTCTCCTGCTTCTCAACCTGTAGGATCGCGATGGTTAGTGATCGAGTTTCGTCGGATTTTCGATGTCGGAGCGTCGTCGTACCTTAGGAGTCTGAGACTTGACCTTGCCTGCGAGAATGTTAGCGACGACGAAAGAGAGAAATGTCGTGAGGGCGAGCGCAACGTACCGGCACGGGCAAGAGATCCGTGAACTTTACCCATGATGAATGATGTGCTTGGTGGTGATGTGGATGGTAGAGTCGAACGGCTGGCTGAAAGCGCGGTAAGATTTTTGGGTCAATTTGGCAAGTGTGTGGGCGGGAAGGAGCTGCCTCACGTGAGCGGGGATAAGATGCCCTCGGAAGAACTGGGTCCGAGTGGCGGAATAAGACGCTTATGTAATGAATGAGCTTGGAGAGAATCGTCCGCAGGGCAGCGACAGGCCTACAATAGCCATGCAACAGCCTGAAATTTGACTGTTTGCTTCTGATGACTTTCAATTGATCTCAGCGATTATCTCGTGGTGACTTTTCGTCAAATCAGTTTCTCTGTCGCGGCTTGGAGAATGCCGTGTGACGTCATTGGGTAATGAAGCTGGCGGGTTGAGTTCGAACAGGTCTTAACGATATGGTGAAAAATGCCGATTTCATTGTAGTGCCAGGCTTCCTCTTTCAATACTGAATGCTGTTGTTTCATCAACTAGCACAGCAGTTATGGATTGGTGTAAAGGTTACATCGTGTTATTTGGGCACGCAGGTACAAGATGTTGTGTGGCTCGACATCCTGTTAGTGGCCATTCTGCTGGTCATTGAACATTTTGGCGTAATAAGGGCTTACATCTGCTTCTTGGCTGCAGTATTGAGGTTCAAGTCGTCCTCAGCAACGACTGAGCAATCATGGTCTCTGGCGTAGAAAATCTGCAATCATGACATACAAGACATCCTATTTCCATCAACCCGGAACCAACTTAGAATTAAGTTGACTATTCGATGCAGTTCAGTTGTATTACGCATGCATTATGTCCAGCTACACACTCTTCTGACTTTGAAACCATATGTAACCAAAACAAAGAAGGGCTTGGTATTAGAAATGGACTTTTGACTGGCTCGGAAGCTCGTGCGAATGGTGTAACAATTGAACATTCTCGTCCCTCGACCTCGGCGTAGGGTAAGTCTCAGCTCGAAATCGCTCCATCTAACCGTCCCACCAGCTTAACCCCACTGTCTGGTCCTCCATCATTAAGCAAATGCGGACATCTATTAAAATCTCAATCAAGGATATCATTGACTTACACATCTAATTTGGGCGCTTCATCCATGGTCCATCCATAATGACTTGCATCGCGTTGGCCGTCGACAAAAAGCACAAGAGTGGATGTTTTGCTATATTTACACAGAGCCCCAGATTCTTGCAGGGTCCCAGTCGCGGACATGGGGATGCGAGAATACGAGAGGGACATGAGGCCACGGCCACTGAGACCTGAACCTAACGGAAATCTTTCCAGAAAGAAACTGAGACCTTGCCAATGTTTTAGATGGATCGTATTTTCCCGAAGACCATTTAGGGAGCTGATCGATGCCGAACCGTACTGTCTGAGGCTGGCAATTGACTCTTTCACTTCTGGACGCTGGGTGGTTGGAATTGAACTAAATAATCTTATGTCGCGGAGAGTTCAGGGTGAGCGGAAGCCATGAGTTAGAATATAGTTTCTGAGACTGCTATCCAACGTTGCCTCAATCGTTTCAGGCCAAGCTCGTCGTTGCGCTATATCCGTTCCACCGTCTAACCTTCCAGCCCCAGATGCACGGCCCCAACCATCCCGATCAATTACACAGAAACTCTAGGTGATGAGAAACAAGACACTGGTTGATAGATCACATCATCGCGCAGCTAAAGTCTGTTGGTTAGCTTGCACGATACTTTAGCTATCTCTGATAGCGGGGTGGTTGGATCATGTCATCAGCCCTCTGATTGCTTCCCGCTGCCATCCATTTAATGGGCAGAGGGCTGGGACAGTTACACCATTCAACTCAAAGGATCAGGGGAATAATTAGAGAGAACAGGCCTGCCACGTTGTGCTACACTTGATGCAGAGTTTTATCGTTATCATCCAGCCTCCATCGCGCATGAGCGGTTCATGTTACCGGCCAGCCCCTCCTCCCAGCTAGCTTCTACCCGCACGCTTCCTTCCGAAAAGCAAAGTAGAAAAGACCTAAACGAGCTTCCATGCAGAACGGCTAAACCCCAGAACGTCAATTGCCTCAGCCGATGAGTTCGTATCCTTCCATACTGAGACATAGTTTCTATTCGTGTAATTGCCTTATATTGCGGGATGGTTCCATTGAGCGTGCTGCTATTTTGGGTGACCCCTGTCGGTCTAAAAAAGGATTCGCTCTGTAAGGCCATCGTGGATCACTCCCGCAGGTGCCGAACCAATGGCCCCGCGATTCGGGCCATGACACTTCAGCCACGCACGTCTTTGGTGCCCACCTCGTCAGTTCGTATTCTAAACCCACTGCTTGATTCTTACGAGCATCTTGCAGCTGAGGGTTTGAGTCTAGCTGAGTGAGGTGGGAGAGTGAGGGGAAGAATTGGGAAGCATCAATGGTGATATCGAGGGACAGTTCACACAGAATAGCCAGTAATGATTGAGAATCATCATGGATGCAAACATTGTTGGGTTGTCTTGCAGTCGTTAACCCCAGTCAGGCTCTCAGTGGACCATGTCCAATACTCCAGAAATCGATGCCGCCATCCCGCAATGACAATCGCATCACGCACACAAACAGGCCTGATCCATTATCGCTAGGTTGAGATATCATGATCCTTGGCCCAGACCGTCCCGCTACTCAGCTGGTTTGGGACTGGCCATCTGCAACTAGTCAAAACTACTGTAAGCCCAGAAAAAGAACTGCCAACCTGCAACTGGGATATCGGCATCTTTTGCTTGCTTGATTCTAAGCTTGTTTGATTGATTGCCTGACACTGCTTGGCCGGGCCACTCCAGATACAAACCTCAACACGGGGAGCGGAATTGTCTGGAATTTTCTATTTCCTCTGACTCTTCCTCCAACACTTAATCTCCCTTGCCCGTCTTCACATCCATCCCTGTTTCTCCCCTTCTAATTTATCTCTTACATATCCATGTAAATGGGTGCATGTTGTTGAGCCCAACCAACGTTGCATCCTCCCGTACCTGACCTCACTCTACCTCACCGATAACGCTTCCGCTCTTGTGTCACCATATTACAGAGCAATTCCCTCTCACTCATCCCGCCTTCTTTTATTCCCCGCTTGTACAACAGTAAGAAGAAAAAAGTCGGGGGCGATTTCTAGCTCGTCTCATCTCGTCTTGAGTCAATCCCACCACATCACGAGATACCCGCATCTTTTGCCCACCGCCTTTGCAACGACTCACGACCGCATCCGTTGCGTTTCTCACTCAAAATCTCCCGCATTCGTTGGGATTTCTCAAATTGTTCAGAAGGAAAAGAAGGGAAAAGACGACTTGGAATGAGAAGATTCCAAGCAAATTACCAATAAAACACCAACCGAGACATCATCACCCGCTTTTGACCTTAGCTCCCGATATCATCTTGCTCCGAACGCGGCGCAACAGAACAATTTCTGGGCGCATTCGGTCATATTTACACAAACGCAAACACCCACGAAAATAAGCAGAGAAACTGTTCTCAGATTTATTATTATTGCGCTTACCTGCAGCAATCAGCTTCACCCCACCTTGTCCAACCCAACTCACGCGCAATTTCTCCCGGTATTTCTTGTCTCACAGAACCTTTGCAGCGCTCCCCCGCCAATTTCAGGTCAATGGTTATCTTGAGCGTGTAAAAAGACCAAATCAAAAGCAGAAAAGCTTTCGTCATGCTCCTCGCTGCTCAAGCGCCTCAAGGGCGCTCTCGCTCAAATAGCTTGCAGCAAATGCTCGATCTGGAAAAGAAGCTCAATGTAAGCACAGAAACTGGCGGGATTCTGGAGGGTTTGGCTGACGTACTCACACAGTTTCAGCGAACACATCAGGGCTCTGTGCCTCCATCTCCGGCATGCACTGATAGCAGTGGCTCAGTACCACCCAGTCCAGGCCACCCTCCTCGTCGTTTTGAATTGGTGCCGAAGGATAAGAAAGGTCCTACACCTGTTCGAAACTACTCCGCTGTTCCTCCTCCGCTCTTCTCAGCTCCTGAGCGCTCGGAGTCGCCAAACATGATCCCCCGAAAGCCCGTTGGAAAGAATCTTTCTCAATCATCCTCATCGGAGCAGCTCAAAGACGACAAGCCCGCTCACAAGACCGTGGCGTTCATGTTTCCCCCTGATGTGGAAGAGCAGCGCTCTGTGTGTCAATCACCCACTTGGGAAGCATACGAGCGTCAGAAGAAGGAGAAGAAAGAAGAGAAGCGAAAGGAGCTCCAGCGAAAAGAGGAAGAGAAACGAAAGGCGAAGGAGAAGGAACAAGAATTAGCCATGAACCAAGCTCTCGAAGAAGCTTGGAAGAACGCTCCCAAGCCTCGCGGTCGAAAATTGAGCAAACCTCAACCGCCGCCTCCGTCTCTTGGAACTCAAGGACGCAGCACAACTGAGCCACCTCAGACAACACAGAAGCGACGATCTCGCTCGTCGAGCTTATTGGGATTCTCGATTGGTAGAAACAACGACGATCCTGAAGAGCCCAGACGCAGTCGCTCCAGCTCGCTTACCTCCATCTTCCGCAAGTCATTCGAGATCAAGCGTGCTTCATTCGATGAGACAAGCGCTACTGGTTTCTTGGGTGGCAAGAAGCTTGAGAAGAAGAAGGAGGATTTCCACCAGAAAGTCCTCGAGGACCAGGCCAAGGGCGACAGCAGGGTTCATCCCGCCATGCGAAAGTCGTTCCTCGGCCATGGGTCGTTCACACCTCTCAAGATCAATCCCCAACAGAAAGAGGAAGATGCCAAACGAAGAGCGTACCCGCCTATCTCGATCAACACATCCGGAGCGAGGGGCCAATCGAAACCGCCCAAGTCGCCTAATCGAAGGGGTTCAGTCAATATCTACCTGTGGAGCGCTCGAGCTCGACGTGGTTCTGTTAGCGATGATTGTGCAGTCGCCGACACGGACGATGAGGGAGATCAGAACACCGCGCATACACCCGACAGCGAGATCTTGTATAACAAAGCCCAAGGTCTGAACAGACGAGGCGGTCTTTATATCAAGAAGGATGAGGGCTCGACCAAAGACGGCGAACAAGGCGTCACACATCGCTCTTCAAACCAGAGCATGAAACAAGCCGTCAAGCCCAAAGACACCGAAAAACCTCCCCAGCAAGATACAATCACCGTCTCCCGCCCCCCAATAACAACCTCAACACAACCCCAACCCCGACGCTCATCAACAGCATCAGGCCTTTCCATCCCTCCAACACCTCCCAGAAGAAGCTCAAAGCGAGGATCTCTCACACTCCTCACACGACTCAACCACAACCAACCAGCGTCCGATGAAGCCAAGAGCGCTCCGGTCGAGTCATCCAAGTCCAAGGAGAAGCTGTTCAGACATAATCCCCCGAGCATCCGTTATGAACAGACTTCGCCGGGTGTGCGACCGAAACCGATCACTGCTGATTCAGAACCCGCTGTGCCCACGAAATGGAAGCTTAAGGATGCTGCCAAGAGTGCGTTCAGCAGAGGTCATTCTGCACAGAACTCGGTTTCTTCGACGATGAGTAAGGAGAGTATGTCGTCAAAGATGAGTACTGCATCTTCTGTTGGGCCGCCTGTGCCACCAAAGACAGATTTGCCTACTCCGAAGGGATTGGCTGGTGCCAACGATGCCCCCATTCGCACTCAGCATGTTCACGCTCCGGTGAAGCATCTCACACCAGGAACTTCACGCTCTCCTATCGGTCGTCGCCCTACGACAAGTTCATCAGAGTCCTCATACTCCGATGGGATCCAAACTGTATCTCCCATGAGCACACCACACACATCCCCTCCCCAATCCGAAATGGGCCACTCCCCCAACATCGCAACCATCAAACCCTCAATGCACGCAACCGCCGGCCCCGTCAGTCCCTACTGGTCCTACACAAACTCCCCCCAAATGGCACCCATCGATCGTTTCGACACCAACCCCTCCGACCCCGAAATCGATCCCATCCAAGAAGCTGCCAACAGAGTAATGGAAGCCTTCTCAAACGCCAACCTCCGCAGCTCAACACCCCGCCGAACACCCGTCTCCTCCGACGAGACAAGCTTCGCCTCAACACCAACATACCCCCCTCTCAAACACAAACCCCGAAGCAAAGGACGTCTTCGCTCCGTTCAGAGCGGCCATAGATCGACCGTCTCCGACCCGGAAGCAACAATCAAGACGCTCCGTAGGCAATCGAACCTGGAGCACCAGAACCACGGCGAACCAAGCGCCAAGATGTTTGTCGAGTGCTGCGCTTGCATGCGCTACCATGATATGCCAAGCAGACTCTACGAAGCCATGTCCAACCCCGATGGTGTACTGAGCGCTGGCTCAACAGATTTTGCGGGGAGTGTTACCATGACGGTGAAGTGTCCTTGGTGCAAGCATGAGATGAGCACAAAGTGCTGCGCTGGATTCGCAGCCATGGTGTACATCAAGGAGAGATTTCACTAAGTCATGTTCTCGACGACCATTTTCTTCTTCTGTTTGTCTATAGACAAATATTGCACGACGCAATTCGTTTTCTTGTTTACTACAGAATCGGCGTGGATGGAAAAAAAGACACGGTTAATCTGAATAGTGTACAGGTTGCTTGGCTATAACAAGAACCATGGGAAATATTGTATTTAGTTTTTGACGAAAGTTGTAACGAGTCACGACATGATGAATCTAAGAAACTATTATTCAACAATCTCACAGGGTCTTGTCTGGACCCCTTGTTTGACGTCACATCCACTCTTCCCCTCTCCAAAGTCTAGCCTTTTGAAGGCTCTTCTTGGCAACGAGTCTATCGTTAAACTAAAGTTTGTTGAAAGCGAACACCTTCCCGTCCAAGAATAGACCGTAAATCACGATACCGAATGGCGGAGAAACGTGGTGGTGTCTGTTCTCAACGCCAAGGCTGCAGTGCGATGACGGGCATGAGGTGAGAAAATCTTCTAGAAACGACAAAAAAGCAAGAATAGAGCATGTGAAATAGAATTGAATAACCTGTTGCTGTAATGCAGAGTTTCTTGCAATTGGATGTCGGGAATATCCTGCTTGGAGGGTTTGCGCGGCTGTGACGTCAGGATAAGCAGGGATCTGACGATGCCAGGTTTTTGAAGATGCAGATTCAAGAAATACCAATATCTACGTCAATTCAAGAGGGGGAATCCTCATATCACTCACTCTCATCATCTTCGTCTTCGTCAACTGTGAATCTTATCTCAACCAACTCACCTTATCACAAAATCTCTCACCAAACTACAACCTCTCACTAAACCACCACCACCATCAAAATGGGCGAACCAAAGAAGGGAACAATCAAGTACCGCAACAAAGAGGGCACCCTCGACGCCTCCGCCCTTCTCTGGCGCGCCCTAACATCCGAAAAGCCAGAGGTCATGCGCAAATACATCACCAAGGACGCCGTCCTCTGCGAACCAGACCAAAAGGTGTACTCACCCCGCACCGAGCCCTCTCTGGATGAATACATGGAGGACGGCTACGAGCCATGGACGGCATACAAGATCCACGACGAGCCTGAGTTCGTAGAGATCGACCTCATGGCTTCAGCGCTCAACTACCGCGTCACTGCGTGGAAGCTCCAGAATGGAGAGATGTTGGCGACGGAGGCTTGGTGTCATAGCGTCTTCAGACAGGGACCCGGAGGTGATTGGAAGTGCTGTCTTCATCATATGGCCAAGGTCTAAAGAAGACTTAGAGTGTTTAAGGTGTTGGGGATTGGCGAATTGGGTTTTTGGAGACTGTTTCTAAGCTATGTTAATTAACGACGTTAACGTTATCACAACCTACATTACTTTCTCAACCATGCATCACTTAGTCAAGCGAAGTTCACGCCAAGCTTTCCCAGCTTCAGCTTAACAGCGATAACTAATAAACAGAGTTTCTAATTGTCAAGATTAGCTCGCTCACCCTTGTCCGATAGGTAATAGTAACAACAACCGGGACCGCCTCCCGGATGCATTAAACTCGACGGTTGGGGAGACAGAGTTAAGTTGAGTTGAGCGCCAAGGGATCTCTCAGGCGGGGGAGGGGCCCTTTATCTCCCCCTCGTGCATCCAAGAGATGTTCTCTTTTCTGAATATGGTCGCGTGCGTATTATTCTGTATCTCTCACGAAAGGCCATTGGCGAGTAGAGTCAAGATGGTGGCTGTCGATCAGGCTGAACGAGAAATCCTGCACGTTGACACTTTCTCGAGCAAGGATTAACACGAAAATATCTGAACCTTCGGTCTCTCGTTTGGGGTCGTTTGGTTGGGTCTGATTGCTTTCCCTTGGCGGCCTGGGCGTTTTCGCCTCCAACGATGTTCATCGACTCAAGCAAAGCATGGTGTGCCACAGAAAAAAAGTCTTGTCGCTCTTGGCTTTCTTGTCATAATGAGCGTTTATTGAGGCCCTGGTTGCAAGCCTGCATGTCCCTTCCATCCGGTCGATGATTCTGTAATCCGAGGTCATCATCGATCGCTTAGCAGGATTCTGACTGCGTTCTTTCACTGTGTCTTCGGACATGTAGTTGTGGGCTGTAAGACTGTGACGTCGTGCTATCGCCAAGTTCAACCAAAGTCCAAAATAATCTCGCCTCTTCGCAATGAACAGATATTACAACCGAGACTCGAATATCTGCTCACTTTCTTCGGCGTGAACCGGACAGTCGGCTTTGTCTTTGCTTTTTGTCTGTGTTATAACCGACTACTTGGTCCGCGCATGGCTGTCGTATTACGACCTGTCTCAAGCCAAGGCTCTTGTCAAATGCTTCTTCGCTCTAAGATGGACTTGGCGAGAAGCACGACGCGGGGAGTTCAGTAATGGAATGGACAATGTAAAGCAGGAGTGACATGTCCTCGCGAACTGAAGTTGTCCCAACCTCCTCCTCCCTCCTCCCCCAGACCAAACTCTCTTCAAAATTCTCCTGATGCAACGCCCTCCGCTCCGGGGTCCTTCAGCGGAGGGCACGTGTCCTCCTCTGTGAACCTCTTCGCTACGAGTGGCTCCGCCCAAGCCCACTCCCCACTCCGCCGCCCCACGATAACCCTGCCTCACCCAAACACCGCTCGCCTTGGCAATGAGACGCTTGTGGGGCCGCCGACCGTTCCGCTCCATTACTGAACTGTACTGAAGAGGGGGCGTGTGTCCGTTTTTCCGCTGCCGTTTGTTCTCGTGTTCCCTTTCCTTTTTGCTCTTCCTGCAGCATGCACGTTTTGATCCTCTTGCAGCAAAATATTGTCACAGAGGAATCGTGGATGGTTGTGAGCACATCTTGTATCGTGGCTACACGTGTTGAGAAGCTTTTTGGTGATCAACTTGGCGCCTTGTATTGACTTGGCTTCAGACATCCATCTCTGGTTCAAGATGGTGGGTGGAAACCCTTGAACCCTTCGTACCCTGTAGCTGTTTCTTAAAATCTGCCTCGTACTTTGTAACTCACCACGATACGCGTAATAAATAAAGACAGTATACGGGAGATAGTATAGATCCGCCTACATGTAGCAGATGGATCTAAATCTCAACCTGCAGCACCAGCGAGATAAACAACCGAAAAGGCCCGAACAATATCTCACCTGTATCCGCTCAGTTTTCGTCACCAAACACTATCTGTAACCCCCACAAGGATCGTCCATGGAGAATTAAAAAAAAAAGAGGCTCGAGAGCGTCGCACATCTTGAGGCCTTGAATCCCAGAGGCCTAGACCGCATCCATTGCCTGAAGGCTTGGCTGCGTCGACATGGCTGAAGCTCTCATCACTTGAATGGTTCACCCCAGAGTTCTTGCAAGCCATTGTGGGAGCCTGGGGAAATCTGGCGCTTATGCCAGGGCTCTTGAAAAGCCAAGACAAAGTCCTTCGAATTATGGTACGATGGTATATCACCCGATGGATTTGAGAGCTTTTCGGCCAAGTTCCATATCGCCAAGTTCTTGGGTAGACACAGTGAGACCCAAGTCCCTGCGGCTGATAACAATGAATCTTATTGTTTCACAGAGACGGTTGTTGAAGACGCGGTTCTGAATGGCTCGCAAGAAAGAGGCTCGGCTTACTGCTTCTGAGGATGAGCCGCAATGCCAGAATGGTGCTCCGATATTTGTTGAGATGATCGCCGAAGCCCGAGCGTACCCATCTGCCGTGTATCAAGGCATTCGCAAACTCCCCGGCCGATGTTCATGTCCGTGCCTGAAGACCCTGCCAATTCCTGCTCAAAGACCTCCGGCGCCCGGTCCCCAGGTTTTTGGTCACTTTGGCCGCCGTTCCCGCGACAAAGAAGACCGAGCATCACCATCTTTATGCCGAAGTTCGTTCATGGCTGCCCAAGATGATCCCATTAATAGATCAAGGCTTATAACAGCTGCAGTGTGTTCAGTTAGGTATCATACGGCAATAACGACAACTATACAAGCCACTCAATGGTTTGTGAGCAAGTTAAAAAGCTGCACGTCCTGGGACCTGCAGCAGAATTACTTTTTCCTTCCGAACGGAGATAGACAAGTCCGGGTATATTGTTCCCCATAATGGAAGTCAATGGTGCTGCGATTCCTCAGCAAAGCAACCCCCCCCACGCATTGTCTCACGTCCGCAGCGAAGTGTTGCGAGACCGACACATCCGGGTTAAATCCCCCCCTCTCAGGAGAAAAGAAAGAAGACAACATCTCCGCCACAGAGAGGCTCTCATCTGGAGACCGGGGGACCTCCGTGGGGAGGTTGACGCCCCGCTGTGTCCGCCCCGAGACAACATCCGGAGGCAACGGATCCAATGGCAGCAGGAGAGTGAGTGACCCCGTTTATTTTCTTCCCGTGGGAGCCTCGCAGTGGCCTGTTAGAGACGCGCATGGTTGTGCTAGGCATAAGCGCCCCGTTTCTGTGAGGACAAAGTGTCGTCTAGAGTGGATCGATAGAATCCTAATTCCCCATCTTGCTGCGGCATACGGCGCTTCTCTCGTTCCCGCCTTGGTAGTTCACCATAGTCAGGCGTCAGCGTCTCCGCGTCCGGCGTCTCTTTTGAGCTGCGAGAGGCAGTGATCGACGGCTATGTTCTTTACCGTCTATTTTACGGCCTTCCTCGAATGGATCCATTAGTAAGTAAACGGAGACAAGGGAGGCTAGTGTATGTATGCGCGTGAGTCGTAGAGAATTGGCATTGTATCTGTTCGAGAAATTGTATGTAATCGCAATGCAACGCGCAGACTCTAGGACATCTCATTCGTCACTCGACGCGCTGTTGGAATGAGGCTAAAAGGAATAGCGCAGAGATTTCTGAAGGAGATTGTGCACCAAGATTAGTGGATCCGAGTTCAATAAGATGCCGATGATTTAAGCTTATTGTCACGTTGGAGGAGAATCCTGGCTGATCTGGTGGAGGACTGATTACGTACCATGTACTCGCATGCCGGGATGGCTTCTAGAAGCAGTGGAAGCCGGTCACGTAGTAAATACTGGCTTGACAGCTGAGAGATAAGCGCAGTGGCAAATGTCACCAAGATGATGTCGTTACCGTTAGTGCACTAGCACCACGCATCTCGAGCCCCTGTTTATCTGGAAACGCTAAACATCAAGGTACTTGGGCTAGCTAAGGCGTCCGCCAGACTCTGGGCAAAGATAAGAGTCCGTGACTAACACCATCAAGTCCTCTGCCAAGGGTGGCAGTGCCTGCACCTCATCCTTGGCGAAGATTTGCGAAGGAGTTTTCTGAAAAGGGATAAGCTAAGCAAAGTTGCGTAACGCGTTGAGCAGCCCGTCTCCTCAGCCAAACATATCTCAAGATCTGATCTTGAACCCCAAGATCTCCACGGTTCCAAGTCACGAGACTGACCAGTAACACAGCGGGCAGCTTCAGCAAGTGGATTAATAACTCCGTGCCGTGACAGTCTCGGACCTCCGTGATGTTTGGGATGTAAACCCGGGCCGTAACAATGCAAGCTGAAAGAACAACAATCGGCTCATACCCGGCCCCGTTTCTTTTCTGTCGCAGGTGAGATGTGAAGTTTTGCCTCTCAAATGAACTTGATTGATGCCTACAGACTTACAACTACGACATCACCCAACGTGCAGATAGAAAAACAGGCCAGAAGAACAAAGCAATAAAACGGAGTCCAGGTTGACGGTGATGATTGCCCACGACCCAATGACGTGACGACTTGGCGAGCAGAAATTATGTATGCCCAGAAAATGCCAATACTGATCCTTCCTCGTCGAGAAGAAAATACCACCGAAGCAGACCACATTACAGAGTTGAATCAATGGTGTGTGTCATGGGCGAAAGAAAAAAAGAGGGGGAGGGGGGTATACTTAGGTAGGTTCTGGGAGCACACTCGTCTAACATCGGTTCTAGGGGCCATATGCACTGAAAATGCAGTGAACTGAACTCGGTTGCAGTGTGTATCCACCATCGGTGACGGCACTGGAAAGGTCCCTGAAAGCCTTACAAGAGCCTCACCATCACCAGGTGACACTAAGCCAGGCTTCAAACAAGGCTCCGACATTGCAAACCCCAGACAGCCCTGACGATATCTTGTCAATACCGCTATTTTGTCACCTCTTCCAAGGCAATTCGAATTCGGGTTTATTCTGAACCTAGTATTAGTCAAGGAGCAATGGGCGCTGGTATGGTTCTTTTTTAACCCTTGTCTCCCAAGAATACCAAGCCTCAGGTCGCCCACTCAGGAAGGCCAATTGATGCCGAGCCCGCCACGCCGCGTCACAGGATGCTTGGTAGCCAGTGCTGCAAAGTCTCCAAATGACGTGCCGACGGCGAACAGCCTCTTGAACCACCGTACAGAACGGCGCTGTGTGGGCGTCTCACCAATCAACCCCAGAGAACCTCAGCAGTGGGACCCCTCCGGGGCGGAGTGGACTCTCGGGCAAGGCCAGGGGCGTATACTCTAAGAGTCTCTTACTACTCTCAACACAACACAACAACAAACCAAGGTTTCGTATCATCGCCAAGACCTGTTCAGAATGCCCAATCCCAATGCCTCCCCGCCTTTGGAACAGAGAAACAGTAACGCAGAGAAGGAAAAATTGGGTAATGCTCTTGGCGATGTGGGGTCCGCTGGAGAAGTGAAATCAACTCTCAACCCAGATAGTGACTTGAGCCAAGACTCTGGCGAGATAAGCATTGACTGCTCTGCCTCTTGTCTCTGTCTTCGAAGATGGGACAGACGTCTATAAGACCTTCCCCATCTCCCCGCACGATCAATTCTTGTTCCTCTCTTCCTCTCCCCAAGGATCTCTTCACTTAGATCTCCAACAACCCTCCGACGCCAGACGAAAGGCTTCCTGCAAATAATCTTACAGGAATCCCCAGACATAGGCTTAAGGGTCTTTTACTCATGTATACGTTCTAAGCCAGCACCGAGTCGAGATATATAACAACAAGCAACTCTTCACGCTGGCGACCCGCTAGCTTCGACTTACACCATGGCTAAGAAGGACGACTCCGTCGACAACCATGTCTCTGGTCAGAGCAACGAGCCCATGAGCCGTCCCGCTCACGCCTTGACTTTCAACCAGGTTGTCGAGGAGCTCAAGACTGATACTCTCAGCGGTCTCACCGAGGCCGAGGCCAAACAACGACATGAGAAGTTTGGCAACAACGATCTCGGCGAAGCTGATGGCGTTCAGCCTCTCAAGATCATCATCGCTCAGGTCGCTAACGCCATGACGCTGGTGAGTTCAAAACCAGTCCAGTTCCCCCCTCTTAGCCCCCACACACTCGAAAATTTATGCTTTAAGCATATCTCGATGGCTGAACTATTTTTTTTTCGCCTCCCGACTGCATATTACCTGATTAGGCAGCCCGTCGCTTTTTCCCTAACCCACCACATGAACACCCCTGTCCGCGCTATGTTGATGATTACTGACGTCTGCCAAGGTGCTTATTCTTGCCATGGCTGTTTCTTTCGGTATCAAGTCATGGATTGAGGGTGGTGTCGTCGCCTTCATCATTGGTCTCAATGTCACCGTCGGTTTCTTCCAGGAGTACTCTGCCGAGAAGACCATGGACTCTCTGCGGTCCATGTCTTCTCCCACTGCTAGTGTTGTGCGCGATGGAGACTCCAAGGTAGTTCCCTCCGTTGAGGTCGTTCCCGGTGATCTTGTGGAAATCAAGACCGGAGATACGATCCCTGCTGATATTCGGTGAGTTCCCATACTTGACACTTACACTGGGACTTTATTAATTAGTGCAGACTTATTGAGGCTGTTAACTTCGAGACTGATGAGGCCATGTTGACTGGTGAGTCTCTCCCCGTTCGAAAGAACGAGGATGAAGTCTTCGAAGACAACACTGGACCCGGTGACCGTATCAATGTCGCCTACAGCTCTTCCACCGTCACAAAGGGTCGTGCCAAGGGTATCGTCTTCGCTACCGGCACCAGCACTGAAATCGGTGCTATCGCTGCTGCCCTCCGAAAGAAGGACAGCAAGGTCCGCCCCGTGAAGCGCAAGGCTGATGGTTCCGCCAAGCCTCACCGATATCTCGAAGCATACACCCTCACCCTCACCGACGCTGTTGGCCGTTTCCTCGGTGTCAACGTCGGCACACCTCTCCAGAAGAAGCTCTCCCGTCTGGCAATCTACCTCTTCGGTACTGCTGTCATCTGTGCCATTATCGTCCTTGCTGCCAACGACTTCGATGCTTCCCAACAGGTTATTATCTACGCCGTTGCTACTGGTCTGTCTATGATTCCCGCTAGTTTGGTCGTCGTCTTGACTATCACCATGGCTGCTGGTACCAAGCGCATGGTTGAGCGAAACGTTATTGTTCGTAACCTCAAGTCTCTTGAGGCCCTTGGTGCTGTTACCGATATTTGCTCTGACAAGACTGGTACTCTCACCCAAGGTAAGATGGTTGCCCGTGGAGCCTGGACTCCTGGAAAGGGAACCTATCTCATCGAGAACACCACCGAGCCTTTCAACCCTACCATTGGTGACATGCGCTGGTCTCGCAGCCAGCCCCATGAGCTTCCTCTCAAGCAGGGCGGTGATGAATGCGGCTCTGTTTCTCCCATCAGCGAGCTCCTCAACCAGTCCAAGTCCTCTCTCGTCAAGTTCCTCGAAGTCGCTTCTCTCGCCAACCTTGCCACCGTCAACGAGAAGAATGGTGAATGGCACGCCCGCGGTGACCCTACCGAGATTGCTATTCAGGTCCTCGCCTCTCGTTTCGACTGGAACCGTCTCCGCCTTACCAGCCACGACGCCGCCAACCAGTACAGTGAGATCGCCGAGCTTCCCTTCGACTCTGATGTCAAGCGCATGTCCGTCATCATGAAAGATAACCGAACCAGCCAACTCTTCGCTTTCACCAAGGGTGCTGTCGAGCGTGTCATTGGTGCCTGCGCTACATACTGCCCTGAGGATAACGAGGAGCAAGTCCCCATCACCGATGAGTTCCGTGAGCAGATCCTCCGTAACATGGAGTCTTTCGCTGGAATGGGTCTCCGTGTCCTCGCTCTTGCTTCTAAGCCCTACAACGTCGACATGAAGAAGGGTGATGAGATTGACCGCACCACTGTTGAGTGTGATCTCGTCTTCCGTGGTCTTGTTGGTCTTTATGATCCTCCCCGTCCTGAGTCTGCTCCCGCTGTCCGAGAGTGTCACGAGGCTGGTATTTCCGTCCACATGCTTACTGGTGATCATCCCGAGACCGCTAAGGCCATTGCCATTGAGGTCGGTATCCTGCCTACCCGTATGGATCTCGTTGCCGAGGACACTGCTGCTACTATGGTCATGACTGCTACTACTTTTGATGGTCTTACCGATGATGAAGTCGACCAGCTTCCTTTCCTCCCTCTTGTCATTGCCCGATGTGCTCCCCAGACCAAGGTCCGCATGATTGAAGCTCTGCACCGCCGAGACAAGTTCTGCGCTATGGTATGTTCTTACCCTCGTCTCTTTTCTAATGTCTCATGCTAACTTGACAGACTGGTGATGGTGTTAACGACTCTCCCTCTCTCCGCCGTGCCGATGTTGGTATTGCCATGGGTCAAGCCGGTTCCGACGTCGCAAAGGATGCATCCGATATCGTTCTCAGCGACGACAACTTCGCCTCCATCGTCGCCGCCATCGAGGAAGGTCGCCGTATCTTCGACAACATCCAGAAGTTCATCCTCCACGTGCTCGCCACCAACGTCGCCCAAGCCGTCGTCCTTCTCGTCGGTCTCGTCTTCAAGGACAAGACAGGTCTCTCCGTCTTCCCTATCGCTCCCGTCCAGATCATGTGGATCATCATGATGACTTCTGGTCTTCCCGACATGGGTCTCGGTTTCGAGCGCGCTGTCGCTGGTATCCTTCGCCGACCCCCGATTTCTCTCAAGACTGGTGTCTTCTCCTTCGAGTTCATCATCGACATGGTTGTCTACGGCCTTTGGATTGCTGCTCTCTGCCTCAGCGCCTTTGTCCTCCGTCTGTATGCCTTCGGAAATGGTGAGCTCGGTGAGGACTGTAACGATAACTACAGCGATAGCTGTGAGACCGTCTTCAAGGCTCGTGCTACCACCTTTGCTTGTCTCACCTGGTTCTCCCTCTTCCTCGCCTGGGAGATGATTGACAAGCGACGATCTTTCTTCCGCATGCAGCCCGGCTCCAAGCTCTACTTCACCCAGTGGATGCACGATGTCTGGCGCAACCAGTTCCTCTTCTGGGCCATCATGCTCGGCTTCGTCACCCTCTTCCCCATCCAGTACATCCCCGTCATTAGCGACACCGTCTTCAAGCACAAGGGCATCACCTGGGAGTGGGCCATCGTCTTCATCGCCGCCGGTCTCTTCTTCGGCGGTATCGAGGCCTGGAAGTTCGCCAAGCGTGTCTACTTCCGCCGACAAGCCCGCAAGAACCAGGGCGTCGAGTGGAAGGACATGGATCTTGAGCAGCGCACTTTCGGCGAGTATCTCACCCCCGACTCCAGCGAAGCCAGCGTCCGTCACGACTCTGAGAAGGTTGACGCACAAGCTGCCGCTCAACGCAACAACGCCGAGAAGAAGGCGTGAACGAAATCCCAGTAAAGGGAAAAGGTTCTTTGCTATAATTCTGCCAATGAAGAGGTAGATAGCCCAAAACTCAAAACAGTGCAAACAACGGAGTTAAAAAAGTGGAAGGGTTCAAGAAAAAGGTGGACGACGAGGAAATGATTGAGCCGTAGACATGAGATATGAGCTCGCTACCGGAGGAAACCCTAAAATGAACCACAGAGGACGCCGTTGGCTGTAATGAGAGGAGGATGAAGAGGATCATGGATGGATATTCCAGATCTCTTGAGATTACCTATGCATAAGCGGAAATAGTTCTTTAATGAAGTCAAATGTTAAATCATGAATCAATTCTTTCCTGAGTGACTCACCTATCTAAGGTTTAAAGTGATTTTGTTCAATGTGATGAATGTTAGCGAAGTGGAACGGAATTCCGTCCGGGATGCTTGGAGGTGGTGTAAGGGAGATGAGCCTCTTAGCCGCAAACGAATGCATATAATCAATCCCAAAGCTGCCGATTGGATCAAATTGAACTGAGGTCCAATTAGACCTGACCATTAAAGTCATGTTTCATAGTAACTTCCTACCTGAACCTTCAACCGTGAAATCCTACGCTGTCGCGTTAGCGTGACGTGTGGTAAGCACTTGGGCGTGGCTCATTTTGCGGTCTGAAGATCAATATCTTCAAGCTGAGTCCCAAAGAACTCAAACCTCTCATCACCAAACTCCTCACATCTCCCAATCCCTCAATGTCAAACACAACAACTCCCAAGCCAAAACGAGACATGAAAGTCCTCTGTCTCGGCCTTCCACGCACAGGCACAGCTTCCATGGCCGAAGCCCTCACTGTTCTCGGCTACAAAGACGTGTTCCACGGTCTCAAAATCCTCGACGACAAAGAAGCCTGGAAGAATCTTGAGCGCGCAACAGACGCTTCATTCCCGAATCTTCCGACATACACGGGAAAACCCTTCACTCGTGAACAGTGGGATGAGATCTGGGGAGAATGTGAAGCCACCACCGATGTAGCGTCTATTTACGCACCGCGGCTCATTGAGACGTACCCCGATGCTAAAGTCATTCTTGTAATTCGGGATTTTGAGCCTTGGTTCCAGAGCGTTGACGAGAGTGTTCTCAAACAACTCTGGAACCCGATCGCCGAGTTCTCCATCAAATTTGTTGAACCACTGCTTGGGTCTAGAGCAGGCCCAGCGGCGCGAAAGCAAATGCTAGGTCTTTTCCAAGCAGAGACAGTTGAAGAAGCTCGAAAGAATAGCAGAGAAACGTATGACCGCCATCATCGTGTTATTCGAGAGATGGTGCCCAAGGGACAACTACTCGAGTATCGCATGGGCCAAGGCTGGGAGCCCATTTGTGAGTTTCTGGATAAGCCTGTGCCGGAGAAGGAGTTTCCTTGGGTGAATGAGGCAGCGGAACTACGGAGAATTGTAAAGGAGAAGGTTAAGAGTAACATTGTTGATGCTGCGATGGTTGTTATGCCGTGGGCTGGAGCGGCTGTTGCTCTGGGAGCTGGATACTGGATGATGTATAAGAGGTGATTATCTTGACATTGTATGTAAGCGATGCCGCTGAACTGGGATCGCTGATTAGTCGCCTTGAATGATTGCGCCATCACATGTGACTCTGCTGTGCAATCACCCCGTTCGGGTATCCATCTCGATCCGCGATCCGTACCTGAGCTTACGTGGTACGCTTCGACATCCGAATAAGCTTCTCACTCCCGAGGAACAACAATCCCATCTACGTAATAAGCAACCTCAAATCCCTCTTGTTGCCCTCATAAAGGTCGCTCGTCTTGGCGATGCATCCGCGGAAGATTCTAGCCCCACGCATGATGTCTTCCGAACCAGGGTTTTTAGCACAACCAAAAAGCTTGGCCAATGTCACCCGAAGAAGAATCGGGTTATCATTAACATAGCCCCAGGAACAAAAACCAAGGGAATGGAGCACTAATTTTAGGTTTAGAATATGCTTATCGCACGGTGATGGAGCCTCTGCCGATCATTCGACGTCATGACGATTTCGACATGACGCAGCAGCTGAGCTGTCGAATGAGAGGGTTTCATGGCGTTGATTGATTAGAGAAGAATGATGGAAGTGGTGAGTATATTAGTGTAAGAGGCGAAGGCGACAACTATATAAGAGACGTGTCCGCGATGGAAGTCTTGCCATTAGAACCATCAATCTCCTTCAAAGCTTTACTTCACTTGACTTCCAACACCACTTTATTTACACTCAATACTCGAACAAAATGGCAGACCTTATGAACAAGATCAAGGAGACACTGGTCCCCTCCAACACTGAGAACAGCAACACTGATTCTCACCAAGAGTCTCACAACACTGGTTCTCTTCGAGAGACCTACAACACCAGCTCCCATAACACCGAGTCTTTCAACAACACCAACCAGAACAACCAGCGAGAGTTGGGCTCAAACTCCCACATTTCTCCCCTTGATGCAACAAGCAACCAAAACCAGCAGACCGAGGGTGTCCGCACAGGAGACAGGATCGACTCGCTGGTAGAGAACGTCCCTGGTGTTCCCTCATCTCAATCCAAGCCTTCGTAAGTTCACTCTTGGCATATGAAATAGCGCTCAAGGCTAACATGAGATTAAGAAACACACCTTCTTACCAGAATGACATGCACAAATCCCCTGGCGCTACTCTTGACGCTGCCCGTGCTCCTCCTTCTGCTCTTAAGGAGCACCTTGGAGAGCCTATCATTGAGCACGACTATCCTCATGAGAGCTCGACTAAGAGACACTCTTCTGTCAGCCACCAGGAGGAGCACTATAACCTCAACTAAACGTATGGAGAAGAAGCAGAGGTTGACACTAGGATACTTGTAACAGATGAGACTGTTGTACGGTAGCGGTGGTAATAGATCGGTTAACATTAACGTTTTATGATATGGATAGCATATACTATTGTTCTATGTGATGCTGTACAGTATTGAGCCGCTGTAAAGAGATACAGCGTCCATGTAAGCCGTCTTTCAGAAGCATGTCACGATTACAGATCGCAGGTTTTGCGATTACTGAGACCTTGCACTTAAATACTGCTGGGGTCCGCAAGGTAATGAGATGATGTCGAAGAGTTAACGAATTTATCTTCATCCACTTGTTCGTATATGGCTTCCCATCTTCATTCTGACCGGCTAATCTTGCCCGTCGCACATCGCCGAGACTCCCCGCTCCGGCCCGGATCCACCACCCGGACGCTATTCCCAATGCCGCAGCTCCGCGCCGGCAGCGGAATTCTGATCGAGAGCTGACGCAGGAACGCAGATTACGCCGGAACACCATTTCGGACACCTGCCGCGCTAATAAATTGTTTTGAAGGTGAGAGGGATGGTAAAGTGACTGCTCCAAGCTCCGGATGCATGTCCGGAAGCCTGCGTTGTCTTCAGCGGGAATGAGCCGGTAGCCAAGCCATGGAATGCTATCATGATCTGAGTCGATGATCTGAGAACCACAACCCTTCTTTCTTGACTGATCGCCCAACAATGCCATGCCAATATCCACTGATCCAGAGAATCTCTAGCTTCACAGCTATAAAATAGCCTTGGAGCTTTCCCGGTCTAATTCTCACCGACGGATCCCACTCCACCAGCCTCTCCCCTCCCATTCGCGCGGTTAAATGCTCTGGCTAAAGTGCCATCATCCTCAGCACCAGAATTTCAAGCGCTCCCGTCATGACAGCCCCCCATATGGAGAATCTTGTCGGTCTTGTGGTCTCGGGTCTCTCGATATCATGGCTTCTTGATTGGCGAGGGTAAAAACCGTGGGGGTGTAACCATCATGTCAACTCTACGGGTATTTAGCACAGGGAGCTATGTTGATGGGAGGGACCATGTGATGAGGTTGGGGTATATGAGCCGCTGCCCTCATCAGCAGATTTTGGCCATGATCTGAATTTTTTAATCATTGAGAACTGTTGTTCAGGCTATTTCTACAATTGCTTTTGGTGATAGATTGACGGTGTTGTTGAACTCCACCGTGATCCATATAAGACAGGACATCCCACTTTGAGCTACGAGTGACGAATCTACTTCATCATCCCACGACTCGCGACTCAATTCTCCTCCTCTTCATCTCATCTCTCGTCTTTCACCTTATCACAATTACTCACAGCTAAATAACAGCAACAATGGCCAGCGTATGTCTTTTATCAGCTCATCGACTCCCTCACATCATACCCCGCCATCATGGCCCCTCATGACGTCTCACTAACAACATTCCCCCTCCAGAACCTCTCCTTCGTCCTCAACAAGCCCGGCGACGTCTCCTTCGAGGAGCGCCCCAAGCCCACCCTCTCGAGCCCCCACGATGTCCTCGTCGCCGTCAACTACACCGGCATCTGCGGTTCCGACGTGCACTACTGGGTCCACGGCTCCATCGGCAAGTTCGTCGTTGAAGACCCCATGGTTCTAGGCCACGAGTCCGCCGGCACAATCGTCGAAGTCGGCTCCAAAGTCAAGACCCTCAAGGTCGGCGACCGCGTCGCTCTCGAGCCCGGCTATCCCTGCCGACGATGCCAGAACTGTCTCGCTGGAAAGTATAACCTCTGCCCGGATATGGTGTTTGCTGCTACACCACCCTACCACGGAACTTTGACCGGTTACTGGACTGCGCCTGCGGATTTCTGCTTCAAGCTTCCTGATAATGTATCGCAGCAGGAGGGTGCTCTGATTGAGCCTCTCGCTGTCGCTGTTCACATCGTCAAGCAGGCCCGCGTCAAGCCCGGTGACTCCGTCGTTGTCATGGGCGCTGGACCCGTTGGTCTTCTCTGCGCCGCTGTCGCAAAGGCCTACGGAGCCTCCAAGATCGTTAGTGTCGATATTGTCCAGAGCAAGCTCGACTTCGCCAAGGACTTCGCCTCCACCCACGTCTACGCTTCTCAACGCATTGCACCCGAGGAGAACGCCAAGAACATCTGCGAGCTCGCTGGTCTCCCTGAAGGCGCTGACGTTGTCATTGACGCCAGCGGTGCCGAGCCCTCAATCCAAGCATCTATCCACGTCCTCAAGAACGGCGGTAGCTACGTGCAGGGCGGCATGGGCAAGGCCGACATTACCTTCCCTATCATGGCATTCTGCATCAAGGAGGCTACAGCCAGCGGCTCATTCCGCTACGGCGCTGGTGATTATCCTCTTGCTGTTGAGCTTGTCGCTACCGGCAAGGTCGATGTCAAGAAGCTCATCACTGGGGTTGTCGACTTCAAGCAGGCCGAGGAGGCTTTCAAGAAGGTCAAGGAGGGAGAGGCGATCAAGGTTCTGATCAAGGGACCTAATGAGCAGTAAAGGAAAGGGTGATGACGATATGAATGACTGTGAATGAGAACTAAAAGCGAAAAAGATATCCGGGCATGGGATGGCTTGGATCATATGAAGCGGGGCGGCGGGTGAAGGCGTTTTGTCATGAGTGGACTCGGTATGAGTCCTTTACACCATAGCATCATTCTAAGGCACTTAATAGATGTGATTTGTTTCACTTGAATCCCTGTAGATTGACCACGGGTAGGCGGGTGTCACAGGCTGAGATGCAAGGAGAACCGCGGCCCTCCTGGCTCGAAGATACCAATATCTCACGGCATACCCGCCACATACCTTCTAGTTTTATCGTGCGAGGCAGCCTTATACTCCTGAACACTGATTCAATGACTGGATTATTAATTGCATCTTGCTGAATACGCCCTTCCAGTGGCTCCCCCGTATCCTCTCCAATCTCCCCTCATCCCCCAATTCCGCACTCTCCCTGTAAACCTTGCCTCATTCCGCCCCTCCACAAATTAGCTCCAACGGCTGAACAAGCACAGCCCATGTGCCATCTCCACTCTCCGCATTCAGCTGTTTTCCCATCACAACTCTCCAATAAGACAAGCCTCACCCGTCTTACATCTCCCAAAAGAGGACAAATCTCACCCTTTATTGAACACTCTACGATTAGCTAGCTTGTTTGACAGAAAACATAAACGCCCTGGTAGAGTGAGAGTCAGAATCTTGTCGGGAGTTCTTATCCATGTGATCGACACCGGCATGGGCTGTTTAGCGAAATCCTTCATGCAGGCATCTGCACCTCGAACCAAATCTCGCGCAGCATGCTCAACTGGGAAACACTTCTACTCACCACAACTCAAGCCCTATCACTCGTCAATAAATACATTTTCATGTAGCAAACGAGCTAGAAACACCGTTCCTTCTAGTGAAACGCCTCAGTAAGTATTTTAAGGAGCAGTAGCTTCAAGTGGCTTGTCGCACTGCCCAGGTTTTCGAAGTTCAATTTCCACAAGCCTCTCCGCCTTTAACGGCATTTGTCTGTTTTACTTTCGTGCCTTGTGCTGTGCAGGGGTATTAAGTAGGGTGGTACCGTAGTGACCCTGTTTTTGTTTGTTGTCAATTAAACTAAACCACCGGCCAGCTCTAGACACTTACACTCGCGTAACTGCCGACGATAGCTCAAGTCTTGATAACAACAAATAAGTCGAAAAAACAGATTCAAATATCATCTTAGCAATGCCTATATGGCTCGGGAATTAGGATAATTCTTCAAAACACCAGAAACCATGGCCTGTCCCCCTCCACCCCCGAGAGAGCCCAACGGCGCCAACAAGGCATCCCGAATGGGCCAGCTGAGGTGCGGCTGAAGTACGCTAACGACGCCATCCGCAAGGGTTCCTCGTCCCTCGAAATCTGCCTTGGGCTTCTTGTAAGTGAACGGAGCCGGGCCTAGCTATAAGGCTGTTGTGTTTCCCCCGAGGAGAAAAAAAAAGGGTGCGCCATAAATCATTCTCCCCAGCGAAGATTCGTCTTGGCCCCTACACTAGCACTTCGCATCTCTTGGCTGCTTCTCGTGGCTTGACACTATCACTTACACTGTTTGTTACAGAAAGTTACTATGGAACAAACTCAAGAAAAGGTTGAGGGCAACCATGTTCTCCAAACACCGCTCTGGATTGTTATAATTCGTGGCTTTCAGTTCCTCATCTCTCTTATCATCGTCGGTCTCTGCGGTCGTCTGATGCACGATGCCACCCTCGACGAAGAAGCTCTATCCCTGGCCATTGTAAATCCCCTCTTCCATTCCTTCATCTCAACACCACTAACAGCTTCAAGGCAATCATCTCATGGATCGTCATCGCATACGTCGTCTTCACAGAGAAGATCCCCAGTCTTCAAAGCGCATATCACATCATCGCTGTTCTAAGTCTCGATGCATTGCTGATGGTTCTTTGGCTTGCGGCTTGGGCTGCCACTGCTGCGAGACGTGCTAAATACGTCGTTCCTGTTAATGCCTATGGCTGTGTTGATGATGGAAGTCTTACGGATAGCAAGACCTGCAATATTTTTAAGCGTGATGGGGAGAATGTTATTCTCTTCAAGTCTGGTCTGGCTATGCTTGCTGCCGTCGCTGGTCTCGGTGCTCTTGTCTGGTAAGTCAACTATGCTCATGAGTCACAGACAAGGTTGGCTAACGCTTGACTTTCAGGATTCTCTTCATCGTCACTTTCGTCTGGACTCTCGTCATGTTCCTCCGCGGTCGCAAGGAAGGTCGCTTCGCTGTCAACCTCGCTGCCTCTCCTTCACCCAACAACAACTACCAAATGGAGACCAAGGTCAATGAAGGCCAGCCCATGGTTCAGCCCATCCAACCTCAGGGCGTCCCTCAGCAGCAATACCAGCAACAACCTACTCAAGGCCAATTCGTTCCTCAACAACAGCAGCAGTATCCTCCTCAGGGCACTCCCTCTCCCTACCAACCTGCCCAGAGCCCATACCAACAACAGGGTGCTTATCCTCCTCCCGCGGCACCCTACTCTCCTCAAGACCAGCAGTACCAGGGCCAGCAGAACTACGGACAGTACCCCCCTCAGCAATATCAACAGCCTCCTCAACCTCAAGGAAGTGAGCTTGATGGTCAGACAAACTACTCTACTCCTCCTCCCGCTTCAATGTCTCCCCCTCCCCAACATTACGGAAGTGAGCTCGATGGCCAGACGAACTACGCCCACCCTCCTCCTGCTTCAATGTCGCCGCCCCCTCAGCCTCAGCCTTATCCTCCCCAAGCATATCCCCAGCAGTAAATGAAGTGGAGAGGAGGGATTAATGACCGGGCCTCTTGGCGCGTGGAGTTGCGTTTCTGTTTTGCCAGTATTTTACATATCCAATAACAGCGGTGGCTTTTTGACGCTTGTTTTATACCAATAGCCACAGTTAGAATATACGATGCAGCGATTGATGACAATTTATTCGCACTAGTACATATATACACTTCTCTCTCATGAGCTCACAAAACCATTGGGACCTGAAGTTTGTTAACTTAGTTTTCTTGACCTCATAAAATAGCCTTTCGCTCTGTCTCTAACTTTTACATGTTGGCTTTTGTGAAACAATATGCACCAACCACATCATTCACCTCTATTTTCTATTGGTAAGAACGTGTATTAATAAGCTTAAGAAGTTCTTATATGATGTTTAAATAAAGCAGATCTATGTGGCATTTTACTAGGATTAAATATAAGTATACTGCATAGTTCTTATACTTTAGTATCATTTCGTATAACAACTGATCTGGCGATTAACTTATATTATCAAGAGAATTCCTATGCTTTTCTCTTTGCATACTTTCTCTATTTCTTTTTCAAATGCTTAACTTGGTAATTTATTCATCTTTTCTGAATGGTACAGCACCTACTTTAGAGTGTCCAATGTTCGGTCAGGAACAATCGCCTCAGCTCTGTGTGTTGTGTTGTTCTTCCCGTTCAGTAACCCTACCTGCTTGCATAAAAGCTTTAGAGCTCATTCGTGATTTCTGACCTGAAGGAAGTTGGCATCGTCAAGGTTCTCATGCACGTCGTCACGTTTAAGCTCTCAAAGAAGGAGCACCTCCTCCGGGCAAACAGCACGACTTGGATGAACTGAGTTTCTTTTTTGAAAAGCTTCTCTTTACACAAAAGTATAGAAATGAACGCATATTCATAGCCAAATTTTGTTTCTCGCTATAAATACCCTCGCAGTGTCTACTCTGTACGCATAGCATCTTGACCTCCTGCCCATCACGATTCTCACCGTGCCACGGTCCTTCAGTTCAAACCTCCCCCCGTCTGCGAACGATCATCACGCTGCTTCAAACCACGATCGAAAATGTCGGATAGTAAGGAGCTGGACCACTCATGGTTCAAGCGCGCGGAGCTCTTCGTACCTCAGTGGGTGATGGGATACGCCATAGAGACCCAACGCGTATCGCGCTGGTCTTGGGTGCAGCACGAACACCTCCAAACATGGCGGGACACAGAGGACTCGAATTTCCAGATCATTTCTATCGACGTCGATGATGCTGTAGTGGAGGATCATGAAGTGCGGAGTTTCCAGATTGGCATCTCTATCCTTGATACCGAGCGTCTTGGAGATGTGTTGGCTGAGCCTCCTAAGCCTGATGTCAACCTGGCTGCGAGGGTTGTGCAGTCTCATCATTGGATCGTTGGGGATGAAGAATACTCTCCCGAGTTTGAGGATATGTTCCGTTTTGGAAGAATGAGGTACGTTCGGATGGAGGAGTTCCGGAGGGAAATCACGGACATCATCCAGAACTGGAATTTCTTCCTCATCACCCATGGGCCAGACGAAAGTCTCTCGTTCTTGAGAAGCTGTGGCGTATATCTCCGTGCTCTCGAAACTATCAACACTGCCCAGGCTGTTCAGGAAGTCCTCCTTCTCCCCTTTGATAAAGTGGTGAGCAAGGACCAGTTGGTTAGAGAAATTGGAGGCCCATGTGAAGATCCTTGCTTAGCTGGAAACGCGGCACATTTTACTCTCCGTATTCTTCTCATGCTTATTTATGGAGACGTGGACCGACATCTTCATCGCGTTGGTGTCCCTATGGATCAGTGGTCTCTGCTTTTGAAGAGGATTGTTGATTCACCACCCAAGAAGCGAAAGTTGAGAAGGATGAAGAGGTCGCCTCCTGCAGATTCTTCAGAACAAAGTAGCAAGCGAGGCAATATCATGGACTCCTCCACCACTTCTTCCCCGTTGTCATCTCCGCCTTCTACAGAACAAAGTAGCGAGCGAGGCGACATCGAGGACTCTCCCACCAACTCTACTCGGTTTTCGTCTCCGCCTACAGAACAAACTGATGGGAAATCCAATAACGAGGTCTCCCCCGCAGAAGATATTCAGTCGTCGCCTGCATCGAGTCCAGAATAGGCTCCAGATTCGAGCGATTGTGAAAGCCGTAGTGACTGAGGTGTTCCATGGGAAGAGGAATTGGAAGAGCATTATCAAGAAAGATATATAAAGAGAAAAGCATATAAATTCTCTCGATAATATAAATTAATTGCCAGATCAGTTATCATATAAAGCGATGCTAAAGTTTAAGAAATATGCAGTATATTTAAAACAAAAACCTACAGAATAGCCATAGATCTGCTTTTTATAAAAATTAATAAGATCCTATTGAACTCTTATTCTTCCTAATAGAAGACGGAGGTAGATGATGAGGTTGGTACACGTCGAGTCACAAAAGCCAATATTTAAAAGTTTGACTGAGAAAGGCTATTTTATGAGGCACAACAGATCAGGAAAATTAGTGTAATAAACTTTATTTCTCAAAGGTTCGTGAGGCCCTGTTCAGTGGAAGATCAGATAAGGTTAATGTTTCCGATGCTAATCCTCTGTCGCATCGCTCGCGCTTTCACTCTGAGTGCTTACGTCCGCCTGCGGGGACGTGTTCACTTTTGCGACAATGACAGCCGAAGTATAGTAGGCGCCAATGCCAGGCTCATTTCCGTACTGCAAACCCATGTCAGTGTGTCTACCGCCATATACCGAATTTCTGTACTCACAGTGATGAAAGCAACAGCAAGTTCCTTAGAAACCCCCGAGTCAGGCGGACCGTTCAACCATGTAACATCTCTTCGAGGGTAAAACTTTCCGCGGGTTTTACGGCTATATTCGTGTTGCAATCCAACCTCCGCTGGATCGAGTCTCTCCTCATAGCTGTGCCTGAAAACAAGTGCAGGTTTCGGCGCCGTACCGATAGCTAGCTTATCGTCCAAGACGTCTTGCTCCGCTTGAGTGATCTTGGGCTCTGGTAGATGTGGGTTGTACTTCAGCCTGTGATCTTTCTTCCATTCAATCATCTCTGGTATAGACTCTTGCTCGTAATGTCGGTATTTCTCGTCATCGACTAGAGCGGCAACTTCAGCTGTGCCTAGAATGCGCTTGAGGGCTTGGTAGACTACCATGTCGATGCCTTTGAGCATGTGGTGCAAGTTATTGGTGGATGACTTGGAAGTATGAGGATAAGCGTGAGTGCAAGAGAACCCAACGAGACCTGGACAAGCTATCAGCATGTGAATAGATAAAAGCACCCAATTGTGAAATCACCTTCTTTTATAATATGCTTGTTCTCAAGTAACTTCTCAAGGGCATCGAAGAAATGAAGAGATTCCTGGTCTAGAGCCCGAAGATGATCAGACATCGAAGCTGGACCATAGTTGATCCAAAAGAGATTGTAAGTCAGTGTAACACGATGTCCTTCTGTGACTTGCAGTACTTCATGCTCGCAGTCAGAGAAGAACGCCGCCCACTGAATGGTGTCGGCGCTTTTCGGTGCCCAGTCAAAGACGATCTCACGGTCTCCATGTCTAACCGCAAGTTGGCCCCCTAGGATCATGTAAGTGTCTAGTATATAGGAGTTAACGGCTTGTGCTTTCTACCTTTGTGCTCGATAGGAAGACTCACGACGAGCGAGCCCATCTGGCGATCAGATCGTGGAGTATCAACATGAGGCTTGAACTTGCCAGAAGGTCCTGAATACACCTGGGAAGACTTAGTAAGAGTACATCACATCAATCATATTGAACTTACATTGAGCTTGTAAAGCTCGGCCTTTACACCAAGACCCCTGGCATCAGTAACACTGGCTTGGGCCAGGACCTGATTGATGGTATCAACAATACCATGTTCATAGGGGTTGAAGTCAGTACAGAAGTCTTCGGTATTCATTTTACCAGCCTTTCTGTACTCCTCGTCAAGCACCTCTTGGCTACCGACGCCGAAGGTTGCTGGTTGGCAATCAGCCACCAGGGTGTTGAAGGCATCTTGAGTGACGGTATCATCGCCGAGGGGCAGCTTAAGAGTTCGACTATGTACCTGTTCCTTATTATCCCACCGGATTGTGATAGAGTTACTGGCTGCATGAGAGGGGCCACCATCGTCGCCAACGCTACCTCCGATGGCAAAAATGTCTTTGCCCGCGCGCTTGTCTAGGGCGGAGGACACAACAGAGAGGAGACCCTTGAGAGAAGAAGAGTCCCCAGTAGGCTGAGAGGTTACAACGGGGGATTCCATGTTGATGTCAAGAATTAAGATAGTTTATGATTAGATGCGAAAAGCTAATGTGATGTTGTGAAGAAGGTGGTGATGATGCCTGAGGAGAGGTGGACGGTCTTTTATACATCACTGAGCAACTCATACCATGACATTCTACAGCAGAATTACCTACAATCGAGAGTCTGAAAACATATTCAAGCATTGTTGAAATTCACGGTAATACCCACGCAAAGTCTCGATATTTGTGCAACAACATCGATGATTTAGCCGAGCCTTCGTCTCTCTTGGTTCATTGAGGTCACAGCAACCGAAACAGCACCAATAAGACAGCGATGCTGCCTAAAGGTGCCTGAAAAGTTTCCAACAAAATCTCAGAAAATAGAAGCTGAATGGCCAAACCTTATCGAATGCAATTCATTGTGTCGCCTGAGGTTGTGAGGGCGTTCACGCTGGCACTTTGTGCTTCATATTGGAGACATGGCGGCTGGCCAGAGCGGTACCGACACAGTGAAGCATCGCTCCTCCCCATGAGATGTGCGATATTCAGGAAAAGGCGACATGGGTCACTGATCCAAATGGCACAAACACCATGAAGCTGGTGATGCCTTCTGTTGAAGTCTTATGGATCATGGTGCAATCCATCTTCCGATAAACTCCAAATCGGAAGGCGGTCAAGCAATTCTGCCATTTGCTCATGGGCTCACCTCTCAAGATCCCGCAAGCTTCTCGTCCGATATAGCTTCAATCGCCATCAACGATCCACCACGAACCCCCGGACGCCACATTAACCTCTCCCCGAACTCCTCCGGGTAATCTATCTACGATAATTACGACTCCGAGCCTCGCGCGCTCGTCCCATGGCCGCAATGGCCGTCCAGAACCCCCCGGTGCCAGAGGAGAAGCTCGGAGTCCCCTCTCGCAACCCTCTACCTCTCTCCGCATCACAAGAAGCACAAGTCCGAGATATCTTCTATCAAAAAGTCCGAAAAGAATGTGCCGATGAGATCAAAGGCACGTCCCCCCCCTCCACCTCCACCACCAACTTCAACCCCAAACCTCCAACATCAGGTCATGAACACCACTAACAGGAACCCCAGCATTCGCCGCATGCGCCCTCGGCCGCACATTCACCGTCTCCTTCGCCTGCCGCGCCGAACACCGCTCCATGAACAGCTGCATGAAACTGCACGCCACACAATCCGCGCACGACGAGGCACGTGAGGAATGGTTCGCCTTACGAATAGAGCGCCAGCGAGAACGCGAGCGAAAAGCCAGAGTCGCGCAGGCGCAGGAGGAGTTTATGAGGGAGTGGTGGGGATTGCCCGAGCACGTGCGGTTGTCGAGACAGAAGGAGATGGAGCAGAGGGGGGAGAGGATACATGGACTTACGGCGAAGGATAGGCCGAGGGGCGAGGGACAATGATAATGAATTGTTGCATCTGTGGCGTTTCGGGGTATTGAACATCTACGCTGGGGAATTGTAAGAATAAAAGGTGATGTGAGGATAAGACAAGACAGTGTACCACTATGATCAGGATCAATGCCGAGACGGCATTCCGAAAGAGTCAGTTCAACTCGATAAGCATATGCAACCACTGGAGTCCAACAGGGTGAGAACCAACGCCGAGAATGTTTAAGAGCATGCATCCAATGCTTGTCAACTGATACCCAAACAGCCTCATGCCCAAGATCGTCGTAACGACTACTCAACCCAGCCGACAGATTGTGACAATTGCCGCCAGCTCTGCTTATCAAGCATTCATCAGCGTCTGTTTCTCCTTCAAACACAAACAGAGCCTTCAGTGGTGGAATCGGCAGTTCATGTATGTAATTGTAACAAAGGGTTACGTGCATCAAGCGGTGAACCTCGATGTTTCAAAGCTCACTTGACGGTCAAACGGAAATAAGAGCCTCTAGAGGAGGCAAGAAAACCTAGGACCTCTATCCTAAGCGATGAAAAGACTTAGGTAAGTTTAGTATATCTTAGTAGGCTTTTAGACCAGTTTATTTTGGCATCCTGGCTTGATGTCAGAAGTTTTCTTTCTCCCGGGGTAGCCTATATCTGAGGCCCCTCAAACTCCCTTCCATTATTCCCAGAATCCATGATCCCTAACATCATTGTTCATAGGCTCAATCCTTCCTCAGCTCATTACCGACTTACACTCCCCGCACACAATCACACAAATCACCCGCCCAAAGACCAGTAAAAACACTCCCCGTCCAACCCAAATCTTTTCGTGCTAACCAATAACGCTGCAGTTCCCCCTCTCGAAAGTCGCGCCTCCAGGGCGCTTAGGTCCCTGCTGCAGTGTGACATCCCCGCCAATTGGTCCATCTAGATGATGCTATTTTTAACCGTGTTAGTCTCAAGATGCGAGCGCTTAAAAGTGCGATGGATGAGAATATAATATCAACCAACATGCTTTCCATTCTGGGGAATTCCCATGCTTGCTATTGTCCTTGTTTTTGTTTTATGTGGAAACAATTTTACGTGACAATTTTGTTTTGACCATGAAGCGATAGCAGCATAATTGACATTTTCATCGTCTTGCTAGCCTAGACACCCCCTCTATTGATACCCCTACTCTTCTGGGAAGAAGTATATACTGTTTGATACAGAACAATGTCGACTCCAACCCCAGGCGGGTTCTCTCTATTCCCGAGTCCCAACTCATCAAAACCACCGCCTGTCTCACGGAACCAAACACCAAAACCTCGTCGTTCTGAATCTCGCGAGAGGAGAGCTCCTACACCCAGTGACAGACGAGCCCCGACACCAAGCGATCGACGGGCCGCAACACCACAGGCAATGTCTCCAGAACCAAGACCGGCGTCGCCGAGAAATGGACGACAGACTCCCCAGAATAGAGCTCACACACCCATTGAATTCGAGCCTGTGCAGAGTGAACCGCCCAAGCCTGTAAAGGTTCAACGACCTAGACCGACGGTTCAGATCCCTGGGCGTTCTGATACTGGCTTTGCGCAGGGCAATACCCTTGTTAGAAGTAGCAGTGATCGATCACGAAGTTCAATTGCCAAACCACCTTTGGGCGGTGAAACTACTGCGCAGCCATTACGGTCCATCTTCCCGGCTTATAACCCAGAGGTACCACTCGGTCAACAGAACTATGTTCCCACAGAGATTCAACCAACGCAAATGCCGCGAGCTGTTATAAGTCGTCAGACATACCACGAAACACCCGCTGGATCAGCCCCTCGAAACCCCGTTCGAAGTCCAGTCATAAGTCCCATGAGCGTTCAATCAGCTCAATCATCATGGCCGCATCGAAATGTCCAGCAACAAGAACCACCACTGATTCCAACGGTCAGTTCGAATGAACAGCTCAAGAACTACTGGAAAGTCGCAAATGGATGGCAAGCCTCACCGTCAGAGGGTCGAGTCTACTGCATGAAACTAGCCCAAGAGAAAGATGCACCTGTATACAGCCTCTCATCAGCTTCACAACCATTTTACAACCTCCGCATAGATCCAACGTCTGCTTCGGCATATGTTACTCTCACAAGACATGATCCCAACAAACCATACAAAGCACCCAAGCCAGAAGCTAGTTCTTCGGCAAGCAGCATCATCAGCGGTGTCGTCGGCCACAACAGTAATTCCTCCGGTACAAAAGTCACCGACACAAAACACTGGCAAGAAGCTCTCACCACAACCCTCGAAGAAGAATCCCGTCGCCATCCTCCAAACGATGGCCTCGTCGCTCTTCTCATGCCAACGCCCGCTACAAAAATGGCCATCGAGCGCGCCCAAGATCCCCAATCCGTCATGCTAGCAGAGCGCGAATGCGCCCGTCTCGTCTGGGACGAAGACAGTTCCCACCACTTCCTTGTCCACCCATCCCTCGCAACACCATTCTGCGTAACAATCGAGCGCTCACCATCTTGGTCGAGGGTAGAGTATACCCTCGAGCACAACGAATCACCACAACATCTCGCGAAACTCACACGCGACGGCACAGGCGGTGGCTGGCTCGAGATCGACACGGGCATCGCTGCAAAGATAGAATCCTACTTCATCGTCGACGTCGCCGTAACAGCACTTCTCCTCGTCGCATCAGCCGATGAAAAGAACACTCCTGCAATGGAAGTCTTCGAACCGCCACCTCCTCTCATCCTCACAGCCAAGCAAGAAAAGCGCCTTAGCAAAATCGGCAAACGCGACGAGAGAAAGAAGCGCCACATGGAGTCATTCGAGATTGACGTTGAGAGCCAAGATGAGAGTTTAGGTAAAAGCAAACCGCGAGAAAAGGAGGATAAACTGCCCTTCCTGATCCGGGTCATCGTCAAGATCGTAAAGGGTCTGTTTGCGTGCTTTATCTGGATATTGACGATAAGCTTCAAATGCGTTGGTTTCGCATTCAAGGGCTGTTACAAGTGTGTAGGATCAAAGTATTAATGACGGACATGGACATTTATTTTAATTCGAGCGCGGCCAGTTCTTTTTCTGTATCATAAACCCATGGCGTTTTGAAGGGTATCTATTAGCTAGCGAGCCGTAATGAACTGAACACGAAATGACGAGAAAAGCTCCGTAATTCAAATTAATTCTTGGTGATGTGTTTATCGCTTCCGTGTCCGCACCATGATCTTCTTTCCTTTGCGTGTAGTTCCTCCCGACGTCGCTGTCTTGGCCATCTTTGCGCGCTGGATCTCCAATTCGCCCTCTGCGTCCGTAAGAGCCTTGAGCTTCTTGCGCGCATTTTCGAGTTGGCGGCGAAGGCGACGAAGGGCCTTTGCGCGCTCAAATTCAGCTTCTTTCTTCTTATCATCGTCGAATCCTTCAAATGTCTTGTCGGCGTCATCTTCGTCTTCGAGATCCAGTATTGTTTCCTCGCGCTGTTCTTCGTCGTCCATGAATACGATCTTTCGGGGCTCTTTAGGTCTTGACGGAGCGGTCGCAAAGTCGAATTCGGAGTCGCTGCCCTCGTCTTCATCGTCCTCATCCTCATCAAGCTTGTCGAAGCCTCTTGTGAGAACGACCTGCTCTTCTAGTCTCGCAACCTCCTTCGCAACAACCTGTCGCATCGTTCGAATGTATCCAATGTCCTGCGTTTTCAAAAGCCGCACAGTCTCAACGTCCATCGCCTTATTTCCTCGATCGCCCTCGACCGTTCCACTCCATCGCTTGCCATCCTGGATCTTCGACCCCGGTCCCTTTCGGGACATCATACCGAAGTAGAACTCATCCTCGTTTCGCTCGGCCGCCTTTTCTTTGAGGTTCTTGAGCTGCGCCTTCTTCTTGTTGAAGTCTTTGGCTCGAAGCGAGTAATCCTGCAATCGTCAAAAGCTGCTCCGGTGGGGGTATTGGGAGGTCAACAAACCTTGTGCTTCTCAAGAAGACCGAGTCTTCGACGTTCTAAAGGCTGCGCACGCTCTCTGTGAGGGCGTCGCGCCACGGCATTTCGCATAGAAGACATTTTGGCTGGTTGTGTTGTGTGTACGACGAGATGCAAAAGAATTAATCGTCGGCGCTTGTCAGAGCTGGAAAAGTGGCAGAATTTTCGACATTTTTGGCGGTGAGGCAAAGTCGGTAAATGTGGCTTGATAGCAGCACCAGCACCGCCACAACTGATGTTCAGTTAACCTTAACATCGTCGGAAGCTAGATTCACATCCGGTAAAAGCTCCAAACTGAAAAACGTTTGGTCTAATCTTGGCGGTGCAATACCAAGCTTTTTTCATCTCAAATATTCGTAGCATCATGAACTGTTCCTTGGCTGAAGGCTAATCAGGGGGTTTCAGCCCGTCAGCAGCTTTGACTTTGGCTTTCAGGGCATAACAGCTAATGCACCCCTGAAAATCGCCCTTTTCTCAGTGAGTGATACGAGAAACAGGCCGTGCATATCCCTTCCTCCACCTGATATGTCATACCTTGACACTAAAGACGGTAAAAGTGACTGCGAATCTCGCGTCTGCAGATTATGTTTATTCTTAGAAGCTAAAGCTTGCGTGTCGGAGGGTCAGCATGTGGGGAACGAGTGTTTTATTCCTCGTCTCAAATCCTTGTTCCCGATCCCTTTAGTTATAAGATCTTAGCTGACCCCAACTGTTCTTTGCCTGTTCATCTTTCTTACGGTCGGCATTGAGTAGTAACATTCTCGACGCTCCGTAGTCCCAATGGTGACTTGAATCGACACAGCGTCATTCCTTACTTTTTCCTATTTCTGTATTTTTTGAGTGTTATCCTTCATCAAAAATGGGCGTAGGTCTGCCATTCACCCCGTCCAGGGCATTATTATCGCTCTTAATCGCATTACTCGTATTCTACTGCCTTTTCAGCGAAATATCAGGCCCCAGCATTCAATTCATCTCCAGCAGCTATGACTGGAGCAAACACACCCTGCGGTATCCATTGACCATCAGCAGCATGGCCAAACCGCCGCGAGGATCACCAGTCAATTTACCACGTATCCAACACGACTTCTCCAATCCCGAATTGAGGAAACGTGAGCTTGAGACCGCGGATCAAAGACGAAAAGACATCAAGCAAGCATTTAAAAAGACTTGGAGGTCTTACGAGAAGTATGCTTGGGGAAGTGATGAATTGAAGCCATTGAGCTTGAAGGGTCGTGATACTTTTGGTGGGTGGGCTGCGACCATCTGCGACAACCTCGACACTTTGTGGATCATGGGTATGAAGCGGGAATTTTACAGAGCTGTTGACTTTGTGTCTCGCATGGATTGGGACATTCCGACAGCCGATGGATTCAACGTTTTCGAGACAACAATTCGACATCTTGGAGGTTTACTTTCGGCTTATGAGCTCAGTGGAGAGAGCGCCTTGCTGGCCAAGGCGATTGAGCTGGGAGATCTTTTATACGGTACCTTCGACAATCCGGAGCATATGCCACCGCATACGATCAAATTCAAGACCCTCAAAGAAGGATTGGGTCATCCAGAACCACGACAGAGCGCTGCCAGCTTGGGAAGTATGAGCATGGAGTTCACCCGTTTGTCGCAACAGACTGGGAACCCCAAATACTACGACGCCATCGATTACATCACCAAAGCATTTGAGCGAACACAAAACGAGACCGCCATTCCTGGCTTATGGCCTCTCCAGATCAACGCTGAGGACGGGTTTAAGGTTACCGACGACACGTTCGGCATGGGCGCTAACGGCGACTCGTTGTACGAGTATCTCATCAAAGAGTATGTTCTTCTGCAGGGCCTTGAACCCAAGTATGGGAAGATGTACCTCGCCGCTGCAGACGCTGGAATTAAGCACTTGATGTTCCGGCCGATGCTACCCGATCAAGATGATGTTCTCATGCTGGGCGAAGCATCCTTCCCTCCTCGAGTCAAGGAGTCGCGATTGAGTACAGGCGTGGAGCATTTGACTTGCTTCGCTGGAGGCATGTATGCCCTTGGTGGCAAAGCACTCGGACGCGACGACCATGTTATCATTGGTGAGAAACTCGCCCGTGGCTGCGCAAAAGCATACGCTGCCTATCCCAGTGGTCTCATGCCTGAAATCGTGCAAGTCGAGCGTTGTCCAGCGCTCGAGCCCTGCGCCTTCGAACCGAAGTACAAGAAAGAGCCTCTTGGTTTCCGTGTAAGAGAGGCATCATACCTTCTCCGACCCGAGACCATTGAGTCCGTCTTCTACTTATATCGCATCACCGGAAACGAGGAGTTCCGCGCCATTGCGTGGAACATGTGGACTTCGATCCGTGCTGCTACTGAGACGGATAACGCGTTTGCAGCGGTGGAGGATGTTGGTGCGGAAGAGATCAAGCATAAAGATTACATGGAGAGCTTTTGGATGGCGGAGACGTTGAAGTACTTTTATTTGATCTTTGAGGATGAGGAGGTTATCAGTTTGGATGAGTGGGTGTTCAACACCGAGGCTCATCCATTGAGACGCATGGCTAGTTAACTGTCAGAGAAGGTAGAAGCCAAGGAATACATACACACAGCTGTCCAATAGGATATGAACAATAGCATTCGAAACCCCTATTCTATCTAGTCTATGTTTTCAACACCATCCCTGTCAGCCCGTCGTTGCTCCTTGCTCATGACAAGGGCATCGGACCAGACTCCGGAGGGCCTCAAAACAAGCATGCAAACCCCTACTTGCCTTGTGTCCTAGAACTCAACAAAAATTCATGCTCGACCAACACAAAAATGAGTGGATATCATAATTTCGGGACACAGCCCCCGTTCCCGTTTTTCTTCCGATTGGTTTGTGAGTTTGCACGCTCTGATGACCAGACCTCGACGTGTCTCGGCTCAATCAGCCAGGTGCATAGCATTGGAGATGCTGCGCCAGGCTGTCAGCAAAGTTACTGGGACTGCCTTACTAACGGGTAGACTCACCCCGCTTGTTCGATTTCTCGTGCCTAGAACCCTGCTTCGCAATTTGGGTAATTTGTGATGACATTTTAATGGGAAGTAATGTGGGTTGAACAGTGAGATACAGTTGAGCAATGACCTGCAATATTATGTTCTGATCTCGAGTCAAGGCACTTATGGCTTGGAAGGGCTCTAAATACTATTGATGTTCCACGGGATCCTTGACGCCGTTCAATCGCATTGCAATCAATGATTGATCATTGATCCATCAGTGATGAATTTGTGATAAGCCTACGATGTACTAACTTTGCATTGACCGACAACGGGCGAACGTTGCTTTTTAACGTCATGACACAAGCTACCTTACTGAGTCGACAGGTTCGGTGGTCCTTCCGCCTTGATGGACTGGGATAAAGGCAAGAAGGTTCAAAAACTCGAATCCGACAGCCAATAGGATCACCCGCCGTCCCGCAATACGCATGGCTAAGAGCCTACCGGGAACTATAATAGATCTTACTTGTTACTTCTTTTACATGGATCAACCCAGATTCTTTCTGGGGGAGAGGTTGTTCTGGACGGGACTCCGTGATGAGCCCAGTGGGTGAATAAGTGGATGCAATAAGAAAGGACCAAATAGATAAAGAAAGGCATTTTGCGAACCATTCTATTGTCCTCGCAGCTCCGTTCCTCACTTCTTTTTGCCGACAAAAGCCCTCTGCCCTCAGGCCCCACTAGGATGATAGACGAGGCTCTTGTGGAGGTTGACGGACTCTTTGCTGGTCTCATTTACCTCGATGCGACAGATCCTGCACTCCCCCAAAGAACCCCAAAGAACTGCTTTCGAAAAAGTCTTGCTGTGAAGCTAGATGTTATCTGCAATGCTTGCGAAATTCGCTCTGAAACCGACACATCGAAGGCACAATCTTTAACGATTCATGAAGGCATCCTAGCTCGAGAGGCCGCGTGGTCCTCTATTCGAACAGTTCGAGATGGAATGAAGATCCTCTGGGATCATTTTGTCAATGTCTCTCGGGTTCTGAATACATCGACAATTGATAGCTTACGCAATAGCTACCATGATGCTCAAGGCCTTTGCTATGAAGGAGTGTTTGCTTTTCGCTACACCGTCGTTGGCCCAAGACCTGACGACTTGGCCAGGATATTTGCCTTTTGTAGCTTATCCTATGTAGTTGCCCGTCTTTTCTGTGCTCACAAAAGGGCCAAGCAAAGCGATATCCCAGCCGGTATCCGTTCATGGCGTAATGCACTCAAGGAAGAGGACGAGCGACAGGCCTTTGATGCTCTGGCCGGACAGATGTGGCCAGAAGCACAGAATCATGTCCATTTTCAGGACCTTGACCCAGGGCAACCATTGGCGCGATCTACGAGTACTCACGGCCACAGTGGGAGTGCGTCTCCTGTGTCTTCTAGCCATTACAAAAGCTCAATACCACCATTTCCTGCTGATTTCAGCATCATGCCGCCATATGACTGTGACCAGCAAGCTCAACAACCCTCCAACAAGGGGAGTATGGGTCATAGCTTCGTCCCGCTTCAGGATACATGCCTAGGCAACGAGCAAGTCAATAACGGCACGACAAACACCTCCACAGCCTTCAGCCAGAATCACCAAAGTTTCACGGACCCAATAGATGATGCTTGTTACTTCCCTGCACCAAGCACACAACTGCCTGTACCAAACAACGAGCCATACGCTGACTCGTGGGCCTGGTCAGACTCGGGCTCCATGCTATCGCTGAACTTCGACATGATGGAACCGCTGGACTTCACAGCACTTGGAGACCCAACAAGGCAATCAGCCGACTATACCAACCTCATCACCGATCCCACCCAAGGGCTGAGCGATAGAGCCCTGCTGGAAACAACAACTCATGTTAGTGCCTTGGAGATGACATCTACGTTTATGGTTGTCAGAGAATATATCCGCGACAACTGTAACTTTTGGCACCGACTCGGTGGCTCCGGTTTAGTGTCAAAAGACCACAGATCACGTCTCTCATGGTGGCACAAAACACCAGCCCGGATGGAGTGCAAACAGACCTCATCATACATCCAACAATTGTTAGCTGTGGAGCACACTCGTAACACAGAGTCGCGTGGTATTGTCGCTGTTGCTGAAACTTTCATTAAATGGGGGTTTCTCCAAAGTATTGAAGATATAAAGCTCTACATGACACAACTGGGAGGTGTAAGTGAGACTCACACGGCAAAAATAACAGTGGAACTGATTTGACCGGCCATAGTTGCTATTCGACGCAGAAACAGACCATCAGAGTTTCTGCAAATGGATTGAGGGCTTTTCGGGTGACAATGAGTACGTCGACCTACTAGCCTAGCCGATGAGGGACTGACTGACAATTCTCTAGGAAACCTTTGAAATGCCCATACTGCTCTCACAGGGACAACCATGAAGGCAACTTGCGAAGACACATAAAGAACAGGCATGGAAATAGTGAGAATGGAAAAGCGAAGCAGTCAAAGAAGTCACTAAGACCATGAAAGTTTGATGATAACATCACGAAGCCAACAGGAGCGATGAACTCGGGATGAGACTCGAGGGACAAAACTATAAATGACTACAGTGACGGGCAAACAGTGGCCCAAGAACTCAATAGAATGAGTTTGGATGCGTGTATTGATGGTTCAGTGTGGTAGAAAATGGAGGATTTGTTTGGAATGGCAGGGAAAACTCGAATATAGACGATTGGGATTAACTAAATACATTCATCATAGATCTGCAACAAAGTATGACCCCGGCTGGTGAACATCACTGTGGAACTTCAATCAGCCCAGGCCAACCAAGATCTACCAATATGCGCCTCTGTCGACTGATCCAACTGACATCTCTGATGAAAGTTTCACCCATGAACAAGCCTGACATCGGAACCTGGGTTTCCGCCCCCAGACAATTACGTTGTGGCCCTTGCAATGGTTCTTCATCACAGCTTGGACGCTTCAGCCGATCGAGTCCTTGCTGGTTGCACCTGCACATGCACGGGCGACCAAGGCTCTGCCTGTTTTGACTGACTCAACCAGTTCTGCATGGCTGGAGGAATGCCTTGGCAACGATAAGTAAAGTACGCCTGACCTGCCGCAAGGGCTTACCGTCGCGCTGGTATTGTAGTTCGTCTGAGTTGTTCTTCTCGGGTTGGGTCTCTTTCAGAGGCATCGTTGAGCGCGCTTTTGTGGATGAAGTCACTCCTAGGTGTCGATGTTTTGCTTTGTGACAAACTTCTGCGTTTAGCTTCAAGGTTGATAATGACACTTCATTCTGTTGATGTTGATGGGCTATTAATATGAGCTTCAATGGGTTACTCATTTCTACGGCATCAATTATGTGCCCTTCCACCCAACACCTCACCAAGCTCCCTCCTGCTCACGAGCAAACTTAGAACAAATTCTGAGCAAACGAAGAGCATATAGCGATTACGCCTGCCCCTGTGCGTTCTATCGCTCGTGGACCGCGCCGTGACTGACTTGTGGCTTGCTCGCTATTATTGCGAATTGCTCACTCACCATGCTCAAGAACTATGCTCACCTGCTAAATAGTTAAAGGGGAGCAGAAATATCAGATCATGAGCAATAACGTACCTTTTGGGTGAAAGTGAGCAATGCACCGAGCAAGCCAATTACTCAAAGTCGGCGCTTAGGAAGGCCTTCTGACCCAACAGCAAAGCACAGATCCTATAGGTTGGCATTGACGTTACTCACCGAATAAAGAGCCAAGACACCGGGAGCCGGGAAATGTTTTCTCACATGAGGTGAAACCTCACAACATTCACCTCGTTCTATTGCATCTTGCACTTTCACCTGTGCAGTAGGATACCTCACCAATCGCAGAAGCGGACAAGTGTATGGTAAGCTCTCTTCAACTCATTGTACCGGAGCCTGAGTTAAGGCGGCTGAAAAGCCCACTGTCATTCAATGCAGTTCTCGCTTTTGAGTGGAATCGTTGAGGATTACAGCCCCCCGACAACGACGCATCAGCCGCACAGCCTCATACCGCTCGCCCCTGAAATCAGGCTCGGAAGAAGGACTGGGCGTTTACCCGAAAGATACTCGCAGAGTATCTTTTTAATATTCCCCAAGGTTCTTTCCCGGCAGCGATCGATATTGTCCACGGAGGATGTCGCAATGTGAAAGAGCAGGAGTTTGTTTTCTGCATTATGCCTCGCCTGCCGACCAATTGACGGACTAAGAAAAAGGAAACGAGTAACCTCAAAACGATTCTATGTGCGACAAACCCTTTGAATAATATCTGGGCTCTAGTGTTTGGGCCTAGGGACTCTTTTGTTGCTGGACATACTTGTGATGGGCAGTTCAAGGACCTGCGTTCATAAACCTAACGATCAGACACACAAGGAGCTCGAATTCTCTTTCGCACTCTCTACGATGCCGGCCCTCGATCGACAACCGCATCAAGGTCGCTTGAAACGATTCTACGCAATCTCAGCATGAACATCACCCCCCGAAGGCGATGCAGCAGACGAGCGACGACGAACCATCTTCCACCAGTTTCAGTCCTGGCATATTTCCGACCGTTATCGGGTACCCCTCCTATAGGTGCTGATACCAAAATGCTTTGGCAAGATTTTTATTGTCCACGGCTGTACTGGAGGCTATAAGCAAAAGCGCCATCTTGTAGGATGAACTTACGGGCTGCTGCTGCTGCTTCTGCTAAGGCGTTCTTGTAAGCCTCCTCGACCAAACAACAGAGAGCGAACAGGATAGAGAATTAACTTACAAATCTGCATAAATAGAGAATGGTAGGTAGTCTCTATGATGTATAGTTAATGAATCTGATTAGAGAGGGGCATGAGAGAAGATATAAGCTTCACTGTCGTTGGTCTTGAGATTGTTCAGGCGCCGACTGAAGAATACTGCGGATTGTTGGAGCAGCGGTATTGGGCTTTCTGGTTGACTTGTGGAATGAGTCGATGAAGGGGAGTGTGGTAAGCATCGGCGCTCAGACAGTTAATATCACAATAAAGGCATTTACGTCCAGTCAAAGTGTCTGGCCATGTAAACACTATATCACCTCTTTTGTGCCACCTCTGTGTCACTTTAAAGAATCTGAACTATGGCAGGCAATGCTTCGTAGAGAGCCTCGAGCCGAAGAGAATGAATTTACACTGAATCTATCTGGCAGACCAATCATTGGTAAGTGATGATCTATTTCTCTTAATTGACATGATGACGGGCCATAACAACTTTGACTACATCCCCACCCATTTGGCGGCGCAGGTGTCCTTGCTGGTGTCCCTGCTGGTGTCCCTGCTAGTTTCCCTGCTCTTCTCGCTACCGCTGCTGGTGTCGCTGCTGGTCGACTATTTCTGAATGCTGCTGGCAACACATGGCCCCCGTATCGGATCGCCCCGCAGTGATACCTTCAGCTACTCATTTAGCAACATCCGGCCAGGATTGTTTAGCGTCGTTCGTTATCCTCTACTCGCGGGGAGATTTCTGGAGCAAGAACAACGGCAGCACTCAGAAAGGAAGATAAATACACACGCCTGGCCACTATAGTCCTGGGTTTCCTGGTAAGTTCAACCTTGCTTCCTGGCTTCCTCTGAATTATTAGCATAAGATGCATGGTATATCTTCTCTTTCCAACTCTTCCGTTAGCGGCCATCGTGTTGCTGCAACCATAGGGTCCCCCCTGCAGCCCTCGAAGACACAGAGCCTCAGCGCCTCCACGACGTCAACAGAGACTTGTGGCAACGGACATTTCAGTCAGTTATGGCAAACGCACATGACCAATCACCTACGCTCAATATATCTTTTGGTCCACATGACTATTCCTTACCTACACTTAACTCTGGATCTCCGCCCCAGCCCTTGCAGGCTCATTTTTTCCCCAGTCCAGACAACCCAAGCCACTACAGCTCTGCATCACCACCCGAACTCGCAACTACAGGCCCGAATTTCCAAACCTCACACATCCAGGATGCCTCACCAACCCAAGTCCAGAGCCCACGGTATGTGGATAGATTCGCTGCTTTAAAAAAATATTTCTGACTTATACCAGACGATGTGGTAGCAGACCCTTCTCATGTCCTGATTGTCACACTTATACCACCAATCGTAAATATAATATGAACCGACACCGGGAGACGTGACATAGAAAAAGGACGAAACAGCGATTAAGGTCACATAAAACCTCACGATTGAGAAACTTCGATTTTTTACGATGATGAATGGTGCCTCGGGCAGAGAAGCGGTCGACAGACGTACAGGCGCAAAGGCAAGGAAATTGGCGACAAGCAAGATGCAGCAGAAGAACTCGGTACGGCAAAAGGGAAACGCATGACCATTTCTTTGTATCTTTTTTCTTTGTTCGGATTAGTTCATATTGAAGTGTGTTTATTAGAAGGGCCAGCAAAACATGTAAATAGATGTAAAGAATAGGTACTCAATTGATGGAATGGCTTTTTGTCGCAGAGATTCGAGCCTACACCAACAGAGGGAGAATTGTGAAATTATACTAGAAAGATCCTATCTAAGACGCTTTTCATCCATCATTTAAAGACAAGAGTAATCTCTGTACCTGGAAGCGTCGCTTATGAGACTTTCAACTCTCCTGCAATCCGGCGAGATTTCCCAAGGCTTAGAAGCAAGTCCATGTATACGTCAACCATAAACATTTCCTCTATTATCTAGACACAGTACATAGTCCAAGCTGAATGTGCGGTGTCTCTAATATTATCCTTCCATCGCTGCTGTTTCTCTATCAGGCGATAGCTCGTTGAGACTACAGGGTCGATTGCAGCCGACTCGTTCAGCCGGGTTCTAGAGCATGGCCGAATCTATTACATACAAGTAAGTTAGGTTAAGAAACAGATTGTAATCACAATAGATAACATGACGGTCTGCCATTCTATCCATTTGGCTCAGAGAATCGCAAACCCTAGTTGCCGTTAAATTGACTGTTAGAGTTGGATTGAAGGTTTATGTACCAAGCTCAATGAGGGTTGACCCACGTAGGGATACTGGGCGGGGTTGAAAACCACCCCTCTGAAGGGTTGTTCAATGCCGCCTCTGTTCGCCCATGGGATCTCGGACACTTATAAGACCTCCAGTCAGAAGCTAGACCCCAGCGCTATTCATGCATCAAGATCCACCACCACATAAGCATTGGATCCTTGGGGCAGACCATACTTGATACCTTTCTATGGGCTGCAGGCTCCACCAGCCACCCTTCTGTGGGAAGCAAGTGTAGCACTGCCTGACGCCGGGAATGAAGGGTAACCCAGCCCTGCCATGAGTCTCTGCTCAGACTTTCCATGCAAGCGGCAGGAAAGTCACTAGAGTGATCTCCGAACGGGCAAAACCCCTCCGCCCAACTAAACAACCTATATGTAGTTAGGGATATTGAGTAGCGGTGTGGGATTAACGAAGATAGTTAAGTTTTCAAAGAGGCTGTTCTATTACTTAGCAGACTATATCTCTTTAAGCAGCATAAGTGTTAAACCGGAGGTATTATATAATTAAGATAAATTATATAATTCTGCAAGGGGTTTAGCTTAAATAAACCTTAGGATTAATATAAGCTGCTTATATAATAAGTTAAATTCTTAAATAAGATTAGCCTAAAATAATATCTTTAAGAAGAAAGGTAATTAATATAAGAAAATATAAAAAGAATAATATATAATTTAAGTTAAATTTAATAATTAAAAGTCTTAAAGTTATACTTCTTTAAGGTAATTATAATTATAAAAATAAAAAGTAAATTAATAAAATAAGTCTTAAAATTAAGAACTTTTATTTAAAAGTTAAAATACCTATTTAATAATATATAAAGTAAAGCTAAAGGTATTAAAGTAAGATAATAAAATAAGGTATTTATTTTTAATATAATATAATATAAGGTATTATATATTATATTAAAAAATATAATAACCTTAATATTAAATCTTAGCAGATTATATAATTATTACCTTAAACCTTAAGATTTAATTAAATAAGTAGCCTTAATTTATAAGTATAAAAAAGATATTTTTCTTATTCTTAGTAGGCTAAATGCCCTCTCTATTATTACCTTCTTAAGGTAATTACTACTAAGGCTTTAACCCTAAAAGGCTATATTAAAATAAGCTAAAAACCCTTACTTTTATTATAAGATATACTATTATATAATTAATATTAATAATAATTAATCTAGCCCTA